TATTCTCCGGCTTCTTAAGGACGATTTGGAGAGTGTGCGTCATTTGACGGTTGTGGACCACCGACAGCCCCGTACGTCATTGACGGCTCCATTGGCCCCACCGGAGGAGGCGGTGGCCCGTGAGAGGGAGGAGGCAAAGAGAAGGACGCAAAAACGCTGCTTCGTCTGCGGGGAGGCAGATCACATGGCTCGTTCCTGTCCGCGTCAGACCGCATCACTGAAAGGCGGTCCAAGTGTCCGCTGCTTCGTCTGTGGTGCGTGGCACCACCCGACGGAGTGTGCATTGGCGTCCCCCGTCTCGTGAGGACGTCGACTTATATCAGGGGCCACAATGCGAGACCGAAGCAACGGCGAACAAAATCCCAATGAATGTCATCAAGAAGCACAAGTAAAAATGGAACGAGACTTATCCTCCTCTTCCATACTGCTTGGTACACACCAGTAAAAAGAGAGCAAGAAATAAACAAAATCTGGGTGTGGTTTGTAATTGCATGAGTCCTTTGTTCATTTCCCTGAATTATTTTTTTTCTTTTCTTTTCTTTTTTCTTTTTTTTTTTTTTTGTTTTAAACGGGTGTAGAGAGGGGTCCTTGCCCTCTTTGTGCCTATTTGTTTAAACCGGGGTTTTGTGAACTGCAGCGTCAAGGAAGGAAGGGAGGAAGGAACAATAATAAAGAAATATTAAAAAAAAAAAAGAAACAAGACTTCTGCCAGAATAAAAGTTAAACGAAAGCGAAAAAAAAAAGGGAAAAAATGGGCAGTCCATCACCAACGGAGAGGTCCGAGTTTGGACGCAATGTATATGTTGCCAGCCTTCCCCTAGACTTTGATGATCAGCAGCTCTTTGACCTCTTTGCGCAGTACGGGCCCATTAGCTCCGCACGGATCATGCGGAAAAAGGGAACGCGGGAGTCAAAGGGTTATGGCTTTATTTTATACAAGAATGTCGCCTCGGCTGCGCTGGCCATTTCGAGTCTCTCCGGTGGTATTATTGGGGGAAGCCGAATTCAGGTGCGCCTGGCACATCCGGATGCCTCCACCGCGTACAATAGTCAACGGACCTCGAAGAGCAGCAGTTCAACTCCTGGCGGTCGTTCCTTGCAGGCCGTCCATCATCCACCGCCATCCCCATTGAAGCTGCAACCACAATCACAGCCACAGCCACAGCCACAGCCGCAGATGCAACCGATACCGCCACTTGTCCAGCCGCATCCGCCAGCGTTAGGGTCAACGGCTGCAGCCAATCCGGCGATGATGATGGCACCCGTTCAAGTTCCCACACTTTATCCAACAATGTACTCACCCACTGTTTTTCCTTTCATGCCCCCCACCCCAACCCCTGCCATATCCGGAGGAACCAGTCCACAATTAATGTTGGTGCCGCAGTTTACCTCACAACCGCAACAAATGAATTTACAGCCAACCTTTTATATGCTTTTGCCAGACAACGCAATGTCCAACCCTTCTCTTGTGTAAGGAAGAAGGGCATTTTGTTGCTGTCGTTGTTTAGTTTTTTTTTTTTTTTTTTTTTTTTTTTACAGAGAAATAAAGAGTGAAAAAATGAAAGAAAGAAGAAGAAAAAAAAAAAAAAAACGAAACTGAGGCAAAAACAACTTTTAAAATACCCCCTCCAATAACAAAAGAAAAGAAAAGAAAAGAGAAAAAAAAAGGAAGACGGCACTTATCTTTATATATATATATATATAAAGATGTATTGGAAAGGAAACAAGAGTCCTTTCATTTTTGTTTTTTCTTATTATGCTTTTCTTTACCTTACTATATAATGTATATGCTTATGTCTGTGTGCGTGAAAGTAACCGTTCCTTATTATACGAAGAACACATTACTCCTTTCATTTTTTTTTCCTTTTTTTTCTTTTGTGTGTGTGTGTGTTTTGTTTTACTGCTTGTGTGTTGTGTCTGTTGTGTGTTACTACTAATATGTTATTGTTTTGCATGTTGGGTTGCAATGGAATGGAAAGAAGAGGGTAAAGAAACAAACAAACAAACAAAAAATAATAATAATAATAATAAAATGGAGGGTAAATATTTGGCATTAGCGACTCGGGGAGATGCGAGAGAGAGAGAGAGAGAGAGAGGGAGGGAGCGTGGGGGGAAAGGAGGGGGAGTGACGGCCAAACACAAAAGGACAGTCTTGTCATAACAAACCCCCGCAGACTTCTTTTTTTCTTTTCTTTTTTTTTTCTTTTTTTTTTTTTTAGTCAGTTTTTGTTTTGTGTGTTTTTATTTTGGCAAACTGCGGAAAAGGTCCTTTTTTTTTTTTTTTTTTCTTTTTTTTATTCTTCTTTTTTCCGTGTGCGACTGTGTTGTTATTTTAATTTTTTTTTTTATTTTATATCCTCCAGCCCCAAACAATAACGCACACACACACACACGCAAACAGACGGACGGACAGACGGAGGGGTATTTATATTTATACGCATGCATGCATACATGTACACTTGGAGCCCCAAAAAAAAAAAAAAAAAAAAAAAAAAAATTTTTTATTAATTAATTTATTTATTTATTTATTTATTACGCCGGACCTCGACAATATGGAGGGGGGAGGGGTGGAGCGGGAGTGTGAAATGAAGAGAAATAATTAATTAAAAAAAAAAAAAAAAACAAGGAGGGATTTGAGGAGGAAAATACAAGTGAAGATGACATCCCTCCCCTTTTACCTTTCTTTTTTTTACTGCAATTCTCGTCCTTTTTGTTTGTTTGTTTGTTTGTTTGTGCTTACACTTTTTCTTTTTCCGTGTCAGTAATTTGTTCCTTTATTATTATTATTATTATTATTATTATTTGCATCTCACCTTGTTTGTTTGTTTGATTATTTATTTATTTATTGTAAATTCTTATTATATTATATTATATATTATTTATATAGTATATATATATATTGTACATATATATTATTTTTATATGACTGGTTAGCTTATGAGGGAACTGTGTGGGAGGGAAGGGAAGGGGGAGACCAAATATATATAAATATATATATATGTATATATGTCTGTTAAATGGAAAGATGGAAATTGAGGAAAAATATCCTTTTGTCTTTTTGTGCTTCTTTCTTTAAGAGTATAATAATAATAATAATAATATAATATATTATATATGTATATGTGTGTGTGTGTGCTCGTGACTTTCTCCTGCTCTTACCAGCCGTAGTGAAAACACACACCCCTCCAATGCGCAGCTCTGTTAGGCGTACGATGGAATTCAGCGGGAAGGGATAACCTTATTACCCCCCTGCCCCTGCGAAATGCCATTACACATGGCCCCCGTAAATCCAAGTACGCCTTTACTTCGCGTCCTCCCTGGAAAAAAACAGAGGATTAATAAACCCTGGCACCGCGTCGAGGTGGCCGGCTGCACCAAAAGGGAGGATATGTTTATATATTTATATTTATACGTACCATCAATTTATTATTATTATCGAGCCAATTCAAAGATAAATGTGTCTCTATTTATTTACCTACAATATTTGTATATATACAAGTATACACGTATGCATGTATATACACTTATATATACATATATATACAAGTAAGCAGGTAAAGTGAAAGTCATTTCTTTCTTTTTTTTTTTTTTCTCTCGGTCTGTATGTGTGTGTGTGGATTTATATAAATATATTTATTTATATATTTGAGTAATTGTGTGTAGTTACAGTTCCTTTTGTTTGTTTTGTTTTTACTTCGATGCTTTTTTCTCACGTTCTGTGAGTGCTGCTGCTTTTTTGTTTCTTCTCCTTCTTCTCCCCCCCCCCCATCCCTGCCTGCCTGCCTGCCTTTCTGTCTGTCTACCTGCGAGTACGTTTACGATGCATGCATGAATAAATGAGTGAATGGGTCGAAGGGGACATCCCCTTTTTTTCCCCTTTCCGTGATGTGACGTTAAAAACAAAAGGGAAAAGAAAAGAAAAAAAAAATTTAATTAATTAATTAATTAATTAAAGAAAAAATAAATCAGTTTTCCTTTTTTTTTTTTTGTTTTTTGTTTGACTGGGGGAAAACTAACGAAAAAAAAAAAAAAAAAAAAACAACAAACTAAAGTACCGGGCAATTGTGTGTGTATTTGTGTAGAAAAGACGGAAGTAAACGAGTATCCCTACATACATGCATACGTATGGTGTCCTATTTATTACTATTATCTTGATTGTTATTATTATTTTGATTATTGTCATTGCTACTGCCATTACAACCATTTTCAGTTGTAGAGAAAAAAAAAAAAAAGAAAAAAAAAAGTTTTTGTGGTGTGTGGGGGGGAGGGGGGAAATGGAAGAAAGGAAGAGGTGAGTTTTTTTTTTTTGTTTTTTTATTTTTGTTTTTTTTCCCATTGCCGTCAACATCCCTCTTTGTAGAAATAAAGAAAGTTGTGAGAAGGATACATGTGACATTTACAATTTCCTGTGGAATACCTGCATGCGCTGGCCAATGTGTATGCATGTACATATATGCCACACATTAAATGCTGAACGAATCTTGTTTTTTTTTTTTTTTTTTTTTTTTTTCTTTTCTTTTTTCTTTTTTTTTGTTTTTGTTTGTGTGCGTGTGTTGGGCGATTATTTTTATTTATGCTTCCCATTTTACACTAACTGTGCTCGTATGCATGCATTACCTTAATACTTACACGTAGACTGAAACGCCACGGTTTAATTTATTCTCAAAGAATAAAAAGAGTGCTATGATGCTTCTTCTTCTTCTTCTTCTTCTTCTTCTTCTTTTCTTTTTTTTTTGCCTGTCCGTCTTTGTTGTTGTCGTTTATTGTTTTGTTATTTTGGTTCCGGAGTGTGTCTGTGTGTATGCGTGCTGTCAGTTCATATATATTTGTATAAAAAGGAGATCAAAAGAAAAAAAAAAAAAAAGAAATGACACTGACGTAGGGAAAAAGAAGAGGAGGAGTGAGTGAGTGAGTGAGTGGCGTATATTATCCAAACGGCCTTTTTTTGTTTTTTGTTTTTTTGTTTTTTTGTTTTTTGTTTTTGTGTTGTTGTTGTTCCTGTCGTTGTCGTTGTCGGGGTCGGCCTCATTGGCAATTCTGCAAAATGTCCCGACAGCAACACGCCACACCGCAATTCACCTCCTCTCCCCCCTTTTTCTCCCTCAGTGTGCACATATACACATTTATACACGTGTATATAAAAGCCAATACGATGGCATATTGCAGGAGACGTCATGCAAATGTGCCCAAATCTTCCCAGTGGACACACACACACACACAGAGAGAGAGAGAGGGAGAGAGACGGCCGATGTGAGGATTAATGCCTTCTTTGTGTCCTTGGGAAATGTTATTATTCTCGTTATTATTATTATTATTATTTCTGCCTTTGTTTTTGTTTCTTTATTATTATTATTATTATTATTATTTATATTTTATTGTTTTATTTTCAATGATTATTTCATCTACAAAACTGACTGTGTGACACTAACTCTAACCCTTCATTCATTCATTCTTTCTTTCTTTCTGTCCGCTCGCTCGCTCGCCGAATTTGGAGTCGCAGAACTTCACCTTCACTTCCTTTTGGTTTGTTTTATTGACGCAGCGCATCCACACGCACATTTAAAACAAAAAAAATATAATAATAATAACGAAAAGGGAACAAAAAGAAAAAAAGAAAAGGGGTGAGAGAGAGAGAGAGAGAGGAAGAGAGGAAGAGAAGGGAAGGAACGAGACAAGACACCCCCAAAGGGATTTGGAGACGGAACGCTTGAAGCAGGGAAGGGGGAAGCATCATAGAGGAGGAAGGCCAATGTTGGTCATTAATGTAGCCGCCGATATTTTTAACAGTAAAGTGAACTTTGAACTTAATTTCCCACACAGACCAACGTTGCTGGAGGTGTCACGTGCCACGGAGGCGGCATTCTCAAATGAAATTGCACTTCGTCGTCCAGACAACGTTCCACCACACAACTTTCATGTCGCCAAGATTAAGATATATGACGAGGAGCGAAACAAGTGGGTGGATTTGACGTCGGAGGGGCAGCTGATGGACTACTGCCAGTTGTACGCATTTCAACCAGAAAACCAGTGGCATAAGGAAAGCCAGAAGGAAATTCCAGCCGCAGTAAAGCCACCAACATCCGCGCAGCGCCACCCAGGAACTCACTCAGCCTCGGCAGTCGGGCGTGGAAACTCCAACGGCGGTGTGTCTCAGGCTGGGACGATTGCGGCCTACACAGGCAACCGTACACCAGTTAGCCAACGCAGTGAGTCCCAATCGTTCCGTCGTGCATCACTTCACACAAGCACATCCGGCGCGCTGGTTCCCAAAATAAATGCTGAAGCGTCACAAGAAGAGAAGCATCGTGTTTTATTCGCCGAGTTGGATTCGAAAGGAAGCCGCACTTTGGGTCTGGGAGACTTCAAGCAGGGGTTTCAGACGTTTAACCTGGAACTTTCGGCCGAGACGGTGGAGGACCTCTTTGAGAAGGCTGACACAAACCGGGATGGAACCGTTTCCTTCTCCGAATTTGAACGTTTTTGTCGTCTCTATCCCATCATGACGGATTGTCTCTTTTTCCGCTCAAAGGCTTTTTGGGATGAGGAGCAGCTCAAGCGGGAGATTCAGGCAGAACGGCAGGCGGTGAGGCAGGCGGAGCAGGTCGTTGAACAAGTACGCAAATCACTGGAGGATGCGGAGCAAGACGTGGTTGCCGCGATGGATGCCGTCACGGTCGCGGAGGCAGACCTGAAGGACCGCACAGACCGACTCCGTGATTTAACCAAAGACATGGACAATGCGAAGCGAGAAAAGGAACGGGCTATTCGTGAGAAGAAGGAGTGTGAGAAGGATCTTATGAGCACAAAGGAACGTGAGAAGGAGATACGCAAAGAGTCCCAAGACATTGCCCGCGAGGCTGAAAAATTGGATCGCCGAGCCGCTGCTCTTTCCAGTGAAGCTGTTGGGGCGGATGATAAAGTTCGACAACTGGAGAAGGCATTAGAAGAGGCGAGGCGAGTTGCAGAGCGAGCCCACCTGTCGGCCGAACAGGCAGCACGCGACGCCGACAGCATGAAGCAGCGGGTTCGAGATTCCACCAAGGACGTGGACGATGTGTTGCGACAGATTGCTCGTGCGGAGGATGCTGTGCGCGGGGCAGAGCGCAACGTTGTGGCTGCGGACAACAGTGCGCGTGAACTCGAGGGAATGGGGAGGGACCTCTCACGCGAGGCGGAGGAGGCCTCACAGCGACGTTACCAGTACGAGAAGGCTGTGGAAGACGCCAAGAACTCCGTCCGCGCGAGGGAGCATCAGTTAGACGAAGCAAAACGACACGTGGATGACAGGGATGCTCTGGCGAGACAAAAGGAAACCGAGCTGACGGAACAAAGAAAACAAAGGGATCTTATATCCCAGCACGAGCGGGCATTAATAGAGCAGGAATTACGCCTACGGGAGCAGCGGGATAGCCTGGAGGAACGTGAAACAAAACTAATGTCAGAGGCAAGTAGTTTTTTGGGTAATCTTCGCACTCAGCTGCAGGGAGGACGATCCTAATCATCCCGTGCGTGAGACACTTTTTTTTTTTTTTGTTGTTGTTGTTGTTGTTTCTTCTTTTTCTTCTTTTTCCCCTTGAATTGTATCTGCCGTTGACGTGCTCGTTCTTGAAGTTGTTGTTTTTTATTCTTCTTTATACCGCCGTTTTGTTATTATTCGTTTCTTTTTCTTCTATTACTTACTTGTAAGTGTGTCAATGTATCTACGTATGCTTCTGTTTGAAGTGGATGACGTGTGGCTCCTTTTGAATATTTTAAAGCATCCTTATATACATGCATACATAGACATATATATAATATATATATGACATGTATTGTACCAAATGTCATATGTGTAATATCATTCTATTGTTGTTTGTTTGTTTGTTCTATCGGGGGGGGGGGGGGAAAGAAAGGGTTGGCCTGCGTGTGTTTATGTGTGTTTATTATTATTATTATTATTGGGTTGCGTCTGTCTGTTGGGGGGAGGGAAGGAGGGTTAGGGTGGACCGTCAGACGCAACGACGAGGAAAAGAAGAAGAAGAAAAAGAAAAAACAAAGAGGAAACACACATCTTAGAGCAGGAGTGTAAAGAAATATATATAAACTAAAGTAATAAAAAATGAAAACAATAGAGGCCACGTGGGTGGCGAATGTCCCTCCTTTATTTTTCATCGATGTCATTGGCTCTGCCTCTGGGTGGTGTTTGGTGTGTTCATCTGAGGGAAGGAAGGAGGGAGGGAGGGAGGGGTTCTTCTTGCACCTCGCATCTTTTTTGCGCTCTTCTATTTATTTGTTGTTGTTGTTGTGAATTCAATTGAGTAGCGGGAACATTCTTTTGTGTGTATTTATATTTATAATTATTTTTTTTAGGGCGTCGGTTCCCCCGGGGCCTGGACCGTGGGGGGGAATTTGATTTGAATGTTGTGCCCGAGGCGTTGTGCGACGGTGGCCGCTGGTGATGTTTATTGCCGTGGAATGCGGGGAAGTGGGCGGCCGCAGGCGTCGAAATCGTCCACGCACGCCCTTCACAGCCTCTACCGCCGTCTCCGCAAGGAGGGCGAAGACCGGCTGACGCTCGAGCGGGCCCTCTCCACACGTCCCCTGGAGAAAAACATACAGTTGGGCCTGCGACTCCTCCATTACCACACAAGGCTAGTCAACATTGACCGGGAGGCGCGTGAGGTGGCGTTTTGGCGAATTGTGCGGCAGCTCCGATTGGCAGCGGCTCGACGTTACTTTGCGTGGCGCATTTTTGGTCTCCGTCTTCGCCTACGCAGTACGGCAGCCATCAGTGATGCGTTGGTGTACTTTCTTTTCCTGACGGTTTGCTTCATGTTGTATCAAATGTATCGGGTCTGTCGCATTGGTGTCACCCGTGCGGAGGAGCGCTACATGGCGCTGGCCATTCCCATCAAGCAAACCTTTGACGCCCTTGAGGACGCGCAGGAGCGAAGGAAATCCCTACGAAGGGAGATGGAGAAGGATGTGCTCCAGCAGCGGTAGTGACGTGAAACACCCCGGAGAGAAGAAGAAGTGGTGAATTGAATGCAAAAAAGAAAGAAAAAGATGGATGAGGAGGACAAAAAGGAAAGAAGAAAAAAAGCCTTTTGGAACAAAAAAAAAAACCCGTTGCTGCTGCTGCTGTTGTTGTTGTTGCCTGCCTTTTGGCGGTGCCTTTATCACTTTTCCTTTTTTTTTCTGTTCCCCTCATCGTCGGACTGGCGGTCTGTTTTGTTTTTTTTTTTTGTTTTATCCCCAAATGTAAGATGCGACGGACCGATGGCATTGACATGGACGCGGATGGCTTGATGGTAAATGCGGTTAGATCTGCGGCGTACAGGCAGCAATACGACGAACCAAACAATACCCGTTGGGGTGGACTGCTTGTCGATGGTGATCATGACTGCGAGGAGGATGATAATGGCGACCTGCCGCCTCGTCGTCGAAGCATCTCACTGAACCAGCTGCTGTATAGCGAGCCGTTGCAGCGTGATTTTATGGCCAGAACGACCACAGAGAAGTTGAGCCCGAGTGTGAATAATCATCATGATGATGATAATAATAATGACGGATTGACAGCCATTCAACGTCTCATTGACGCACAGTACGACTCATGTGCAATTAGAGTTAACAACCACAGGAGCGGCAACAGCGAACGCAACAACAATAACAAGAAGAAGAACAACTGTAACGATGGTGATGATATTTACAGTGAAGTGTTGGAAGGGAAAAGTGACTGGGACTCTGCTTTACCACCACGGCCCGTGTGTTATTCAAAGGAAACGATTTTGAAGGAGACCCACATGCGGCTTGGAGACCGTGAAGACGCTGAGGCTTCCCGTCTACCGGATAAGCGTGAGACCCGCAGTGTTGGGGTTCAGTGTGAAATGCGTGCCGCGAAGAAGGCTGCGACGTTGCGACACTTAGAGCAACTCCGCCAGCAATCACTTTCTGATGATCCTGAAGGCATTGCTCGCCTTCTAGCGCGACACATTCGTGAGCTTGAGATGGAACGCTTTGGACATTCGTCGGCGTTTACCTCCGCTTTGCTGCAGCAACTGTAGCGATAGATGAACGGGGGGGAGCGGCACCATCCCATGAGAAGAGCAAAAGTCATGGATGCGCTGTTTACATTTTGTCTGGGACGACCAAAATAAAAAAAAGGCAGAGGGGAAGGGAGGAGGAAGAGTTAATGGCTGGATGAAATTATTGTCGTCCGTAATGCCGTTTATTATTTGTCTTTGCATCTTCTTTCCTTTTTTTTTTTTTTTTTCTGCCCTCCTCTTCTGTGGTAAGCCGGTCCTGTCATGACGGTGGGCGTTTCGAATGGTGATGATGACGTGGTGTCGTTCCTCCAGCACGCGGGCGAGCGCTACAAGGAGCACAAGGAACTACTGCGCCGCAAACACCTGGAGGATGAACGGAAGAAGTGTCCATTTAAGCCGACCGTATCGGGGTACGCGGAGCAGGTGAGCCGGCAGTCCAACACTCGGCGAAGTGAGGCCATTACAAAACGTCTGCACGAGTTGCATGCCAAACGTCTTCAGACTGTAGAGGCGCAGCGGGTGAAGAGCCGGAAACGTCAGGAAGAGGAGATGGCGGCGGAGATGCGTGCGCCACAAGTGACGGAGCGGGCGCGATCCCTTGTCTCGCGAGACCCGGTGGACGTCTCCCGTAAGTGGCTGGAAAAGCGGGAGGAGAAATTTGCTCGATTGCGTGAAGAGGCGTTGCGGCGTGACTTGGCGGCTCTGCGCGAGGTGCCACGCATCTCGCAATACGCCCAAGAAAAGTCCATCGTCGAGCGTCATTTGGGACAACGTATAGAAGACTATTTCATGGCGAAGGAGGAAGCAAGGCGGGAGCGCATGTATTGGTTGGCAGAAAAGAGTGTGGGCATGAACAGTAGCTTTAGTAGTTCCTCCTTCTCTTCTCATGTTGGTGATCTGCCAATGCAGAACGAACTGCCACAGCCCCCTTTTACGCCGCGCATTACGGAGTACGCCAAGCAACTACGTCGATCCGGAAATGTAGTGGACCGTTTGCTGGCGGACGGGCGAAAGGGCAGAAGAACGCCGCAGGACACATCATGTACATTTGCGCCGCGAGTGGCTCCAGCATCGCTAGAGATGTCCAGGGGTTATTACAGCGATCCGAACACCCTGGTGTATGAGCGCTTGTATCGTAATGACGCCTCGAAACTGCGTGAGATGCGGCGTAAGCGGATGGAAATGGATTCGAAAAATGATCGGACAGGTATTCCCCGCATTAGTGAGACGTCTCGTCTTGTCGTGGAGCGTAAGAGGTCAGAAGCGATGGAACAGGCCCGACAAAAGAGCCCGACACAACGCCTTCATTCCTCCTCGCGCGATGTACACGCGGACGCCAGAGAAAAGCAACGTCTCATGGAGGCTAGGGAGAGGAAGGAGAAGGAGAACTGCACATTTAAACCGCGTCTTAACGCCGCTTCCAAAAAGATGTGGCGTCATCAATTGCAGTTGCTGCAGGGCGATAGCGACGCGCGGACAGCGGCGGCTGCGAGGGAACTCTTGTGGAAACGCTCTCAAAAACGCATGGATGAGGAGATCCGACGACGTCGTGCAATGGTGGAGGCGAGGGAAATGGCGGAGTGTACGTTTCACCCCAAAGTGGGACGCGCCCCGGAGCGCCAGGTGGACCGCGAACTCTCTGTGTCAGATCGCAACGAGATGTGGCAGCTTCAACGGGCTCAGCGCCTGCGTCAGGCCAGGATGGAGTTGGAACGCACGCAGTTGTCCGAGTGTTCCTTTCACCCCACAGTGGATCCCGTGTTTCCGCTGCCGGCACACAATGCATCGGCCGTTTCCGGGTACGAAGCCCACATTTTACGCCAGGAAGAGTCGCGTCGGCGCAAGCAGGAGGCGCAGGACTGGTGGCGACCAAAGGTGGTGCCTCCAGGCGAGCATGGCGCCTCGCGTCACACTTTGAGCGTGGCTTCAGAGCCTCGATCTTCACATCAACGGCAACAGCGGAACTTGCGACGTGAGGGACAGTCCCGTGCTTTGTTTTCACCGAGAAGCCGTGATGATTCCTCAGCTGATATGGATGGTACACAGTTTGTGGTGTATCAAGCCCCATCATGCGCCAGTTCGGTCTCGCCACGCTCCGTGGCATCGGCGTCACCTCCGTCATACAAGCACCATCATCATCATCATCATCATCATTGTAATTATCATGGGGATTTTCTCCACAGTAGCGACAATGGCATTGCTGCCGCAGTGCAAAGTGTCAAGCCAAGTCCTGTAGACTTTATGATCAACCATCACCGTGCGATTTTAGACTCGTCACGACGACGTTGACAGCATGTTAGACGCAATCTATATATTAATAATGATAGTAATAATAATAGAAAAAAAAGAAGGGGGTGTATCGGTCTTTTATATTCACGCACTCTTTGTTTCTTGTAATACTATGCTTGTGTTTTATTGAGACAGTGACTATGTACACATATATATTTATTTATTTGTTTTCTCTTTCTCACATTGTTCCTTCACTTGTTTCTTCCCTCCGTTGTATTTTTATTTTTTTTTATTTCTTTTTCGTACTCTTTTTTGTTGTTGTTGGGTTTTTTTTTTATTTATTAGCGTTCTCCATTAGTAATATACTCGTCTTTATATATACATATATATATACATATAATTGTTGCTGTACTGTGGGGTTATCTTTTAGACGTGTAGAGTGTCGTATAAAATCCCACACACACACACACAGAAGAACATTACAGTTACCCGATACTCTTGTATATATATATATATATGGAAAACATACGAGTTGTAGTACGTGTTCGTCCCTTTTTGCCCAATGAAGGGTCAAGTCGCTGTTTGACGGTGCGTGGTCATCAGGTTGTTATTGGTGACGAGCGTCAGTTTGCCTTTGATGAAGTCTTTGACATGGACACAATGTCGCATACGGTAAATGACGCTGTTGCCATGCCACTTGTGTCTGCTTTTGTGAATGGCTACACGGTTTCCACCATTGCTTATGGACAGACAGGTGCAGGAAAGACATTTACTATGTCCTCCCTGTCGTCCGATGTTGTGCGCCGCATATCGGCTGCCTTGAAGGCGGATGTCACTGCGGAGGGCGGAGAAAAACCGGAGTTTCGCGTCTCAGCGGTTGAGTTATATAATGAAAACATCTGTGATCTCTTTGCATCGACAATATCCTCATCCTCATCGATAGCAATGGCGTCGGTCGCATCGCTATCGCTGCGTGAAGACCCGCGGTGTGGGGTGTACATTCAGGGCCTCTCCGAGGTGGCGGTGGAGAGCGAGGAGGAACTGCTCGCGTGGGTGGAGAACTCATCCGCCAACCGTCGCACAGCCTCCACGATGCTGAACGCCACAAGTTCCCGCTCACACGCTTTACTCACAATTACCCTCACACACAATGGGGTGGTCTCACGTTTTGGTTTGGTAGACTTGGCGGGAAGTGAGCGCTTCAAGAAGACATATGGTCGTCAGCGTAGGACGGGATCTTTGGAGGAGTTTGGGAACGAATCAAACTGTATGTCAACCAACGATAAGGCGAAGGGGATTGAAGTGGCTTCACGAATACGCGAAGGCATCAGTATCAACACGGGGCTTCTCGCATTGGGAAATGTAATTGTGGCCCTTTGCGAGCGGAAGGCATATGTCCCGTACCGCACCTCGAAACTTACCCGTCTCTTACAGCCCATGTTGAGTGGGAACTCTAAAACAACAATCATTGCCTGTGTTTCACCGGATGTATCTTCTTTTGAAGAGACATTGAATACACTGAAGTACGCGGATCGCGCCAAGGCCATTCGCACCACTCCTTTTCAAGTGGCCTCTGGTTTTTCTTCATTAGAGGAGGCTGAGAGAACAATTTTGAGTCTTCGGCGGCAGCTGGGAATGGCACAACAGCAGTTGAGAGAGGAACAACTCCCCATCATGTACTCATTTCCCGTGGTTGATGAGACTCAACTGGAGGAATTGCAGGATTTGCTTACACGTGAGCGTAACTTGACGCGACGGCTTCAAGAGGACCTCTTTAACGCAGAGTACACTGCAATGATGGAAGTTGAAAAACGTAAACAGATTGAAAAGCGTTTGTTGACTCTTGAAGCCCAACAACGGTGTCGCCTTTCCCAGTCCATAGAAACAGATAACACACAGCTTTTAGATGCTAATTTGGGAGAGGATGGAGCAGGGCACACGTCATCCTTGGCTCAAAACCCGGCCGAGCACGACGAACCGCAGGTGCCGAAGGCAGAAGAGGCGGTGGATGCAGAGCGGCTTTCTATTTCTCCTGAGATCATATCGGTGTCGAGGAACAACATCGATGAGTCGAAGCTGGAAAATCTCTCTCGTGAGATTCAGTCGAAGGAGCGGTTGATTCATCAACTGACAAATCAGAACGAAGATGCCGTGCGGGAGTTGGAGTACGCCAAGCGTCGACAGCAAGAGATGCAGGACGTCAAGCGTCATTTGGAAGAGGAATTGGCACGTGCGGAGGCAAAACTGGAGGCAACGGAGATGCAACGTCAGGGGAAGGAAGAGGAGCGGCAAAAGTTGCAGACGCACTACCAAGTGCGGTTGCGCAAGGCTGAAGAGGAGGCGGCGGAATACCGACGGAAGGTGCAGGAGGCAACGACAATTATCAGCGGACGAGAAGCCAATGCGGAGATGATGAAACAACTGCAATCACAGGTGGTGGAGATGAGTGACGAGCTCAACCGTCAGCGTCATGCCTTGCGGGAGGGTCAACAGCGTTTACATAAGGTGTCTGCTTCCCACTCGCAGGAGGTAAACCAGCTACAGAAGAAATTGCGGGATTCTGAGGCGCAGGTGGCGCGACTACAAGTGCAGCTTCAGAGGAAGGAACGGGAGATAGCACGCGTCAAAAAGGGTGGGGCAGTTGTTGCAAATCGCCGGCAACAAACACCAACAAAAACAACAACACAGCAGGCACATGCATCAAATACGCCATCCGTGTGCTTGTCAGAGGATCTTCAGAAGGAAATTGATGTAGAATTAATATCACTGATTAATTTGGAGAAGGAACTGGACGAGCTCACGGCAGATCGGGATGAATTAAGGGATTCTGTAAGAGAAGCACAAGAGCGTGCAGGTGGAATGACGAAATGGAAGGATGCTATGAAAGGATTTATGATGCGATTGCAACAACTGGAAAGGAACCTTCATTCCGAGGCACTAAATGAAGAAATTCGGTTGGAGTATAGTCGTGAAAAGGCGAGTATTGAAGAGAAGCTGCGGCAATTAGAGCTACTTGAACCTGTACTTGCGCAGGCGTCAAAACAATTGGAAGAGATGGATAACAATATTGATAGTTTACAAGAGGCACGCAAGTATCATTTACGACGGGTACGTCAGATGCAAAATGGAACATTGACACCTGTTAATCCAACTGTTAGAGCATCTGAACTGCTGCGACGCGGGGTTGCTAATCATACGGAAGTGGTTTAGAAACAGAAATAAAGTTTATATTATATATAAAAATATACATATCCATATCCATATAGTTGCATGTATGTATGTATACGTATGTGTATGACCCGATTGAAGGTATAAAAGAATTTAATTCTTCTTGTTATTGTTATTGTTGTTTTTTTTTCTCCGTGTGTGTCTTCAGAAGGGCATTGAGGGGAAGAAAAAAAAATTTATAAACATATTTATATAAATATATATATATACCCAGAGAGACAGAGAAGGAAAATGAGTATGTGTGTGAAGAGTGAGCTGGACTGTTGCTCCTACTCACATTCACGACAGAATATATTTTTGCTACTGCAGTTTGCTTGTGTTTTTTCATTGTATTTACATTTTATTCTTAGTTACTTAATTTTCGTTTTCATCGGCCTTATCTCTGCGCCATGAGATTACTGCGCGATTTATTCTTTTTTATTGTTGTTGTTTTATCTTGCGTCTCTGTGTGTGTTTTTGTGTGCGTTTTGAGTGGGGAGGGGTTTAATGTTGCCGCCCCCTTTTTTTTTTTTTTTTGTCTTGACGCAAATTGCCTCTCTCTCTCTCTGTGTGTGTGTGTGTGTGGCGTGCACAATGCCAAAATGACGCATGTTGCCTTTTCCATGCACGCATGCAATCCCGACACAACCCCATTCTTTTTTTCTTTTTTTTTTTTCTTTTTTTCTTTTTTTCTCTTTGGCCTGCTGCCTGCACTTCCACCTTTCTTTTTCCTTTGTGGCGGCTCTGTGCCACAGTTGGAAGCGGAGAAATAATTAAGAGAAGGGGAGATTACTAAGCACAGAAAAAACGAAAACAGTAAAAATAAAAATGAGAGGGCGGATGGGAGGACGGAAAGGAGTGAAGAGGAATTGTGCGGAAAAAGTGTCGGATCCCCTTCAGCAGGGCGCGGCGGAACGTATTTCCTCGTGGGAGGTTGAACAACCGCACGAGGAGACACAAAAAGATTCCATTGAAGAGTCGTGGGAGCGACTGGCGCCTTCAGCGAATGGGCCACTGGTGGCGCGACTTGTCCCGCTGTCTGTTGATGGTGCCGAACTCTCCGCTATTGATTTATACCGCGACGTCGGCCGTATGATGCTGGGGCGCTCACAGCAGCTTTTTGCGGAATGCCGCATTGGTGTTGCCTCGGTGTCTGCGCAGCACTGTGAGTTGGCTGTCAACCCTGGCTCGCTAAAAGTGACAATTCGCGACTTCTCCACCAACGGAACATTTCTTAACGGAGACCGACTTAAGAAGGGTGTGGAGGTGGAGCTGCGGTCAGGTGACCACGTGTTTCTCACAAATCCGGCAAAGGAATCAAAACCAGACGCACCCAGTGTTGAATTTATCTTTCAGCGTGTCAACAGCGAAATAAAGGTCGATGTATTGGTGGAGGAGCTGACTTGCCCTGTTTGCAGGGGCTTGTTCATTCGTCCGTGTAGTACAATTCCATGTTTGCATGTCTGTTGCGCTGCCTGCATTAGCCAGTGGGTAGATGCTGGTCACAAGAGCTGCGTCCAGTGCCGCGCAAATATTTGGGAGGTGCGCCCGGCACACAAAATACAAAGCTGCGTCGAAGAGTTGCTTAAAAGCAACCCTCAATTGGCTCGATCCGACGCTGAATTGCATGAATTCGCGAAACATGACACCATTCCGCAGGGTGGCAAAAAACTGCGAAAAAGGCCCCACGACGAAGCGAGTGAAGATACTTCAAACTCGTCTTCCTCTTCCCGGGACAGCGACGGCTCCGACAGTTTTCATTACTCTGAAATGAGATCCAATGATTCCCATGTGGTGGACGGTAACCCTCGTCAATCCTGTCGACATTGCCGGGGTGCATCTTCTGTTGATGGGTTTCGCTGCCCCACAGATGCACCACATCGGCATTGTAGAGCTTGTGGTAACAGCTTTCCCTATCGACCGCTGTGTTCTCGGCCACAGAATTGCCAGATGTGCGGTGCTGCCTACTGTAACTTTTACTACGAAGGAGAAGGTGGCTGCCGCGCTGTTCTGAACGGACATTTAGTACGTCCTAAAGACAGCACTCCCATCAGAACGATGCCCCGGACAGCTTTTGGAGGTAACACCGTGGAACGGAATATTCTTTCCGATTATTTATCCACCAAAGGCATCAGTCTGGGGACGGTGTGGTTGGAGTGCATGGAGAAATTTCGGGCACGGGAATGGGTTCCGAACATCGTGTGCGCGAATGGGCAGTTAACGGAGGATTCCCCCCTCTGTGTGAAGTGCATGAATGCCGTTGTGGACTCTTTGCTGTTTTTTTATCGATTAAAAGTGCCTCGCCACGAACTTCCTGAAAGCGTCACTAAGAGGCCGAATTGCTGGTATGGTGACAAGTGCCGCACCCAATTCCACAAAGTGCGACATGCAAATCGGTACAACCATGCGTGTTACCAGGAGAAGGGGAAGGAGTAGGGAAGCCGTAGGGAGAAAGGAGGGCGATGATGCCAGCAAACAATGCGACGCGTTTGCAATGAGTTCCTTTTAATATGAAGTGAATTGAAAAACAAACAGTAGAGAGAAAAAAAAAAGGAATGGATGGGTGGGTGGCGGCTGGAATTGTTTTTCTTTCTCTCCGATTTGTTTGTTTCTTTTTGTTGTTTTTGTTGATGTTGCTTTTTCCATTTATTGGGCGAGTGTTTGTTGTTTTTTTTTTTCACCCTCTCTTCATCCAATTACTTGGCAGGGGATCCCTCCCGTTCTGTTTTTTTTTTGTTTGTGCCGTCTTTATGTCGCTTTCATGCCCATATTATTGCTGGTGTGCCCACTGTTCTCTCTTTTCTGCTTTTCGTGGGGAGGGGAGGGGAGTTGGTGTGTGTTTGTACGACATTTGTATGAGCGAACATTTTTCTGGGAAGGAGGAGGCTCTCCGCCGCACGAGTCTCTCACATCTTCTTTCCCCTTACCGCCCGCGGAGTGCAGGGGAACAGAAGTTTTTGCGACACGCCACCTTCCGAGCGGTGGCGTTGATGGGGTTCATTACTTATTTTATCTACTGCAACCCCGAATACAGTTATGCGTACTCTTACCTGCAGGAGAAGTACGGCATCGGAACTGGAAGGCCGTTGATACCGAAGCTTTTAAAGCTTGAAAAGAAGAAAGCGCCCGATAATTAAGGTGGGGGACAAAAAAAAAAAAAAAGGGGGGGGGGAGGAGGGGTGGTGAGGGGCGGCAACATCCCAAGCCTTCAAATTGAGGGTTGTTATGCGTATTTACAGAAAGTTATAATTTTGGGACATTATTTTTGTGTTTTTGTGCATTGACATCTTTCTGATTCTTCTTTGTGGAGGCTTATTTTTTCTGTTGTACCCGTCTTGTTTGTGCTTTTTTGTTTTGTTTTGTTTTATTATTTTCCGCTGTCGGTGAGTGCTGTCATATCTGCACATTTACTTTTTTTTTTCTTGCTTTTTTTTTTTTTTTTGGGGGGGGGGGGCGTTGTATGTGCATGTGTTGTGTTTTTCTTTGCCGCTTTGGCGGAGTGGAGACAGACAGAGAGAGAGAGAGCGAGGAACAAAGAGAAAGGGTTCGGTGAACTAAAAGACGAAGGTTCTACAAGGTGGCGGAGACCCAAATGTGCATCCTGGCCTTTGTGACTCAGTGCTCGCAGCGGTTTCCACTTGTGCTGATCAACAACCGCGATGAATTGATTGGCCGTGTGACACATCCCGTCGGTGTGGACAAATCAACGGGTCTTCTGTGGGCGGCGGATGGTGTGGCTGGCGGTTCGTGGCTTGGACTGAATGTGCACAATGGGCGTTTCGCTGTCCTTACGAATTGCTCCCGCTGCCCAACGGCGCCACTAGCAATTGATGGGATCTCCATGCCCTCTGACTGGCGGGGAGCCATGCCAGTTGCGGAAGTAGTGCGGCGCATGAAAGTGCATGCCACGCCTGCGGAGGATGGCGGAACAGACGTGTTCTTGACATTCATCCCCGATCTCTCGCGAGGCTGCATTGTCGGTGATTTCCTCAAGGAAGGGAGAGTCCCGGGTGATTGTCTCCCGTCTTCTTCTCTTTCGACAGAGGAGGCGATGAACTTGCCGCCCTCCCTTCTTTCATCTCCATACTTTGACGGCTACAACCTGCTGACAGCGGAGAGTTTGTTTGACCCGCATCAAGTGCAATTGCTCTACAGCACGAATCGTTATGCCGCGCAGCACCGATCCCCCGCAGAACACGGCGTCGTTCATTGTCTGCAGAATAGTCACCTTGACAACTGGATGGAGCCCAAGTGTACCTTACTGCGAAAACGGTTTGAAGAAGCGCTGAAAAAATTTTTTCCCACAGGTGCAACACCATACGACGCGGAATATGTGGCAGATTCCCTTGCCTCTTATTGTCTCTGCCTTGAGCCGAACTTTGATCTACAGCAAGAAATTCAAGGTGGTAATTTATCTCCCGAGGTTGTTCAGGGATATCAGCAGGTATTGGATGCCTCATTACCATACAAGGGCTACAATGGGGAGGCGGAGCTGATACAACTCTACGGTGCAGGGCTACAACCACCCGTGCACTTTCCAACTGATAGTTACAAGGAGCACATTAATTTTCAACAGCGGAATATATTTGTTTCCAATGGCATGTACTGTACTCGGTCTCAGACAACAGTAGTGGTGGAAACGATGCCTGATGGTGAGGGAACCGTTGTCCACTTCTCGCAGCGAAATTGTAATGCCGGTAAAGCACACGGGCCGTGGAAACACTTCACCGTGCAATCACGGTCAATTATATGAAAACAAAGCAAGGCGGTGATGGCCATTTTGTTGTTTTGTTTTGTTTTGTTTTGTTTTGTTTTCCTGCTTTCCTTGGTTTTGGTTGGCATTGTCTTCTGTTGGGGTTTTTTTTTTCTTTCTTTCTTTCTTTTTATGTTTTGTATTTATGTACGTGCGCTGATGGTGTTATTTATGGTGGTATTTTTGTACATGTTTCCGTGTGTGAATGTGTGTCTTTGCTTTAGTCGTTGGGTGCTTTTTTGATTGTTTACCAGTCACTTATTATTGTTATTATTATGATGATGATGATTTGTTTTTTTTTTTTTTTTTTCCTTTCTTTTCTTTCTTTTCTTTCTTTGGCCAAAAGGAAGAACACCTTTAAAAAAAAAGTCAACGTGGCAACTGCAGTGACGGGGAGAAGAGTGGCGGGAGTGCGGAGATGTTCAGTCCTTCGGTGTACCTCTCGATTGGTGATGAGTACGATAAACCCTCCGCGATGCCATCGATTGGGGTGAAGAGCGGCGGAAGGAGTTTTGTCGTCCCAATGAAACGTTCCCCGCACATCACCGACGCCGTTTTTCAAAAGCCTTTTATTTCCCTCGCCGTCGGTGATGAGTACGTCGCTGTTCCACCGCACGGTACATTTCGCCAGCCGCTGGATAAAAAGAAGGCTGGAATGACGGTGTTGGTTCCCTTTAAACCCCCGAGTCGTCCCCACAAATCAAACGGCAGTGGGACGTACTACGGCACATTTAACGAGGGCAATCCGCCCAGGCACGAGGCAGAGTTGCCGCTGATTGATACCAAAAAAGCGGGTACCCCGGCAGCTGCCACAACCCCGGAATGGCCCAAGCGAAGAATATACACAAATCCTGGTAAAAAAGGTACCTACGGTTACGTGGGCCTGACAATCGGCAAGGCAGGGGAGGTGCAGTACATAGCGGACCCCATCGCCCCATATACCATGTCTACACGCTCAAGCAGTCCACGTTCGCAAAAACCATTTAAAGCAGCCGTGAAAAGTGGCGGATGCTTCGATGAGAGTCCAAATGGCTTCACTACAGTGTACAGCATTAGCAGACCACTTCCCCCCAAGAAACCACCCATGCCGCGTCCGCCACTCGATGTTAAGCCATGGAAGCCTGCTGGTGCTCTTTTGAGGGAAATTATTAAACCACCAGAATACCAGGAAGATCCGTATGACTTGAAGGAAAAACGAATCCGAGAGGAAAGACAAAAGGAGCAAAGCTATAAGCCATGGTGCCCCGCAGGCAATGATCCCTACCGCCACATCTTTCACTACCCTGTGCGATTTGATCCCCCACCATTGAACGAATAGAAAAATTTAAAAAAAAAAAAAAGGAAAGAAACTAAACCCGTTGAAGGGCCAACTAGATTTTGCATGGGACCCAATTCGTATTTAACGCATTTGTATTTATCTCTTTTTCTTTTTTCTTTTTTTCTTCTTCTGTATATATATTTATTTATTTATGCGTATGTAAACTGAGCAAATGGTATGGGAAGAGGGCGAATGTGATGGATGAAAATTTTTCATGGAAGTGCGTGATGTAATTTACGAAGCGAGATGAAAAATGAAAAATGGAAAAAAAAAAAAGAAAAAAAAAGGAATATATTTAATTTTATATGTATTATATAGGGAAATGAGGAAAGAAAGGAGGAAGGGAGAAAGGGGATTCAATGTATACATGTATGACGAAGCATCATTGCAATGATAATGAAGAAAAAATAAAAAATAAAAAATTTGAGTTATTTTCTTCTCTCTCTCTCTCTTGCTGTAATAATAATGGACGTATGTTCGTGAATCAAAGCTTTTCAGCGTCTTTTTTTTTTTTGGTGCCGTTGTTGAGTCGTCATATATATATATATATATATATGTATGTGTGTGTGTATATAGATGCATGACAACTGCACGTTGTTCCTGCATTTTATGCATAGGGTCAGAGGGAAGCCCTTTTATCATTATTATCATTACTATTATTGTGACTTCCAGTCCAATTTCGCCATCCTCCAATGCTCTTTATTGCATGTATGTGTTGATGTGTATTATATATATATATTTATTTATTTATTTATTTTTCTATGTGTGTTTTGTTTTTTCTTTAATTTGTTCCATGGCTCCGCATGCGGGGTGGTGGGAAGTATTTTTAGTCTAAAAAGCCCGCTAGGAACAAAAAATGCCGTTTAGCAAAGCATGGAGAAGTGCGGTGTACCCCGACTTCCGTGAGCAGGGTGCGTATATCAATTACAAGGCCACGAAAGACATCCTCCACCGCATGAAGGAAGACATTGCAAACCCATCCACCCCCGATGAACTGTACAACTCCCTGTTGTTGCAGAAGTGCCGCGTGTACAAGTGGTGTGAAAAGAAAATTAAAGAACTTTTGACCGTTGCAGAGGCACTTATGGCTGCCTCCGACTATCTCACCGAGGAAGATACCAAAACCAATCTGAGCCTTGTGCTGAATACACTAGGGAGTGGAAACATGAAGTGTTTACCTCCCAATGAGGCACGACTCTTGGCAGATTCAATCACGCATGAACTTCTTCGATTTGTGGAGTGTTGCAACTTAAACACAGACACCATTGAGCACATTATTGGTCGTATGTACCGATATGCCGTTCTTGGACCTACAGGTAAGCACTGGAATAACATCATGACGGAGTATGATTATCATAAACTCTCCATTCATGAAATTTTTTATCTGCTTTCAAAGGTGTATGATCGTGTGACAGCGACGGAAAACATGCGAATTGTGAAACGTTCCGGGATTCCAGCAGGCACCGTTGGCTCGCAGGTGTTTGACCGTCGTTCGGTGAAGTACTGGGTACACTTGCAGGATCTTCCCTTTGTCATTGCCCGCATTATCCCTCACTTGCCGCATAGCACATTTAAAGAAACGTATCAAACGTGTAAAGAACGTAACATTCCCTTTACACTTGGATCACCTGTCAGCAGTGTGTACTGGGATAACAACGAGTTCCTTCTGTATCATCGAAGGCTTGAACGACTTGAAGGAGCAACTCTTATTCGTATGCGTTGGTACGGTGACCCGTTGGAAAATGACTGGAATAAACTTGGCCCTAATGATAGTGTCTTTATGGAAATTAAAGTACACCATGAGGCATGGAGTGGTGAGCGGAGTAACAAACGACGGTTTGCACTGAAGGAGAAGGAAGTTAATTCGTATGTTCATGGGGAATTGGATCTTAATCCAGCATTGGAAAAGTTACGTGCCAAGAAGGCCTCTAAAAAGGAATTGCACAATTTTATGGATCTTTCTACCGAAATTGTCACAAAGATTGATGCTTACGATCTTAAACCTGTGATTCGCACGCAGTGTTCTCGAGCAGCCTTTCAGCGAGGGATCGACCAATCCATACGTGTCAGCATTGACACCGACCTGCGAGTCTGCGCCGAAGACTTTGGGTTGGGACATCATTGGCGGTACAGTGGCGTCGATGCACCCGTCTCGTACTTCCCGTACGCCGTGGTGGAGATTAAACTGCAGTGTGCTGAAAATGAACGCATTGCGCCGTGGATCGAAGAGTTGATGAGTTGCCGCTACATGGAGAGTGTGCCAAAATTTAGCAAGTATGCACATGGCATTGCCTCACTGTATGGGCACACTCCGTTTATTAAGATGGTGCCGTATTGGATGCATCAACTTGATATTGATATCCGTGCCTCGACGAAGCCAGAGCAGAATCAATGGGACCCGACTGTTGGCCTCGCCTCGGGTTGTTGGGAGCGCACAACGGATCGCGCCATTTTCGGCGTTGGTCACGCGCAGACGCAGACGGTTGGTGCGTCAGAGGCGCAGTTTCTTCCTCGCACGGACTATACACGTGTATATCAAAAGGCGTTGCACGGAATACGCGGAGAGGGCGTTGCGACTCCCGCGACTGCGGATAATTTCCAAGACGCCGAGGCGGAGGGAGGGTGCGCTTCGGGTACCGCCGGCAGTCGAAAACAGCAACTACAACCGCGGTTGCCCGCCCACACGCTCCAGTACGATGTGGATAGGCGACATAAGGCCTACACAACATTTCATCTCTACCCGTTTGCTGAATATGGCGTAGAGTCGTTGTGTTTTACTCCGGCAAGCGGAAAGAATGCCGCTGCGGAGGTTCTTTCGGGTCTTATTCCTTGGCAGACAGGAAAGCGAATTCGCGTACCACAGAAATACGATCCCAAGACGTTGCTCACATCGGAGCGCTACATGTTGAAGTGGACGGAACATGCGACACGATTGGGTCTGGTAGGGCTTGGTGTGATTCAGTTTGGCAACAGCATGACTCTTCCAGGCGATGTTACACAGTTGAGTTCGTTTTGGCGAGCGAACTTTCATATTGTCTTGGGCATAGCGCTTGTCCTAGTTGCCTTGATGACATTGATGTACGCGTTGATGACGTTTAAGGCACGTTCACGGCGAGTTTACGCGCGGAAAAAGATCCGCTTTGATGATAGTTGGGGTCCAACCGTATTGACGGTTTTTTTGGCCTTTGGAATCTGCGTTATTGCAATGATGCACATCTTGGGACGCTACGGCCCCATGCTTACCGGCGATGATAACTTTTGAGAGTGGGACCCATAAATAACTATATTTAACCATATTTATATATTTATATGGATATGGATATATATTGGTGTATTGAATGGAGGGGAAACAAGGGGAGTGAGAGAGAGAGAGAGAATGTGGGGGTGTGGGTGTGTGTGGATGTAAAGAGATGTGAAGTAACAAAGAGGAAATTAGGGGAGAGAAGAAAAGAGAATGAGAGGGGAGGAAGGGGAAACGGCGAAGAAAATAAAAAGGGCGCATAAATATTTTAAAAAAGAAAGGAGAACAAAATAATGAAAAAAAAAAAAAAGAGGAAATTCCTTTTGGGAGCGTGCATGTGACATTATCCCCATGCCTTTTGGTGTAATTTCTCGAAACGTCTATTTTCGCTGCATACGCACGTTCTTGTGGGCTTTATTCCTTTAAACGCTTTTTTTTTTTTTTTTTTGCATTTTTTTTTTCTTTCTTTTCTTCCAGTGGGTTATTTTATTGTTTACTTCCTTTTTTTCTTCTGCTGCTTGCTATGCGGACTTGTCTCTCTCTCTCTCTCTCTTTTTAGTCTTTTGTTTATTTCTGCGGTTGACGTGCAGAGCCGCTCACGTGGAGGCTGAAGGAGAGAGAAAGAGGGAAGGAGGCATTGCCGGTAGATCTCTTTTTTTATTTATTTATTTTTTTTTTTCTTTTTTTTTTTTTTTTTTTTTTTACGAAGCAAGAGGGAGAAGGTCACTTGTTGCGGCATCATCATCATCAATAAGAAGAAGAAGAAGAAAAAAAAAAAAAAAGGGAAAAGGAAGCGGTTGGATTTTGTTGCACAGTAATGTTGCGCTTCAGTTGGTGTCGTCTGTGCGGCGGCAGCAGCAGCACCGTCGCCGCCACATCGCCGTTGGCGCCTGATGTTCTGGCTGTAGCCAAAGCACAATCCGCGCAGCTGGACGGTTTGTCTCCGCGGAAAATTGTGTCAATTTTGGATACGTACATCATTGGCCAGTCCGAGGGAAAGCGCGCGGTTGCAATATCACTCCGCAACCGCTGGCGTCGACGCCAAGTGAAGGACAAGGAGCTGCGCCGTGATATTCTGCCAAAAAATATTCTTCTTGTTGGCCCTACTGGCGTTGGAAAAACGGAGATTTCGCGGCGCATGGCAAAGATCACGGATGCCCCGTTCGTCAAGGTGGAGGCGACAAAGTACACCGAGGTGGGCTTCAAGGGGAAGGATGTGGACTCCATCATTGAGGATTTGTACATGAACGCCAAAACGAAGGCAAAGCGGCGCCTGGAGGCGGAGCGCGCGGAGGAGGCACTCGCCATGACGCTGGACGTGGTGTACGGTAGTTGGGCGACACGCCGACGCGCCAGCGGTGGTGATGCAAGAAGCAAGTACGATGAAGATGGGGAGGATGGCGGACGCGCCCCATTCACCGATGTGACGCTTGAGGAATTTAAGGCGAAGTACAAGACAGAATTTAAGGACGACCTCGTGACGGTGGACATCGTTCCACCACCCCCGAAACACAATCGGCAGGGTTGGAGTAAAGCCGAGATGGATATCGCCGGCCTCTTCGGGTCCGCGTCCGAGGTGCGGCTTAAGACGCGGGTAACGAAACGCGTGGAGGAGGCGGTTCCGCTGGTGTTGCAAGACATATTAGAACGTCTCTTGGATGAGACACAAATCAGTACATTGGCTCGAACTTTGGCCGAGGATGATGGCGTGGTATTTATTGATGAAATTGACAAGGTGGTCACAGATGCCGCGAATAATGACGCCGATGTCAGTTCCACCGGTGTGCAGCAGGATTTGCTGCCACTCATTGAAGGTTCTGACGTGACATTGAAGGATGGCACTCAAATTAGTACCGATAACATCCTCTTTATCTGCTCCGGTGCGTTTCACTTAGCAAAGACCTCTGACATGATTGCAGAGCTGCAGGGTCGTTTGCCAGTACGGGTGGAGTTGCAGGCGTTGAAGGAGGAGGATATGCGTCGCATTCTCCGCGAGCCACGGTTTAATCTACTGCTTCAACAGAAGGAACTGATGAAGACAGAGAAGGTGGATATCGAATTTACAGAAGACGCCGTTGATGAGTTGGCACGCGTCGTAACGACGGTGAATGCAAATGGACAAAACATTGGGGCACGCCGTCTACATACCGTGATTGAGCGTGTGATGGACAAGTACAGCTTTAACTGTCAAGACTACGAGGATAAAAAGGTGGTTATTGATGCCAATGTAGTAAAAGAGGCCACAAGTACACTGCATACGAATATTGATCTAGCCAAGTATCTCCTTTGACTCCGTCAATTAGTTTACGTGTGTGTGCGATGGGGAAGGAAATGAAAAAAAAGAAGAGAAACAACCAATATATATATATATATATAGAGAGAGAGAGAGAAAGAGATATATACGTGGGTGGGGGAAAAAAGTGAAAACAAGGAGACGCCGGGGAAAAAAAAAATAATAATAATAATAGAGAGAGAGAAAAAGAGGCCCCCATGCGTACGATTGGGGTGTGTGCTTCTTTTCATTTGCGTCTTACTGTTTCTTGTATGCTTGCCTGGTTTTAAATGTGCTCTGTCTCTTTTCTTTTTATTTTTTTTTTTCCTTTCTGTGCGTGTGGTTGTTGTTTTTTGCCGTATTACTTGCAGCTGTGTTCCCATGTTCTGTATGCATACTCAACGGGACTTTCTTCTTTTCTCTCTGTTGCTGTAATGGGGTAGGTGGCCAGTACATCGCCACGCATAAGGCATTGGATGCCAGATCTTACATCGATAATGAACGGGAGGGAGGAAGAGGGGAATGAGATGCATGTTGTTTCATTGCGAACTACGCCTGCATCCGCACCCCTCTTTGAGACTCCATTCATTCTCTGTCCTTTAGTAAATTTGGGTAACACATGTTACTTTAACGCTGGTGTGCAGCTTTTTGCGAACTGTATCCCATTTGTATACGGTCTGAGGAATTCTCCATTTCGGCATCCCTTCCTTGGCTCCCGCGCCCTGAAGTACTGTCGTACTGGAGGAAAGGCTTCCCAAGCATTGTTTCAGGCCTTTGCAGAACTTTTATATGACATGGAATTTGCACGACTTGGGCAGGGTGAGGCTCTTTCGCCACTGAAGGCGCTAGACTGCTTGGCGGCTGTTCACCCTGCCTTTGAGGGTCGTGGTCAACAGGACTGCCCAGAGATGGTGAATGTCCTCATTGCCAACCTGTCAGAGGAGGGAAGACAAAATGTGGAGTTGGAAGCGTTATTGTGTTCCTTTGAAGAAGATGCCCTCACACGTGCGGCTTCTGATGCTGTGTTAGTGGATGTTGTCGGTCGTGACAATATACCCAACTCACACTCCACCGTGGGTATGGATTTTCGATCTATGCCGCATGAGCATCCCACTGGGGTACTCATTAATGAAGAGACGTTAAAACTATGCAGTCATTCTGTAACGGATAAAGAAGAAAAAATTGAGATACCGTCATCGTTTCTCTTTGCTGGGAAACCCAATATGCTGTCCTTTAATTTTCCAGGTAGCTGGTGGACCTACAATACGTTTCAACTCATGCAAACAGTGAACCATGACAATGAGCAGCTTGATCGCAAAGAGAGGGCCAGGAAGGATAGGCCACAACAGAATACATTTTGTCCACCAAAGTTACACTATAACAGTGTGACGGATTGTTTTACTGGGTATATGTTATCGGAGGTTCAGTGTCATACATGTAATAGCACCTCCCGTATCGTTGAGGAATTTTCTTCTCTTACCATTGATGTTTCATCTTACAGCCAACGCATGCAGTATGCCCGGAGACATCCAGAAGCGCGATGTTCCGCGGAGCAACGACCTTTCATGCAACAGAAGAGCCGTGGGCCGCTTCAATGGTGGAACCCGTTTGTTTGGATTGGTGCATTGACCCGTTTTTTCTTTAGCTTCTTTAAGGGTTTTTCAGATTACATTGATTACCCCATCACCTTGAAGGAGTGCCTTGATATTCACTTCGAGCCTGTGGTCCTGAAGGGAAGTAACAGTTATCATTGTGCCTCGTGCAATAACGTATCGGAAGCCACTAAACGCGAATTTCTTCTCTCCCTTCCAGAGTATTTACTTCTGCAGATGAAACGCTTTGAATATGGGACGTGTTTTAATACAAAAAAAACGGATCCTGTTATATTTCCCGTCTCTTGGGATATTGGAGAAGCTGGTGATGCAGATGTGCTGCGTCTTGATGATTACATGCATGAGAGCGTCATGAGAAATATGGCACCTTCCGTACCGTGTCGGTCCATTATAAGCACAGACATTTGTACAGATGCAATAGAGAACATGACGAATCCAATGCATACGCAACAAGTAGATAGCCCTATCAGTGAGAGTATGGAAGGGGCATACACGGAGATGCAGTCTCCGATTTACACGTACACATTAGAAAATGTTGTGAATCATCATGGATCTATCATGGGTGGGCACTATACGGTCTACGCACGCAAAAAAACGGAGGAGGAAAATGTATGGTTGTCTTTAAATGACGAGGAAATCACTCGTGTGGGTGTCAATGAGGTTGCCGATTCAGAAGAATATCTTTTGCTTTACAAGAAACAGCCACTTCAACCCCGCTCAGAAGCTGTTCTGACGCTCCGTCGCAAGGCGCAAAGCCTCCTTTCGCTCCCACCGTCCGATGGGGAAGTATTACTGAAGGAAGAATTCACAGACAGGCATGAAAAGAGGGATGCAAAAGGAAAGAGGGTGGTGTATATTTCCCGCCCTTGGTTACAACGGATGGCTTTCATGGAGGAGCCAGGGCCCATTCTTAATCGACTATGCTACTGTATAGGAGAGGATCAAGGCCACAAGGCAAACTCGAGGCAAGAAGTGGAAGGATCACATAATCGGATATGCCGAATGAGCCATGGTCCTCCTGTGGAGTGGTTTTATGTCCCGTTACGGTGTGACGAGTATGATGCCTTCTATAAAATGTACGGAGGCAATACGGCACTGACGCAGAGGGAGTATGAAGAATTGTATGAGGCTCAGCATCAAGTAGCATAGGCAAAAGTAGGAAAGGAAAGGGAAATAATAATAAAAAAAAAAAAAAAATAGAGAGAGAACGAGAGAGAAAAACTGAAAACCTCTATACACGCATATATACGTAAATATATGAGGTAAAATAAAATGAAAAACATTTTAGAAGACAAAGTCGGAAGAAGAGGAAAAAGAAGAAGGTGGTGGTGGGAAAGGAACTTTTAAACACACACACACACTCACACGATATATATAAATATATATAAATATCTGTATATATTGTATTAGGTTTTCTCACAACTTTTTCCCCCTTCTTTGTTAATTATTACGTTTGTTTGTAGGATGGCAACAGGTGGAGTGGGATTTGTACACCTGTGTACATTTCTTCTTTCCTCCCTTTTTTTTTTTTTGTTTTTGTTTTTGTTGTTTTTTGGAAGGAATTGCCGAAGGCCTTTTGAAAGGAAACCCTGACAGTTTTCCTGTAGGGTTTGTTGTTGTTGTTGTTGTTGTTGTTGTTTCTTTTTTGTTCGTTTCTGTGCGTGTGTGTGTTGTTGTTTTTTTCTTGCTTTTTTTTCTTTTTTTTTTTTTTTTTTTGTTGTTGTTTTTGTTGTATTTGTTTGACTGGACGATGAAGAAGTAAATGACGGCTTCTCATTTTATGCCACGCTCCGGTAAGGAGGAGGAGGAGGAGGAGGGGGGTGGTGGTGGAGAAGGATAGCGGTGGGGTTTTGTTCCCTCCCTTCTTCTTTTCCAAAAGTACCAGGGATTACTGTATGTGAGCCGAAAACAATAAAAATAAAAAGGGGAGCATTTCTTTGCCCTACGCCTGCTTTTCCCCCCCCCTTTTTTTTTTTTTATTTTATTTTTTTTTTGTGTGTGTTGTGGACGTTGTTTCTTTTGCTTTTTCATCTCACCCTCTCTCCCTCTCTGTGTGTGTGTGTTTGTATTTTTTTCTCTGTCTTTTGTTGTCGTTGTTGTTTTTTATTCTCCCGGTGTGTGTATTAGTCGGTGCTTCCTTTTGTATTGAGTGAGCACTCAGAAGGGAGCGCCGTGCACACGCATAGATCGATCGACACGCTCCCAAGAAGGGAGGAAGAAGAAAACAAGGCCGGTAGACGAATTCAAGGAAATAAACACAAACACACAGACACACACACACACAGAGAGAGAACGAGAGAGATACAGGTGGAGATTTATATATAAAGTTATATATAAAGAGCGATGGACAGAGATTCACTTGTGGAACTAACGCCAATACGTCCTTCGATGCAACATGATTTGTCGCGGAGCCCCACTCAGGCAGCAGCAGCAGCAGAGGCGGTGATGGCGGGTGCGCCACAAATGTTCCATGGGGATGACGGGGAAGTACCGCCGTCCGAAGGGCACCCACCGCCCCTGTCATCATCATCAGCATTATTGCGTCGCGAGGATCTCTCTTACATTTGGGGTACCAACATTGCGGTGGAGACATTCCGGGAGGAGTTTCAGCGGTTCCTTGAGACATTTGATATGCACACTGACAGCACCGGTGGCTGGCCAGGAATTGTGGGTGAACATGTGGGCACAGGCGGTGGAAACCGGAAATATTTCCTGCAGGAGCTTCTGCGTCTTCGATTGCAGAACCGCAGTGTTCTCGAGATGGACATGCAGCTGCTCGCCAAATCTTGTCCACGTTTGTATCACCAAGTCGTTGCACATCCAATGGAGTGTTTGCAGATGATGGCCAACGTTGCGGAGGACGTCTGTCAGCGCCTCGCTACCGCCTCTTCCTACGTGCCCATGCCGGATGACTTTATTCTGCGTGTGGCGCCAAAAAATCTTCCGGAAATCATCTCACTGCGTGGATTGGGGCCGCAGCACCTCGAGCAGCTTATTGCCCTTCAGGGGATGGTAGTGCGGGTGTCTAAAATTATTCCCGAGATACGAGTTGCATTTTTTCAGTGCTGGTACTGTCAAAATGTGCGTCGAAGTGTCGTGGATCGCGGTCGCATTTTTGAGCCCACCCGTTGTGATCACTGCGGCAAAAACTACTCCTACAGGATTCAACATAACCTTTCTCTTTTCGACGACAAGCAATTGGTGCGTCTGCAGGAGGCGCCGGAACATTTGTCAGACGGAGAAACACCCGTCACCATCTCTGTTGTTGTGTACGGCGACTCCGTGGACGCTGTTGTGCCTGGCGACCGTGTCGTCGTGACGGGCATCTACCGCGCCGCTCCTGTCCGTCTGAACTCCACAACACGTTGCATACGCAGTATTTTCGCCACTCATGTCGACGCCGTACACATTGAACATCGTCGTGCGGGCCGCCATTTGTGGAAGAAACAACAACAGCCCTTGACACCGTCATTGGAGGCGGAAGAAGGGTTGTCGGAGGATCCGGCCGAAGCGGCACGACGCGATGTGTTTCGTCGCATTGCCAGTCGTCCAGATATTTATGATATCCTCCTCAACAGCTTTGCGAGGACCATTTGGGGGAACGAGGATGTGAAGCGTGGAATTCTCTCTCAGCTATTTGGTGGAACACGCAAGGAACTGAAATCTGGCACCTTCCGTGCGGAGATCAATGTGATTTTGTGTGGGGATCCAGGTGTGGCGAAGTCACAGCTCTTGTCTCAGGTTCACGAAATTGCTCCACGTGGTGTGTACACATCTGGGAAGGGCAGCAGTAGCGTTGGCCTGACTGCATTTGTAGTGCATAATCATGAGACGGGTGAGTTGGTGCTTGAGCCTGGTGCTCTCGTGCTCTCTGACCGCGGTTTATGTTGCATTGACGAGTTTGACAAAATGAATGAGGCCACACGATCGGTGTTGCATGAAGTGATGGAACAGCAGACACTCTCCATTGCAAAGGCAGGCATAATTGCACAACTTAACGCCCGCACTTCGGTGTTGGCTGCCGCAAACCCGAAAGAGTCCCAATGGAATGTGAATTTGAACGTTGTGGAAAATTTGCAGATTGAACCGACGCTCTTGTCACGTTTTGATTTGATCTTTCTTTTGCTAGACCGGCACGACCCGACGGAAGACAGGCGTTTGGCCTCACATGTCCTCTCCCTTTTCATGGAGCCAGACGAGGGGTCCCGTCGGGCCACCACCTCTAGTAGTTCTCCCGAGTTGGGTAATAACAATGACACCGATAATGAGGAGGACAGGGGGGGAAATGGGAATATGAGGTCGCAAGGTGTCCCAATGGGACAAGCGGCGACGGTGTTGGAGCATGAAGGCGAGGTGTTTCTAGAGGGAACGAATGACGCACCCTATATGCCGCCACGTGTGCTATCGCAGTACATCGCCCTTGCACGCGAGACGGTCCACCCACGTCTCACAGAAGCCTCACATAAGCAGTTGGCGACGTCGTATGTGGAGATGCGACGTGCCCGGGGCAGCAGCCGGACGGTCTCTGCAACACTGCGGCAGCTGGAATCTATGATTCGACTGGCAGAAGCACGTTGTAAGATGCGTTTTGGCGCGGAGGTGACTGTAGAAGATGTCAAGGAGGCAAAATGGCTCATTAGTGCGGCACTGAAGGAGGCTGCGACAGATCCCCAGACTGGCCTTATCAATTTAGATATGTTCAGCGCGCCAGACCCAACGCGGCAGACAGTTGAAGGGAGTATGTTACGATTAGAACATATTATTGGTAGACGATACCTTGCGGCAGGTCGTAATTCCGCGACGGTAAATGAGTTGCGACAGGCATTTAACGAGTCACTTGTTGGTGGAATGCGACCACTCGCAATTGCACAATTTATGGAACTTCTGGCATTGATGGCAGGTGGCGAACATGTGAAGTCCTTCAGTGCTAATTCCGTGACATTTGCTGATGAGGGCCCCTAGGGAGGAATCTATATATGCATATACAGATATAGATATAGATATGCATTGGAGGCATGAAGGCGCCCATTTTAACTGTGAATGTGGAGGAAATACACATGTCAAGTGACATTCACCTACCCCAATACAATATCAGGGCATTTATTTATAAAATAAATAAAAACTTTCTTCATCTCTATAGCATGGCTGTTACTGGGTCTTTCTTTTCTTTTGTGTATGTGGATCTTGACAGTTTTTATCCAGAGGTGAAATTGTAACATTACACACAGAAGGGCACGAGGTCAAGATGCAGCAACAGCGTGGCAATACCTTCTTGGAAGATCTTGGACTGAACTTGCTGGATAACACGGAGCAGCAACTCATTGCGCGGCGAGTCGTAATAGTGGGGGATGCTCTCAGTGGCAAAAGAGCATTTGCCAGTCGTCTTTTTGCCGCCGCAGCACAACAATTTCCATCTTCCTCCATGTCCACATCGTCGTCACAGACATATGCCGCCAACAGCAGCAACAGTAGTGCTGGCGGCGGCAGCTGCTCTTTCCCAGTATTGTCATCAACAGGAGCAGCAGAAGCAGCAGGAACCATGGGTACGGAAGGCACCAACTCGTCACGGTATTTCCCGCAATTTCCCCATGGTGCAGGCGTTACCCAGGCATTTATTCTGCAGCGTATCCCTGCAACTCACACTGCCTTTCTTCCCACAGCAGAAGATGGGTTGAGTAGCGGTGGTCTATACAGCAGTGGCAGTGGAATCAGCGGCTCTGCTGTTCTACCGGGCGGCGTACGACGTGCAATGACCGAATTTTTTTGCTGTGAAACACCTGGAGCTTTGGCAATGGCATTACCAACAGTAGAGACGCTAGAGACCAGTGTGGTGCTACTGGTGGTGGACACCAGTGTGCCATGGCGTCTGCAGGATCAAATGCGGCGGTGGTATGGATACTTGAACACGCATATTATGCAGACGCTAAGGGTGGATCTGCCAAAACAGGACGAGGTACGACGGATGCGTATGATTGAGCAACAACAACTTTTCTGGCAGGCGCAGCAGCAAGAGCTGGCATCAATGCGACGTCGGTGGTGTGAACGGGAGGCAATTCATGTGGGACAGACCAGTAACGACAAGAACAGCAACGACAACTACTACTCCCTATCCGTGCTGCAGGTGCCAAAAGGGGGCGTTTCGCCTCTTCGCACCATCCTTCTCTGCACAAAGACGGACCAATTAGAGAAATTCTCGCGGGAGGTAGAGAAATTGTGTCATCAAAGTTCCTTTTCTGCTGAAGCGCGTACGGTGACTTCTCTGGAGAACGTGAACATAGGCGTGGAGCCATGGGTCTCCCATGCTTTGCTCTCGTCATTGCGCACAAGCGGTTTGACACTCCTTGAACTTGTGGGACAGCTGTTACGGAGGGAAGCTATTGCGCGTCAGAGTGCTCTCGTCGCTGCGAGTAGCCGTGTGAACACGATAGCCACCTCTTCTTTATCGTCATCACAGCAAACAACAAACATGGCACCAACAACAACCACTGTGTCAGGGGGAGCATTAGCCCCATTGGCGGTTGCAGCAGCAGCAGCAGCACCGGTAGCTTTTGGCGACAGATCAAATGATGAGACCGGCCCTCTTGGATTACTTACGAATAGCCATAGTGTATTTGTTCACCCCTTCTACAAAAATCTCTGGTTGTACATCTTTCAATTGCTCTATGATCCTCCTACGACACTTGCTAACAACATCGTACCGAATGACATTCTGGGCGCGCGCGACCATGATGATGATGGTGGTAGTGGTGTCTATATGGCGGCAGCTTTACAAGGTCCAGAAGTGTCGTCAGGGCTGAGAAGTGAATGGGGATCGCTTTGGAACTCTCTCTTGGATGAGATGGAAACGCAGGTGTCATCGCGATTCCATCCACACGCCTTTCTACCACATGGCATGGATCACTTGGAGTTGCTTAGCCCCTTTGTCACATCTACGGACGCCGTCACACTGGAGTCGGTGTTTCCCAGTGGTACTGACGAGTCAAAAGAGGCCGACTGGGGTGTACTACGTCTGCATGACGAATATATACAAGAAGTTGAAAAAGTGCTCGCTACTGCTGGACCCAATGAGGAAGCGATGATTTGGGACAAACTGTAGAGGGAAAAAGAAAAAGAGGAAACGGAGAGGCGGAAGAGAAAAGATGAGTTATTATTATTATTTTTTTTTTTTTTTGTGTGTGTATATGTATGTGGGGTTTGCCGCTCGCCTTTTCTAGTGTGGAAATTACGTTTGTTCTGCTTCCTTTCTCTTGGATTGTCTCTCGTTTGAGCTGTAGGCGTCGAGGTTGTGACTTGGCGGAAAGGAAACTACAAAAACAGGAGACTTTATCCTTATTCCAGTCATCAGCGGTCGTTGGGAGGGAAGGGGAGAAGGAGAAGAAGAAGTGGTGCAGGCGCACACACACACACACACACGCAAAGAAACAAGCAAAACAAAAAAAAAAAAAAAGAGAGAGAGAGAGGGAGGTGCGGAAGCAGGCAGCATATAAACGGCCAACCACATTGATTCAAAGAAGAAGATGGGATATGTCTCGGACTGTTTTCGTGAGCTTGGGAGGTTTGAAATACTTAGCATACAACTTTCCAATGCACTGATGGGCATCAGTGCAGGTGTGGAGGTGCCTATTCTCACGATGTTGGGCCGTAAGCTTGCGTACAGTGAAAAGACCATTGCTAACTACGTCACGCTCACTGCCCTTTGTCGTGTGCTCGCGGATATTCCTAGTGGAATTCTCGCAGAGTGTGTTCATATGCGGTGTTTGATGTTGTGGGCTATTTGTCTCCAGGTGTTAGGCTGTGCAGTGGCTCTAGTCATGAAACCGGGCTCCTTTTCGATTACGGTCTTTAGTGTATTTGACGGAATTTCCGCTGGGGTCTTCTTTTTGACACGCCACATCTACGCCACCCGCCTCTCGAAACGAGAGCACCGTGGAATGGTGCTCTCTTTTCTTGCAGGTATATTGCGCTGGTCACATGTGCTGGGGCCGTTGCTGCTGGGGGCCGCAGCAACGGCGTGGAAAAAAGAACAGTATTACTTCTCGGTGCCTCTTGTCACCGCCACTTTGGCCTGGTTGTCTATTATAGTTGTTGGGTGCTATGGCGGCTCAAAACATGAGGAGCATTTCCATAATAGGCCAAAGGGAAAAAGAGGATTGACCTTGGACGAGTCGAAGCATCTCTTACCGTTTGCACAGGCGATAACGGCGGTAAACATGGATGGATCAAGTCATGAAGATCATGTAACGATGCTGTCGTATGAGGGTACCGCCGTTACGTGTGATGAAAATGATTGCGGCAATGCGTGTGGTCATCCCACGCCCAAGCGTTCGCCACTTGCTTTGGACTGTGGCCACAATGAACCAATGGAAAACTGTGAGTTTCAGCTTAGTGCTTTTCGTTCCATTATGGTTGAGCATTGGTCTTTAATCTGGCGACTTGGTGGATACATTATCCTGTATGTCTCAATTCGGGCGAACAGAAAGCTCCTGCTGACTTTTGCCGCGGCACGTATGGATTTTACAAACTCGCAGCTTGCCTTTCTACTCTCCTTTAGCTTTTCATTTGACGCTCTTCTCTTTCCTCTGGGTGGATTTTTAATGGACGTCTACGGTAGTCGCTGGTCTATGTTGCCAGCAGTACTCGGCATTGGCATCGCTTTCATGTTATTGCCTCTATCGCCGACCCCATCGTGGTTGTACGTCATGGCAGCTATATTTGGCACAGCGGATGCTCTTGGCTGTGGTCTTGTCATGACGCTCGTAGCTGATCACGCGCCAAAGAAGCATGGTGCTCTGTTTTTTGGTGTGATGCGCACAGTACAAGATATGGGCCACGTGTTGGGCTCCATGGTTGTGTCACTGATCATCACTAGGGTAGAGTTTGTCGTCTGTTGCTATATTTGGGGAGTGGTGAGCGTTGTGGCAGCGATGTGGGCGTGGTTCATTGCTCCAGTGGTCATTCATTGACACGCACACACACACGCAGAAACATTGTATATATATATATATATATATATATATATGCAATACAATATAATATAATATATGTGGTAGAAATTCCAATTTAAAAGAGGAAAAGGGAGAAACGACAGGAAAATTGTGTTTTTTTTTTGTTTGTTTGTTTGTTTTTTGTTTTTTTTTTTTTTTTTTTTTTTTTTTTTGTTTTTTTTTTTTTTTTTTTGGTATTGTTTTTATTATTATTTAACACTTTAAAAAAAAAAAATATAATTTTTTTTTTGAAACCCTTTTTTTTTTTTTTTTTTTTTTTTTGAAGTTGTTTGTTTGTTTCATTTGTAAGTGTATGTCTGTCTGTGTGAGGAGGTACGTCTGTGTGTGTGTGTGTGTCTTTGTTTTGATTTCCCCTGCAGCCCTTTTTCTTAATTGTGACTGCATGGCCCCATCACTGTATTCATTATGAGTCTAATTCATTTCACCTCCGTGCTGTCTGGTGGGGAATGGGGAGGGGAATGGCAATGAGCCAGCAGGCGTATCAGGCGTGATAACATTAATAATAATAATAATAATAATAATAATAACATCAACAAGGCACAACTACATAACAAAAATGGGGGATGGGGGGGGGGGGGAAAAATAGATCAAAATGACAGGCTGGAAAGATCCAAACGGGGCGGTGGATGAACTGAGGAAGTGATGGTTGCCAGTCTTTTTCCTTTTTTTTTTCTTTTTTTTTTTTTTCAGGTTCGTTTTGTCTGCTTTTTTTTTTTTTTTTTTTTTTTTCTTGAGAGGCAGTTTGCATGCACACGGCATCTTTATATATACATACCAGTTGTTGAGAACTGATCGGGCGATGATGTCCCCACACCCGCCCGTGCCTGCACCCTTCGGGGGGTTCATTTCCGCAAGGGAGAGAGAGAGAGGAAGAAAGAGGGGATGGAACGAATTGCCGCTGAAGGAATCGATGAGGCCGAAAAGTACACCGTCGTTTTTCTTTTGGTTCACTAGCATTTCGTTTTGTTTGTTTCGTTTTTTTTTTTTTTTTTTTTTTTTTTTGGGTTTTGTGTTTGTGTGCGTGTGTGTGTGTGTGTATGAATGCGTGTTTACTTTTTTCTTGTTTTGAGGAAGTGAAGGAAAAAAAAAAAAGGAAAAGAAAAAGGGGGCGGAAGAATTTGGAATTGGCTGGCGCTTTATTTCCCCTTCGCCACGCCCTTCTCGGCCTGTCGCCGTTTTTGCAAATGGGGGGAAATGGAGACGGACCACCACGTGCTTTTGTGTGTGCGTGCGCGGGTGTTCGGTCTCCTTTGCTCTCAGGCCGCTGTGCTGCTTCACACATGCCGTTTTCTTTTCTTTTTCCCTGCCTCTCTCTCTCTCTCTGTGTGTGTGTGTGTGTATGTCTTTTTCTTTCTGGTTGATCGGCTGCTCTCATTGACGCAGAAAGCGGCACGTTAAACACACACACACACAGAGCAATATACACACCATCACGAAGTAAAATTACATCAAAAGAAAAGAAGAAAAAAGAAAAGCGGGGGGGGCTGGGAGGGGAATGTCGAACGACACAGCGACTGGCTACACAATTGTGGATGCCAGTGAGTCGTTTCACCTCATCGACCCCGAAACGGGCCTCTCAATGACGAGCCGATGTGTTCGGGACACGGCGGCACAAAGCAGCGTGAGGATGACGGAGGTGGCGGAGAGGGAGCCGCGGGCTGAAACGCCGGTGAGTACGGTGTCGAGGTCCGCCTGGAGTATGTTGGCAACAACACAAGTGGATGAAGCGGGCGGCACGGTCCCCGCCGCATCAGCAGCTGGGCAATCACCGTCATTCTCAGAAAGTCGCGGTTTGGAATCTGCCTCACCTTCACATGGGGAACAGATTGCGGCCGAATCGATTAATAATGGAGAATATTTGTCTTCCGTTTTGTCTCGTTTGACGCAGATCAACCAACATCATAATCACCACAATGACGCGGATAATGATGAGGATGAGGATGAGGATGATGGGAAGAACAACGACAATGCGCCTCAACGGCCCGTTCCACGTTATGCGGCCGAAATAATGCCTGCTTCTGAGAACAAAAGTAACACAGCCACCCCCACTCTTGCGTCTTCAAGGGAGAAGGAAAGTGCGATGAACGCCGTTCTCCGCGCACAGTTGGCAGAGGCGGACAGAAAGAATGTGTATTATATGCGTCTTTACGAGCAATCTAGGGATGAATTGGATAACTTACATCAGACCATGTCATTACTTCTTCATGGCGACAATGAGAATGAATTTATTGAGCGTCTTGGAGGCGGCAATGCTAATTTAGGTCAAGGGCGAGAAGAATGGCATGGGCAGAGGACGGAGCAGCAACATTTTCTGAACAGACCAAGTTGGTTGCAGCAGTTTTTAAGGGTTATTGGCTTTGAGGCAGCTTGTCCGGCGCCAATTTGCTGTCGAGACGACTGGCGTGGTGGGCGGCGCCCCAGCAGTAACCCAGTGGCAGTGGATGGAGAAAACTACAGGACAAGTGGGTGGAAACGTGATTTCTCCTATGCCAAGTGGCATGCTCGTCACGGCAGGGCCGCATTGGCGATGGAGTCGCTCTTGCTGGCCATCTCTTCCGACGAGTTTGATGCGTGGCGTTCCCTTCTTGTAGAGGAGCCCAACTGGAACCGTTTGCGGGGCATTGACCGGCAACGTTGGTATTGTCTTGTGGCGGTCAAATTATGCGAGTTGTTGGACAAACGCAATAGCCGGAGAAGGAACCCTCCTGCAAAAAGCCCCAGTGAGCAATGTGGCGCGAGCTGCCCGATGGAAGAGGATATGAATGAGGAAGGGGACAACGACGGACGGGAAGCACGGCAAGAGGTGCCGACGGATCGAAGAGTGCCGCTCACTGCCGACCTTCTGGCCCCGTTTCTCCGGCGGATGAGTTGGTGCTACGCAGTGGAGAAGCAATCCGACAAAGAGAGGGTGGCAGCGGCAGAGACAGCGGGGACTTTGTCGGGGGGAATGACCCCGCCATCCCATGAAGCCATTGGTGCGGCTCTGGAGGATCTTTTATTGGCTTCTATTGCCAGGTTTCCCCACAGTGCGGTGTTGTTCTACCTGCTGGCATCTATGCGTGCGATACAAGGGCGCCAAGAGGAGTCACTCCATCTTTTGGGGGAAGTCATACGTCTCGACCCCTCACACTTGCTACGCGAGGGATGCAACCCTCATTGATAAATAGTGCCCCGGGTTATTCCCTCGCGTTATTTGTTAGTTGCGTTTTATTTTTGCATGGCTAGTAGGTTTTTGTTGTGTTTTTTTTTTTTTTTTTTTAAGAGGCTTGTTGTGTACGACGTTGGTATATGTGAGAAGCACCAAAACAAAAGAAAAAAAAAAGGGGAGGTACTTTTAGTGCGTACCCTGTCAATTGCCATCTTTATCCTGTTTTGTTGTTGTTTTTTCTCCCTCATTTGTGTGTTTATTTTCACTACACACACACGCACACTTTACCCAATGGCTCTCTCGTATTTTTTTTCCCTTTTTTTTTTTTTGTTTTTTTTTTTTTGGCGAGGGAGATGAGGAAAGAGAGTGTTGCTGAAAGCATAGTTGTTGTTGTTTTTCTTTTTCCTTCTTATTAGTATTGCTTTGAGTTCAGTGATCCAATTAGGATGTGTTGCGTTCAATTCACCAATTATATCTTTATTTATTTATTTATTTCCGTTATTTACTGCCCACCCCATTTTTAAATGCATGTACATATATATATATATATATAATTACAGACGCAGGCAAAGATACCAATACTTTTCTGTTAATACTCCATCTTTCTCCTTCTCTCTCATGGATGGAACTTTTGGTTTATGTACAATTACCCTTTGGTTTTATACTTTTTAAACCGTTTTCTTTCTTTGGTTGTTGTTGTTGTTTTTCTCTCTCTCTCTCTCTCTCTCTCGCCTGGGGGGGGAGAGGTGGAGCAGGTGTGGGTTAGGGAGAGAAATTTATGTTTGAGATTCTTGTGGAGATTGCATTCAGTATTTTTCTATGTGCCATAATGGCCTATTACTTCTTCCTCAGTGCCCCTGTGGAGGAGCGCACGGTAGGCGAGGAGTGTGGGACATGCGTGGCAGGCACGGGGAGTGGCCGCCATGCTAACGGCGCAGGAGGTTACACCCTGCGGAGTTCACCGCCGCTTGAGCGAAGCCGAAGACGCGAGGGGGCGATGTGGTGCAACGTGCTGGGTCGATGGGCAGCCCTTCTCGTGCTTGGTGGTGGCTCTATTGACAAAGATGTCTGGACCGACCGCATCGCCTACTTCATCGAGAAGGGTGCAAAGAGGTTAGATGGGGCAATAAAGCAAAGAAGAACGAGAAGAAGTGAAGGTGCAGGCGAAGAAAGGGGAGAACGAACATTGCGTGTGAGTCCGGATACCGTTCGACTTGTGTGCCTTGAACTTGGCGGCGGTGGGCCTTTAATCGGTGGGTGGAACCAGCAGCACAAACAACAACAACAACAACAACAGCAACAGCAGCAACAACAACAGCAACAAATGCAGCAGCAACAGCAACAACAATCGTATGTACCCACGCAGCCGGTTTCTGGTTTATTTCACGCGAGAACAGGTAGCGACGGCAATCGTGCAGGTGTTGTCCACTCTGAGTCACAGGAAGGCGGTGGTGCAGCGTCTCCACCAATCGGTGCTGTGTTGCCACGCATAGGGTCTGCTGGGATTGTGTCGCTGGAGGCCCCATATAGCGTGTCCATGCATGAAATAACCACGGAAGGTGGATCAGCAGCAGCAACAGCAGCAGCAGCGGCGCCGGCAGTTACAATGGCGATGGGATTACAACACACACTACGGTGTTTCAGTGTGCCTATCATATACGAGGATCATCATTTCTTTTTACTATTGATGTGTAATGTTCCCTTGTTGTTTGCATTGCCGGTGGAACTGAGAATCCCGGCGGATGTGTTAACGCTTCGGTGTGCCCTATCTGTCCGTCGGGTGATCTTTGATGGCGTTCTGTATGCTGCCTTTTGTGGTAACCTTGTGGAGCTTAGCTTTGCGAGCGAGCCGCAATTCACGGCTTCATTTGATGTTTACTCGGAAAAGAGTTGTCATAGGCAGCAGCTACAACTCCATCGCCCATATTTTTCCCAAGCATCATCCTGCGGAAGTGTCCGGGGTACTGCTGCGGGTGAGAGGAGCGCTTCAGTCCCAACTTTGACCCCATCTCTCGCTGGTAACACGGTCTCTGGGGGAAACCGCTTCAAGGAGAAACTTCAGGAAATTGTCGACCTGGCGGTGAAACGATCCTTGCAATCCATCACGTATCCGTGCGTGCTGCGCGGTGTGGTGGGGACAAGCCGCAGGCCGGCACCACAGGATGGGACCACTGGGGACGATACATCAGCGAATCCCCACGAGGACGGGTTATTGACGTGGTCATTGGCGAAAGCAACGTTGCCTCTCTGCTGCTAATGATCCGTGCGGCTGGGGAAGGGTGACCATTGCTCCTTCTTGTGTTACGTGTATCACTTTTTAGCGAGGCAAGGGTGGAAGATTTTAAAAGAATGCGATGGAGAGAGAGAGAGAGAAAAAAAAAGAGAAGGAAGGAGTAATTGTATCTCTGTGTGTGTGTGTGTGTTCACAGCGCTCTGTCTTCTGTCTTTTTTTCTTTTTTCATTGTCTGCTTGTTTTCTTTTCTTTTTTTTTTTTTTTTTTTTTTTTTTTTTTTTGGTGGTGGGTGGGTGGGGGACTACTTCTCCGAGGCCCCTTCGCTTGTCGTCTCCCTGTGGTCGTGCATGTTATATAATATATTTCCCTTTTAACGTCCGCATGAGTCACATAACAACAGCAGCACAGAAACAACAAAAGAAACGACAATGTTTTGCTGTCAAGGCTTGAATGCACATTCTCATTTTGCCCTTGTTACTGAGACTCTGCTGATGACGTGGCGTATTCTGATGTCACCTTATTTCCGTTCCTCTTGCCGTTGTTTGTTGTTGTTGTTGGTGTTTTGTTTTTGTTTTTAATCAAAACGACAAAAATAAAAAATAGGAGGGCCGCTGTTGTTTCTTCCGCGTCACTTTGTAGAATGAGGGTTTATTGTCGCTTCGCGCCACCGTGTAGGCCTGTGGAAACAGAGATGGAGCACGACAGGCCGGATGCACACGTCTCCTTCTTGCCGCCTCCGTTGTTGCTGCTGTCGCTGCGGGGAGAAACCGGAGGGGGGCAACAAACAGTCACGCTGGCAGACCCCCGCACCGGCAGCATGGCCTCGTCGAGATGTCGCCGTGTCTTCCTCCCCGAGCACATGTCACCCGGTGCAAGCAGAACCCCGTTCTCTGGGACCCATTTGCCGCCATCCAAAGCGGGGGAGAAATCCCAACAAGAGGAGGTGTTTGACGAACTTGTCCGTCCCCTGCTAAGGGACATGATTTCTGGTACGCTGTGTACGTTTATTGCCTACGGACAGACGGCGACGGGGAAAACGTACACAATGTTTGGACCGAATGTCGATGGCGTTGGCATCGCTCCTCTGCCGCAACAGCAAGAGATTGGAGCGGCGACCACTCCTATTCAGTCGAATGCAAGTGAACAGGAGGAAGGCATTGTGCCGCGGCTTCTCCGTGCCATCTTTGAGGCTCCTGGTGCCGCTGAGCAACAAACTGCAGCGGTCCGTATGGTGGATCTCTCCTGCATGGAGGTACACAACGAGTGTGTTACCGACTTGGCGGCACTTTTACTGCTGCAGCAGCGTTCGAAGAAGACAGATGCGTCAGAGAAGAGAAATGGAAAATCTGGCGCAATTTGCGAGGACACTGACGGTGGTGTAGCGTGGCGGGCCTGGCGGCGGTATGAGCAGCAGGGTAGACGTGCAGAGGGGCATGCCAACGCGTGGGATTCAGCGTCCATTTCAAAGATGTGGAATGTGCCCGTCAACACAGAGACGGTGCCGATAAAGGCGATCTACAAGGCTACTGAAAAGACAAAAGTAATGCGGTCGGTGTTCCGTCTTCGGTGTGAGTCTGCAGCGGAGTGCTGCGCTCTGCTGCGCGGTTTGTTGGCGCTGCGATTTCGCGGAAAAACAGAGCGGAATGTTTGTTCCTCACGGAGCCATCTGGTGCTGCGGCTCGTGTTTTACGATGCTGCGGAGGCGGCGGCCTCAATTGGCGAGGCGCTTTTTGTTGATCTTGCCGGGTCGGAGTCGTACCGCGTTTATGCGCAGGCTGCCGGCGATGTTTCTTTGGAGCATGTCAGTTCCACGAGGCATCCACTGCCGCTGCAGCTGTGGCCCACTGACACTTCCCTTGTGGTGTCAGACTTTGCATCCAATCTTCGGGACGGCAGTGGCCTAACGGTGGCACAGCGCAGTCTCCTTCACACGAATGAGATGCGGCACATCAATGTTTCCCTTCTCGCACTGCGCAAAGTGGTACGGACCCTTCACACCGCCTCATCGCTGCCGACTTCATCATCTGTCCGGCATATCCCCTTCAGGGACAGCACGCTCACCACAATACTTGAGCCATTTCTTGTTCCAGGCGGTAAGTCGGTCGTGACATGGGCGGTGTGCTGCTCATGCAAACAATGTGACTTCCATGAGACCGTCGAGTCTCTCCGTCTGGGAGCAGAAGCCTCGGCCACCACCACATGCATGCAACTTTACCCACCCATTCAGCCTGCAAGTGTGGTACATACGGGCGAAGGCAGTGTAACCAGCAGCAGTCGAAGCGGCAGTGGGGAAACGTTTGGTGGTATAAAAAAGACAACTTATGTCCGAAACGTATCCGAAGCTGCTACTGCATCGACTGGCGCTGTTATTCCACGGGACCGCGGTAAGACGCTTTTGGCGTCGGCCGTGTCATCATCCGGGATGTCTATGGGTGGTCATTCCAAACCTACGAGCGATGTGGACAGGGAAGGGAGTAAAGGTATGAAAGTAGGAGGAGGAGGAGAATTGGCGGCGTACAAAAAATACACGTTTCAGCTGATTGGGCAATGCAACACACTGTGTGAACGTTACGATGCGTGTGTGGAGGAACTTTCCCGTACCAAACAGGCTTTGGCGTTACGTGATTCTGAAATCGCACGTCTCCAGGAGGCGTTGGCCGAGAAGCGTCGTCCAAAACAACTTTTGGAGGGGCCACCGTCATTTCCGCTATCGTCATCTACGCAATCCGTCACAGCTGATGAGAGCAACCCTCCAGTACCCCCCGCATGGTTGCGAAAAGGCGCGATGTGCTCAACAAAAAAGGACATGTTGTCTTTACTGTCCGGCACTTCTGCCGTGCTGGATGCTGCAAATTCCGTCATATCGAGAGAAGCATTAGACGCTGTAGTGGATAATGGAGCAGCAGCGGCAAAAAAGGAACCAGAGACGGACTGGCTTTCCGAATCCACTTTTAAGCGCTACTGCATTAAGCATGACCCCGCACTTATCGATTGTAAAACAGCTGGGACCTCATTGAGGGATACCGAAGGCAATGCATTATTATTATCGTCATCATTTCCCACCAATACGACTAATGCTACTACGAATGTTGATGCCACTGTTCCTTTAGATGGTGCTCGCGCCATGCAAACACCATTCGAGATGGAACGAAGCCCTTCAATTGTTTTGAGGGATCACAATCGTCGCGAGCAAATCGTGTCATTTGTCTCTCCCAGCATCCATGGGGCCGTGCCGCTGATGCAGCTGGTTAAAAACATTGACTCACAGCGGATTCTGCCTCCGCCACCGTCCCGTTCTGCCCTTTGCACCCGTCTGACAACGTCAGACGGAAACCCCCAGTCTGAGGATGACTTCAAGACTGCGGGAGGGACAACTTATGGGATGAACACAGATGGTGATGTCAGAGTTTTAAAGCAGCTGCTCTTGCGGGGCGTGGACCTTGCCGGAGGGGTTTTGCAGAAGTATACCGTTGCAGAGGATGAAAAAGAAGAAGTAGAAGAAAAGAAGAAAGGAAAAGAGACCGCGGTTATGTGTGATTCCCAGTCTGAATACCAGTTGTGAGGATCACTATTTTGTCTTGTTTTTTTTTTTTTTTTGCCTGTTTTATTGTGTGGTTTTGGATTATTTTTTTTTTTTTTTTTTTTTTTTTTTTTATGCCTATTGGAGAAGAAGTATAATAAAGCTGTGGTGCATGTGGAGAGTAAGAGGTGGGAGTTGCAATTTCTTTTTCTTTTGGTACGAGAATGATGGAAATGACAAAAATGTGCTTTTTTTTTTTTTTTTTTTTTTTTTTCTTTGCTGCTACTTATGCATTATAGAGTTCCATTTGGTTGGGCGTTGATGACGTTTGTGTTTGAGGCCCGACGTCTTCCCTTTGGCGACGCGGTGGTGCCACCCCACTGCCTAAATGTCATGAGCCCCGGCAGTTGTGGTGGTGTCAACATAGATGAGGCACGGCTGGTGGGGCTCCCGGCGTGGAAAAAGCGTCTCTTGCCGCCTGTGTTAGACGTTGTGCAGCAGCACTACGGCTCCTCTTCCTTCTCCTCCTCCTCCACTGCCGTGTCGTGCGGTGTTGAGGCTGAGTTGTTGGGGTGGACGGTGGCGTTGCGCATTGTGGAGGAACTACCGGAGCTGGAGACGGCCTACAGTCGAATCCTTGAGTACCGTGAGCGACAACGCACGGGCGAAATGACGGCAGAGGAGCTCATGATGGAGGAGTTGCTGCGCGAGCGTATGGGCAAAGACTTTTTAGGGGGGGAGGAGGATGAGAGCAGCTCTTTGGACGAGGACGACGATAAAAGGGCAGAAGAAGTTGATATTGCTATGTGCTTTAATTTGGACGGTGAGGTGGTGAGCATTGGATCCGCAAATTTGTTTGGTGGCCATGGCTATCATGAGAGGAAGAAACCATGATTGCTGGGTGGGCGGTGGGCAACACTGTGACAGTGCGAGACGGTACAATAATGAAATGACAATAAAAAGAAAAAGAGAACAACGCGGCAAATATGTTTGTTGTTGTTGTTGTGCGTGTGTGGTTGTTATTGTTTTAGACGTCCATACGCCATTCTCCTCTTTTTCGTTCTAAGCGCCACTGTCTGTCTGTGATGTGTACGGCTTTGGCGTGGAGGGAAAAGTTGCGGGAGTGTCTTCTGTCCTGTTGGCTTCATCCTTTTCCCGCTCCCAGTGCCAGGGTAGTCCGACACACACACTTAAGTGATAGTGGAGTGTGAGCGGGAGGGGTTTTCTCTCGAGTTAAGGTGTGGCTAAAATTAAAAAAAAAAAAAAAAAAGACATTTGTTCGTATAAAAAAAGAGAAAAAGAAAAATAAGAGGAGGAGGAGGGGAAGAGCGAAGCCACGCAGCACCACCAATCGACGAGAGTACTGAGAATTTGGGCGAAATTTAGCGGCAACTGTGTGTGATGGTCACAAAAGTGCCAAAGTCGGGCTCACTGACGCTTCGGCCAAAGTCACCGCGACAGGACCAACGGCGGCAAGAAGGCGTTGCTGCTGTCCCGCATGGGCAAGAACAGCTGTCGTTGTTGTCATCATCCCATGCAATGAATCAGAGGAAGTCGGGTATCTGTAGTCGTAATTCACCCGCCTCGATACCACCACCACCACCATCTTTGTCGTCATTTTCTCTCTTTGGGAGCCGAGGGTGCCGCCTTCTCTCGAGGGCCGAAACGGGCGGCCAAGACGAAGAAGAAAACGAGGAGTTGGGCGGGGCGGGTAGCTGTGTTTGTTTGCTGGAACCAACACCTCCGCCTGCGGGAGGGGATGTCTTGGAAGAAGCGCCGCTAGCACCACCGCCTATACCCCCGCAGCAACAGGCACAGACACAGCAACAGCAACAGCAGCCATGCGGTGGTGTTATTGGTGAGAAGCGAGCCGATTCTGATGGACATACTTCATCGGTGAGGGGAACACGACTAAAACTACGGGGAGCAGAAAAAAGGCTCCAAGTTGCACCACCCGCAATATCGGGTGATAAAGAAAAGGGTGCCGTCACAGAAGCAAGACGCATTTTTCGGCTTTCACGACGTGCCACCGCCCCAACGGTGACAGAGGAACCAGAGAATCGGCCAGAAAGTAAACCCTTGAAGGAAGAGGGAGAAGTGCCTTTACACGCCAGTGATGCGTTGGCATCGTCGCTATCTCGACAACCGGGGGTTGCAACGGGGATGCGGGAATCCAACGGTGAAGTGAAGGAGGGGGAGGAGGCGTCTTCGAGGGCGGGTGTGCCGCAGCAACCGCCTTTGGTGCCCCCAACGACCGCTCCGATGAACTCCACTGGGGCGGATGGCCCGCCGACGGTAAGACGTCAACGGAATTCCACGGATTGGGTGGAATCGATGTCGCCCACACCAACACCGCAGGGTCTGTATAGTTGTGGTTGCTCGCCGAGTATGCGTCGCCACAGTAAGACGGGGGTTCCTTTACCCCTCGGCCCCACGCCGCTGGATTTCAGCTCCGTCACGGAATATGTTGAGACAAAGTACGAAATGAGGACAAAAATCAGTGAGGGGACCTACGGCGAGGTGTACATGGGGCGTTGCCGTGCAACCGGGGAGAGCGTGGCGTTAAAGAGGTTAAAGGTGCTCCATGGCCTAGATGGGTTTCCTATCACCTCGCTTCGAGAAGTCATTGCCTTGCGACATATCAACAACGCACGCGAAAATGCTGCCACTTCAGATGGGAACCGAGACAACAAAAAGGATCCCATTGAGGAGGTTATAAGCCTTCGGGATGTCTTATTGTCACGCAATCATCATGACATTTATCTTGTGTTTCCGTATTCATCCTGCAGCATCGCTGGTCTGCTTCAACGACGATTTCCCTTTACAGAAAGGGAAATTGTATATGTGTTTAAAAAACTTCTCCGGGCGCTTATGAAACTGCATGCTATGGGTATTATTCACCGTGATGTAAAGGCCGACAATGTTTTGATTCACCACGACGGACGGGTGCAGCTTGGGGACTTCGGCTTGTGCGTCTTTGAGGGATCGGGTCGACGTGCCTTGACGCCAAGTCTTATCAATCTTTCGTATCGGCCACCCGAAATGCTGTTAGGAATCACTTCTTACGATGTAAAGGTGGACATCTGGTCTGTTGGTTGCTTTCTCGCCCAAATGTATCTTAGAACTCCACCGTTTTTTCTCGCACACCGAAGGCACGCAGGAGGAGGAGGAGGAGGAGGAGGAGGCGCGCGTCGGCAGCCCGAAACGGACCCCAATCGGCGCACAGAGACCGAATTGGAGCAGTTGTCGCTCATCACGGATGTTCTTGGGCCGCTTTCAAGTGCTGGTCCCGATGCATTTCCTCAGGAACGATGTCAGCGTTTTGCGCAGCTTGAGCAGCTGCGGAGGGCCCTTGCCACCAACTCCGCCACCTCCTTGTCTTCCTCCACCCCATCGCTCGGGTCACTCTTTCAGCCGAGTTTTCTGTACTCGGAGTTCAATGGCTTTGCGGCGTGGTTCATGGCAACAGCGGAGCACCGCCGACGCGACGCATCGCATTTGCTTCCGTCGAAGGAGTGCATCGATGTGTTGGCGGCCATCTTTCAGCTCGATCCGCGCAAGCGACCAACGGCGGCGCAGCTGCTGGAAATGCCGTTCTTTCAACTTCACCGTACCGGACCGCGACGGGCCGTGCCGCATGTCGAATTGGAGAAGGAACGGCTCTCAGAAGATGAAGTTGTGGAGAGACACATTCAACGTGAGATTGTCGAGAAGTTGGTGCTGTACCACGACAGTCACGTTGCACCGTCCACAGAAGGAGGCAAGTAGCGCACCAGAGAACAAAAAAAAAAAAAAAAAGAGGTCTGGAGGAATGAAAAAAGGCTTGACTGCGTGTGTGGGTTGGATGGAGTGGATGCAGAACGCGAGGGGAAACAGGGCGATGGATGCTAAAAGGAATGGTGAAGGAAAGAAAAAAAAAGAAAAGAGGGAGAGTGACGTCGAAGAAGAAAAAACATTGAATGATACAAAAAAAAGACAAAGAAAGGGAAAATGTTGTTGCTAACCCTGAAGGAGGGATGCGGTGTTGTTGTTGGTGGTGGTGGTGGTTGCGATGAATGAAGGGAAACCTGCTTGTTTGTTTGTGTGTGTGTACGTGCGTGCATCCATGTATACATGCATCATTTTGTGAGAGACTGCGGCAGCGGCTGGAGCGGGGGATAGGGGGAGGGAGAAGAAGTCCCCCCGCAAAAAAAAAAAAAAAAAAAGAGGATGAACCGAAAGGGAAGATATGCACGTCCGTATGAATGAAATGAAGGACAGATGGAGACCATAGCTGAAACACCAAAGCTATAACCGTGCGAACGGTGTATCATCCATCAATGTCTTTTCTGTTTTTCTTTGATATCTCCAGTCTCTGTCACACATGTCTTTCTTGTTTCTTATTTTGTTGTTAAAGACGGTTGAATATTTTGTGGGCACTCATTGGCCCTTAGTCTACATATAGTATACCCGTTGTTGTTATCTGTATGTAAGTACTTAAATGTATGCATCTCTGTGTATATTCTCTGTTGTTGTTGTTGTTCCTTTGAGGATGTTTTGCGGATAACATTTTTCATTCCTTTTCTTCTTTTTCTTTCTTTCTTTCTTTCCTTTTTTTTTTTTCTTTTCTTCATTCTTTGGTTCCTGTAGTTTGAGGGTTTTTGTTTGTTGGCAAAGGCGTCTCGGAGGTAGTAGCATTCCCATTGCATCTTCCGGATTGCATCGCTTTCCTTCCACAGTTCTTTACTGCGCTGTTCTCGGCGTTAGTTTCTAATTTGATCTTTTCTTTACTTTGTGTGTACGTGCTTGCCTGCAAGGTGGGGGAACGAAAGGACACACGCAGACAGACACAAACAGGGAAAGGAAGGGCGGTGCGTTGAGTGCCAATCTGCCGTGCAGCAAAAGTGACCCAAAAAGAACTGCCTGCGACCCCCGTGTGTGTGTGTGTGTTTTCTAACGAAGGCAAAACCAATAGAAAAAAAAAAGGAAGAAAATTAGGGGAATTTATTACTTTTTTCTTTGGTCCTTGGGCCTTTTGTTGCTGTTGACATCCCTCTCTCTGTTGTTGTTGTCGTTGTTTCCACCCACCCATCCGCCCCCGTTGTTGTTGGGATCTCTCTCCTGCTGGGTCTGTTGTGTTTCCACCCCGTTGCCGCAGCGGCGGCCCACATCGCCCGGTAGCTGCGGATCCAAACAGCGAGCAGGAGAAGGAGAAGAAGAAGAAGAAAGCGGTGGGCGAGGGGGATTGTGGCAGCAACAGGAGAAGAAAAACAAAAATAAAAGGAGGAATTAAGCCGGGGAGGCGAAGGTAGCGGTGGTATAGGGAGCGGGAGCGGGAGCGGAGGAGCAGAAGGGATTATATTCTCTTGTGCTTTATTATTCCACTCTTGATCCCGTGTGCGTGTGTTTGTCTGTGTGTGGGAGGGGTATTAGAACACCACATATATTTATATAATATTAAGGCGTTGGCATTTCCTTCTTCTTGCTTACTGGCCTGCTTGAGGCGAGGGGAATGGTCGATAAACCCTTAAAGACAAGTCAACGGAAAGTGTATTGGCTTATAGGCACGGGGATTTTTAGCGCGTTGGTTCTGGTTATTTGCATTGCCGTTCCCATCTCAGTGTATCAGGCGAAGTATCAGCGCATGCGAGAGACACGAATTGCTGCAGAAATTTTTGAGGTTGACCGATGGGTTTCTTTTTTTCGAAGTGATGTCATTGATGCCATTTCCACAGCATATGGACTTGAGGGATTTGCACTTGGCTCCATGAAATTTATTCCACCTTTTAACGGCACGCCAGAGGAGCGCGTCAAAGGGCAAGAATTTGCTGGATTTACTGAATATGCCTCTTTGTTACGCGTCTCGCCACATTTGGTGGCGCAGATACTTGCGCCGGGTGGTGTGGGACTTGAAGTTTTCCCGTCGGTCCCCTCCATTCGTATGTTGGACTTTCTAAATAATGACAGTATGGGGGAACCTACAGCTATTGAATCAGTTGACAGCACGAAGTCATGCGTTTTGGGCCCATTGTACCGTGCCGTTCCTGGGATAAATGCGACGTGGCAATTGATTGTACGTGATCCCATTTATGATACCAAAGACAATAAAAGGGCAGAAAGGAAAACTTTTTGGGGATTTGCTCTTGTTGTGTTGAATGTGGACACCATGATGGGTGAAAGAGCACGGGAAGACAATATGAATGGAAAAGGACTCGACTATCTCCTTTACACCGTAAAGAATACGTCGGGCAAAATCACTCCCATCTGCTTCTCAGTGAAGGAAAATCCCACATTAGAGGAAATGAATGAATTTATCAGCACTGGAACAAATAGGGCAGTGTTGCGTAACCGCCTTAGTTGGTATGTATGCATGCGAGGAAAGCATCGGGAGAGCACACCTACAAAAACAACTATTGCTGTCATTATAGTAGTTGCTTTATTAATTGCCCTTGTTACATTTTTGGCTAGTGCTTCAACCGTGTTGCTTTGTTTGAAAGAATATGACGGTAGTGCGAATGCTCCTAAGGCGGCACCCTTTGCAATAGCCATTCTTGGTCTTTGTAGTGCGGAACAGTTATGGGAATTATCACCGGATCGTATGGTGTTTGTTTCTGAGCGATTGGCAACGTTACAGAGGCAAGAAATTATTCGTCATAATGCTTACGAAGGAATGCAGTTGCATCCATATACCACCACTATTATCACACGTTCCGTGGAGACCGCGGTGCGGTTATGCTTTTCTGTGATTGAGGAATTAAACTCCCAGCCAATTGATGACCCGCTTCGGGAATTATTAGGGGAAGATGGACGTCTACTTATTGCATGTGCGGTGCACTGGTGCACAGACGCCACGGTACGAGTAGAAAGTAATAGCGGTGTTATTCGTTATGAGGGGCCGGATGTGGTTTATTGCGGTAGGATGTGGATGTTTGCCGCCCCAAATGAAGTTTCCATTAGCCGTGCAGCACGGGAGTTAGCGATGAAAATGGACGAAGTACAAATTTGTTCTCTTGCCAGCGTCTTTTTACGTGGTGTGGCAGGGCGACAGGATTTGTTTACCATCAGTAATCCACAGAGAAAGCGGCTTGTTGATGCGGCAAACCGCGCAAAGAGACGCATATCTAGCAGTTTGGCGGTCCAATCCCCCACCAGGGAGATTGTGTCCGAGGGCAATCCGCTCTCCGCTGGTGCGGAATTGTTCCCGCGCAACGGGATGTATCCCCCTTGCAATTCTGAAATGCGTGGGGTGGCTTCCAACGCAACTGCCCAACTTCGCAGCGAGTTAAGCTCGGGGTCTGTTGGGTCCCGTAGTGGGAACCCAATCCTCGATACCAGCATGGGCGCATGCGGACGGTACATGCCGGAGGTATCGCGGGGCTTGAAACGCTTCAGTCAGATAAATGGGGTGAGGACACTTATTGAATTGCTTCCAACAGAAATTGCGTGCCCAAGTGAGGCGGCGGGCTTTGACACCAGCCAACGGCCCTCTAGTTCCCCGTTGAGCCGTGACCATGTCGGGTCGTCGACGGATGAGGGCCACACGAGACCCCGCACGACCCCGACAGACGAAGAAAAGGATTGGCGGCGGATTCCAAAAGGTGGTCAGTTTCTTGCCGTGGGGCGAGGCAGCACTGCCAACTGGAGTAAGAAACCGCTTAAACAAGTCGATCAAAACGTTGGAAACGGTATTGTGGCATTCAGCGGTGGACTCCGTGCGGAGGATTTGGATGATGGTGACTTTGTGACTGAGGTGCTGCGGCACCCAACCATTCCCACCTTTGTGGATACGCAACTTCGTGCCGTATTTGAGCAGCAGTCTTTGCTTTTTGACTTTAGCTACGACTCTGTACGTACCGTTGTTTATTACTTCTTTTCGGCGTTCAAGTTGCTGCTGAAACCTTTAGCGACACCAGAGCGTAACAACATTTTTAATCGCCTTGTCACTGTCTTTGGGATACCACAGGAACATATTTTAGAGCACCTTGCTGTGCGATGTGTGCTGCGGTACATTCAGCAGTTGGAAGAAGCGCGTTCATTGTTATGGAACTGCGAACAACAGCTGCGACTGCGTTCACTGGCAAGAGGGCAGATGCGATCATTCACGACGATTGACAGCAGCACGACAAATCCCCTAAGCGAGGAATCATTTGAAGAACTTTCGCGGTCTATTGTCTAACACGGCAAACTCAAAGAAGAAGAAGAAGAAATATTTAAAGAAAAAAAAAAAAAGGAGGTGGTGGTGATGTGAGAGAAAAAAAAAAAGAGAGAGAGAAATGAACAATGGAAGAGACATGGAAACAGAAAGAATATATTAAGAGGAGTTGTTTTGTGTGTGTGTGTGTGCGTGTGTGTGTGTGTGTGTGTGTGTCTCTATTTGCTGCAGTAGAGAGTGAAGGAGGTGAAAAGGGAAGTTGTGAGGAATGAAGGAATGGAAAGAGAATCCTTTCAAAGAAAAGAAGAAAAAAAAAAAAGAAGGAAAACAAAAACACAAACACTCATGGTGACAGGATAAAAATAAAAATAAATTGGGGGGTGTAAACAGAAACTCCGGCTCGGGAGTAAATAAGGAGAAGGAATTGGTATGGACAAATGAACATCCGTATGAATAACAAATACATAGCGATATACATACATACATATATATATATATATATGAACATGTATACATTTTGGCTTGGCTACATGCCTTATGGAAACACGTAATCCGTAGAGAGAGAGAGAGAGAGCGAGAGAGTTTCTTTTTTTTTTTTTTTTTTTTTTTGATGGCTTTTCTCGAATACACCGGGAGAACGATGAGCAGCACTGAAAGCAGTTGATGAACAACAAGGAAGAATTATTATACGTAATTTTATATTTAAAAAAATATATATATGAACATGTATATATTGTGCATGTATGTGAATATATATAATAATAATAATAATAATAATAATAAAGTAACGGAAAGACAGAAAAATAAAGAGGGAGGTGGAAAGTACGTACTTTGAAATGAGAGTTTACATATGACTACATATATAACTATATATCTATATATATCTATATGCAGTTACATGTATGGTTGTTTATATAAAAGTATCGTATGAGGAACCCTTTCAGTTTTTTGTTGTTGTTTTGTCTTCTCTTCTTTTTATTTGGGGTGTCTTGTTGTTTTGTTGTTGTTGTTGTTTTTGTTCCAGGTGCATATACCTTCCTGACTACCGGAGTTATTGACCTTCTTCTTTTCTTTTCTTTTACTTTTGTTTTTTGCCATTATTGTTAACGATCATCATTGGAGAATTGAGGAGGGAATGTACGAACAAACAGGGCTTAATAACTGACTGACTGACTGTATATGTGTGTGTGTGTGTGTGTGAAGGATCAGCGACTTGTTTACTCGGCCTGTCCCCTTGACAATACAACGTGTGGTGTGTTTTTGTTTGTTTGTTTTGCTTTTTGAGGCGGCATCGTTGAAGGATGGCACCACGAGTGCAGTTCATTTTTTTGTTTTTTGTTTTTGTTTTGGTTGACCATCTCTCTGCATGAAGAGAAGTCTGAGCGGTCGCAGGTCCAATTTGTTGTTGTTTTCTTTTCTTATTTATTTATTTTCATTTGGAAGTGTGCGACTTGTGTGCGTGACTGGCGGTGTGGGGTGTTTTGGGTGCACGGGATGCGGGCCCGGGATCCGCCGCACCGCAGCGTCGCCTCACTCTTTACAGGAATAAAACCGAAGTGAAAAGAGAGAGACAGAGACAGAGACAGAGACAGAGGGAGAGGGACGGCCACCCACCGGGACGTGTGTTCCTCGCTGCTGGTTTGTGCCTGCCTGCCTGCTCTCCGTGTTATATTGTAACGACCCACGCCCCTTTTTGTCCGTGTGTATGTGTACTGCCCTGTTGTTGTTGTTGTTGTTCTTTTGTGTGTGTGTGTGTGTGTGTGATTGAGTGAGTGGGTGGGTGAGAGCTTTGCGTTTTTTTTCTGGCCTGCAATGCTGGCGAGATGTTGTTGTTGTTTGTTATTATTCTCTTTTTTTTTTTTTTTTTTTTTTTTTTATGAATTTTGCTATTTTTACATGTTTTTTGTTGTTGTTGTTTATTTTCTTAATTGTGTGAGGAGGATGTCTGTTGATTCCATGTTTCGTCTGTTTTTATTTTTGGTTGTTCTACCGCACATGCAACCGTACCACCACCTATTCAAGGAGGGGCTGTTTTATCTACATCAATGCAGGCATACACGTGCTTCTGCATGAGTGTATTTCTTTTTCATTTTCTTTCGTTTTATCTCTCTCTCTCTCTCTCTCTCTCTCTCTCTCTCTTTTTTTTTTTTTTTTGTTGTTGTTGTTCTTGCCCTCTCATTCTCTCTCTCTCTCTCTCTCTCTCGCTATCTCTGTGTGTGTGCCTTACATGCAACAAAGAGAGATAAGGAGAGAAGAACTTCTTTCTTTTGATCGCTATAAGATTTTATTACATGTGTGTGTGTGTGTGTACAATTAAGAAATTATGTGCCTTTTTTCTTTTCTTTGTTTTTTTTGTTTGTTTGTTTGTTGTGTGGTTGGATGGTGGCACGTCGTATTGCGGATGCCACACTGACAATAAATGAAACGCCAACGCCAACAGCGGCAGCGGCAGCAACGAAAAAAGAAAAGGAAAAGGGCCTGCGAAATACAAAAAGATGGTGCGGTGTCGAGGAAAATGCTCGCGGGAGTGTCTTGTCCAGCTGCAGGTTGTGACTCCAGAAAAATTAGGAGGAAACGAAGCGGGGGGAGCGGTGTTGTCGTCGTCACTTGATGTTTCTGCGCTGTGCGAGGCGATTGGGCATAAAATGTCGGTTTTTTGCGGGCTGGCGGTGGAGGCGAGTGCTGCAGGGCTTCAGGTGGAGGCTGTGCGGCACGACACGGATGGTGTGTATCATGTGGTGCTGCGGCTGCCGCAGGCAACACCGCTGGCCGTCACGGCGTTGCGTGCGTCGTGTGCCTCGACGGCACTAGGACCGATGGTGGGAGGGGCGAGAAGGACCGTGAGGCGAAAAAATCCGCGCCAGGAGGAGACGGCAGTAACGACGCCAGTCGTGGTGCGGGTGGTTCACTTGACGGCCGTCAAGGCGGCGTAGTGTTGATGACACTTGTACCCGTTTTTGTTTTTGTTTTTTTTTTTGCATTTCTCTCTATTTCTCTTTCTCTGTCTCTCTCTGTCTGTATGTCTGTCCCTGTATGTGTATATGTGTGTTTGTACGACTTTATTTTATTGGCCCTTTCTATCTTTCTATCCTTATCTCTCTGTCTGTGTGTATATGCGTGCATGTCTTAGCTTCAGCCACACAGTGTGGTGCGTCAATGGTAAACAGAAACGGGAATGCGACCGCCCCTGCGGAAAGCAATTTACGAGGGTATGAAACACCGTGCCAGCTGCCGCCGACTTCCCCGTTGCTGTTGTCACACACCTCTAGTAGCATAACTGGTGTTGGTGCTCTGTCCCCGGTGATACTTGTGCCTGCCACAGGAGCGACATCACCGCTTTCATCCACAAATGTCTTTACAGCAGGTGGAGGAGGAAGTGGTGGTGGCGGAAGCGGGGTACGGCCTGCACAAGGTGCGGCCACACTGACACCAGCAGGATCTCCCATGTCACCGATAGTCGCTGTCTTCGATGCAACACAGTCTCTTAATAATAGAAGTAATGGGGTTACAACTAACGTTTCTCCTTTACTGCTACCTGAGAAATTGGTGGTGATGGGTGGGACTTCTCTTGCAGCTCTTAGTTCTTCCCTAACAAACAGCAATCGCGCAAATGGCAATGCGAGAAGCCCTAAACCGCTTTTAGACCGTAGCCCCAATGATGATTTAGCGCTTGAGATGCAGCTATTATCTGGATCTTCTTCTTGTCTATTTGCAGCCCCCCTTTGTGCCTTGCCTATTTCTCCCACGCGAGTAGCGCCTGTTCGTGGAGTTGCGGCAAAAGAAGTAGGATGTGTCATGTTGAAACCGGGAAGCGCAACCGATTGCGCAATTTGTTTGTGGAGCCGGGATGACGGAGATTCCCTCACTACTGTTCTTCAGTCATTGAGTACCGCTGCAAAGCCGAATCCAGCCGTTCACACAACTCAACCTCTTGAAAGTGTTAAGCTGTGCTGTAGTCATGAGTTTCATGCAGACTGCCTGCAACGCTGGCTGCTCACCAGCCGAGTATGTCCAATGTGCAGACGGGAAGTTGTGCCCTCTGCTGGGAATTAGCCACACCCACCTCGCGTATCACATCGCACAATCATTATTGCCAGAGGGGAGGAGGGGTGTCTCTTATCCCCAAAGAAAGTGGGGAGGGGAATGAAGGAATGAGGTACACAATAAAATCAGTTAGAAACAATTCGAGAACCGGGCGTGTTTGTGTGTACTGTATTGGTTGTTTTTGTTCTTTTGTTTGTTTGTTTGTGCTTTTTGTTTGCTGTTTTCTTTTCTTTTTTTTTTTTCTTCTTTTTTCTTTTTTGCGTTGCTCCTTCTTAATGCTTTACCCCTCTACACCTCAGTTATTTTGTGGAGTCATTGCCACATCCACTGAGCAACGTGTGGGGACTGCGTTTTTTGTTGTTGTTTTTTTTCTTTTTTTTTTTTTTTTGCGTGTCGAACGGGAGTTGTCCAAATGATTCTTTTTTTTTTCTTACGTATGTATGTGCCAGTGCCCATTGAAAGTGGGAGGGGAGGGTGGAATATCCCGCAAGAAAGAAAGAAAGAGAGAGAGAGAGAGAGAGAGACGATAGGGGAAAAACAAACGAAAGAAAACCCACTGCAGTGTCGTTATTGGCTTCCAACTGATTTTTTTTTTTTTTTTTTTTTTTTTATTTTGAATGGACATGCATGCGCAATACATGTCAGCCAACAATCTGACGTTTTGGAAGAAGACGCATTTTTTTTCTTTTTTATTTCTTTTCTTCTTGTTGCTTCTTCATTGATGTAAAAGGAGGGGCGAAACGACTCTTTTAGTCTCTGGAGTCGATGTTTTGCCGACCGCGTCCAATGCACATGTCGGTGGGGGGCCGCATACCGAGGCGGACGGTGGCCGCGGCGTTTTCTGTTGGATTTTCGGGCACCACAACAACAACAACAACCGCCCACCGTCGTTGTTACCGAACAGACTTCTTCAGCAGTGAAGCCGCGGAGGGGCGAGCGGCCACGAGAGCTTTTTCTCCTCCTCCTGTTCCTCCTCCTGCTCCTCCTGCCCCACCGATAGATGCGGCTACCCTCGCCGCAATGCTCGACGATGTCAGTCCGGAGGTGGTGGCAGGGCATCAGGAAGAGGTGGTGGCGATGAAGGCACCGTCAGCCTCATCGGCGAGGGGAGAAAACGCCTCTGCGACATCCAAAGGTTTTTTGAGTGATATTGTTGCTGACACGCAGGAGCTTAATACGGTGGTTGCAGAGGAAGCGATTGAGGAAGAATGTGCAATTCTGCTGCAGCCAGAGCGCCCGGAGATGGAAAGCCAATACGAGTGCGGGTTATCCAAAACGGAGGAGGTTGCCACAGAGACACCTGCGTCAGCGAGTTGGGTCACCAAAATGAACTCTTCATGCAGTTACCTCTCTCGGCAGGATGCTCTTTACTTGGCGGCACCAACCCCATTGGACGCACGGATGCCAGTTGTTTCCACGCCAGCTTCTTCATTGTGTGTTATGGTCGTTTTTGCCGCGAATGACATGCGTGTCCATGACAACTATACATTGGCGTTAGCAGCCGTACGGGCAGAAGCGGCAGGTGGCCTACCAGTTATAGCCGTCGCTGTCATCGACTACCGCACCTTTGCACAGCCGAGTGCTGTTGGCGGGTACTTTCGGCAGAGCCCCATGCGGGCGCGTTTTTTTCTTGAGTCCCTTGCAAAGTTGCGGGCGACGATAGAAGAGGAATTACATGTGCCGCTTCTTATTCGCTGTGGACGGCCCGAAGAACACGTCCCACGTCTCGCAGTAGAGTGCGGTGCGACCGATGTTTTCATGACAACGCAGTATGCCCCACATGAGAAGAATGTTCATGACACCATCGTGGAGTCGATTAAACGCCGCAAGTGGGTGAGCCGCGATGTCGCCTCAGGCCTGAAGCCAAAAACACATGACGCTGCCGTATCCCATCCATACGGCAACTGCGACGGGGATAGGGAGGCGGTAACAGCTGCAGTGTCTCCTGTCCCACACAGCGTATGGCAGACAACCCTGGTGCACATAGATGACCTGCCCGTGCCGGTGGCGGCCATGGCAGAAGGCGAGCGTTGGTACCATGACGATGTGACTGTTGCGAGTATTCGCCCGACGGCACCGTACGATCGTTATATTGCAAGGATATCATCCCTACCGACGCGGCACGAACTTCTTCCTACCGCAGCGGAACGGAGTGGTTTGGCTCACCCGCCTCTGTACCGCGGCAGCATTCCAACTTTGGATCAACTTGGCTACGGCAACCAGGAAGCCTTTGCGGTGGAGGAGGTCATTGCGACACAGTCCTCACACCCACCTGGGGAACACGCGGCAATTGAACGAGTGGAGGATTGGCTTGCCGGTGGGGGTGTGACGTCGCTGCTGCGCCATGGCCGAGAGCACCGTACAAACGTGAAAATGTACTCGCAACGCCTCTCGCGGGTATCGCCGTACCTCTCGAATGGATCCCTTTCACCGCGACGGTTCTACGAGATGCTGCGGCGTTATGCCACCGAGAATCTGCGGGATAATTTTGTGCAAATGCAATACCGTGAGGCACTCCTCCGGTTGAGTCGACGTGATTATTGGCACTGGATGGGCTTGCGTTACGGGCCACTGCTCTTTTTCCCGTATGGCCCACGACCCGAACAAACCGACAACATCCCCGACTGGCGTCATGATGAAAAAATTGTGCAGAAGTGGTGTGCAGGACTCACTGGCGTGCCTTTTGCGGATGCGGCAATGCGGGAACTGTTGACGACTGGTTTTGTTGCCCACGAGGGACGACAGGCGTTGGCCTGGTTGTTGACACGCGGCTATGGACAAGACTGGCGCCTTGGGGCGGAGTGGTTGGAACGCTGCTCGCTTGACTACGATCCGTTTCTCTGTTACGGCAATTTTGCATACTTCAGTGAACTTATCTTGGATGACTTTGGTGAACCAGTGCGCAGTGTTCATTGGCTTGCCCACCACCATGACCAGACAGGCATCTACGTTAAGAAATGGCTCCCGCTGCTAAGTAAGATCCCGCCTGTGTACATTCACAGACCGCATGTGCTTACGCCGAGGATGCAGGCTATGCATGGTGTGAGACTGGGTAAAACCTACCCGTACCCGCTGAAGCTGTGGGATGGGGCGCAGTACATGTTAGGCAGTGACGAGCTCACGACGTACTTTGACGACTCAAGTGCATGGCATCGGAAGACGAAGAGTGGCGCAGGAGGTCCAGGCCATGCGGAAGCTCTACGCCACGGAAAGGCGATCATGAAGGTCAGAGAATGGAACGCTGCCATCTTGCCAGAGGAGGTCGCCCAACGTCCATGGGCGCATCACCTTCCCGCATCTGCCTTTGAGAGTAGTGAAGACGAGGTGGAAACGCTTCAAATGAGGCATCGGAACCAAAATCAGCCAACACGACATGGGCAGCTTTCTCTCTGATCGAACGATATTTATTTTGCAGGCAGTGTGGTTTAACGAATGGAGGTCCCTTTCTTTTTCTGTACTTGTGGGTGGGAGAGAGTTTATTTCTGTGAAGCCATTTTCTGTAAATGCATACGTGTATGCCTTGTTTATTATCCCCTTTGTTTCTGTTGTTGTTGTTGTTGTTGTTTGTTTGTTTTTTGGTTGTGTCTTCTGCCTAGCCCTTTTTTTTTTTTTTCCCACACCCACACACGCAAATTACCCGCCGTGTGAAGAGCTGCGACCGAGCAAGAGTAGTCACGTCCACTTCATGCCATATCCGTATATCCTGCAGTGCCGAGAAAGTTCACCAGAGGACGTCATTGTCAAGTACGATGTAGCAGCTACAACCGGAGGAGATCTTACGAGCGTATTCTCTTTGACCTCAAAGCCTGGGAATCACAACATCTTTGTAGCGGCATGTGACGGGGATGTCCCGGCGCTGCGAATGTTTCTTGGATTAGGTGTGGATATTAACGAAATGGGACAACCCAACCCGCAGTACGGCCCTCAGTTTGACCGACGTACGCTCTTTCGTGCCCCGCCGCTCTGTTATGCGGCGGGATATGGACGAGAAAAAGCTGTCGCAGCGCTGTTAGAGGACGGAGCGGACGCTCTGAAGACATCATCGACGGGATTTAAGGCAGTCGATTACGCCAGGCATCGTGGATACACGGCCATTGTGCAAATGCTGGAATCTGCAGAGGAGCGGAAGCGCTCTGACCAGCAGGAGGGCAAGGAATGATAAAGAACCATTTTCTTTTTTTTTTTTTCCATTCCTTGCGTTCTATGTAAATAATGCACCACTCATTCTTTTTGGATCAAAATTGAGGGGTTAACGGTGAAGGTAAACAAGGTCTCCACCACCCTCCTTCCAAACAAACAAGGACACACATACACGTTAGTGAGCCAGTTCTGCTGCAATGTTTTTTGTATAATTAATTTTTTTTTTTGGATTTGTCCTTGTTTTTTGGTGGTTGGCCTTTGGGCGTTGTCGGCTTTGGCATCTCTACTGATGATGCTAATGTTGCGTGGACACAAACTCTGCGGTTGGTCGTTTTGGTTATCGGCATTCAGGCAGCACGTCTGCTTGTTTTCTTGGACAGGGTTGCGTGTTTGTGCTGCGTCCTCATTGCTGTTTCTATTTCAATTCCACCTTTTTCTCTTTTTCTCTCTCTCTCTCTCTCTCTCTCTCTCTCCGTGTATGTTTTTGTGTGTGTGCTTGTTTGTTTGGTGGCCTCGTGGCTGCTACTCCGTGAATACGAGCAAGAAAGATGGAGGGGAACTTTTACGTCTCCGGCAGCGTCATTAAGCGTGAGCTGCGCTCAAATTACGGCAAAAACTACGCCAAGTGCCGCGAGGAGGCGGTAGCGTACGGTAGATGCATTGAGGCTGGTCAAATTAACCGAAACTTAACGCAGGGACTATGCCACGAGGAGCGGCGGGCACTACGCGCCTGTGTGGATATGCACGGCACGGCGATGAAGCAGCAGCGGCTGACGAAACAATAAACAAAGCGAAGAGGGGCACAAAACATGTCTTTGCATGCATGCAATGCGTTGCAAAATTGTCCCTCTGTCCGTGTGAGGAAGTGTTTTTTTCCTGCCGCCGTACATCGAGGAAACTTACGAGCTCCATGGAAACAAGAGGGAGGAGTGACGTGGAGAGCGCAGAAGCCGCATTGGAAGGAGTTGTTCAAAAATATGGGGAATTACTTGGGGGGGAGGGGGAAGGCAGTAAGTGGGGGGGACTTGACAAAAACGAGAAAGGGAGACTCTGAAGCATGCGAAGATTTTATTATTATTTCTTCTTTTTTTTAATGGTCTCTATTTTGTTTTTTGTTTTTTTGTGTTAATTTTCTGAGAAGGGGGAACAGGGAAGGTGTTGTTTGCTGCCACCACAGCGGCAAACGTCGACACCAAAGGAGTAGTAGCGGTGGCTGCCTTCTGCCTCTGGGTTTGTGGAGTCATTGCATCCCCGTGTGTGTGTGTGTGTGTCCTTTATGTCCGTTGTCGTTACCGCGGCGCGGTGGCTGCCCTTTCGTCAATTCCGTCAATTCCCGTCGGTTTCCTGCACGTCACGCAGTGTGTGGGGCTACAGCATACGCCTTTTTGGGTACTCCGCCTACGACAGCATACGCAAGCCTCCTAAAAGACGGAAGGGGCCGCATGCATTATTTGCCAACACCGCAGCAACGGTCAGGGGCAAAAATGATAATGTCCACGAGGGTGGAGTGCACGGAAGCGGTGTTGGCCGCACCCGCCCAACACAGCCGGAGTCGCAACGTTTGCAGGAAGCAAAAAGAACATTTCCAGAGACACTGAAGAGTGGTCGCTACAAGCAGCAGAATACCAAATCACAGCGCCTCTATCAGGGGGCCGCATCCGCAAGTGAATCGGCACCGGATAGGCGCTTCTACCGCAAGGTGGAAGACTACCGAGAGGTGCAGGATGATGATCCGTATGCCGGTGTCTTTAAGGAACGCGTGGGAGTAGAGCGGCGGCGGTTGAAGGAGTGGCAGCGGCAGTTTGAGGAGGAAAATGCACATGTTGAGCTGCCATATGAACGGACGAATGTCATTGCACGGATCGCACCCAATTGGTTTGTGCGTTACTTTTTGAATTTACGGGATAAGGGGGGTGTAGAACACGCCGGTTTTTTGTGGGCATGCGCCTTTGTCACTTTAAGTCTCTTGTGGCTTGTCGGGTACTTTTTTTACACTCCACCGAGTAAGGCGCGCCCAATCGCGGAGTTGCGATGATGACAGCAGTGGAAAGAAGGAAGGAAAGGAAGAAACAGTGAAGACATGTCTAAGTAAGTAGCCAACAAGAATGAAAAGTGATGGATACCAATAGTCCCGCGGTGGATCATGAATGGAGGTGTTTATATGCATACATACACGTCTGTGTTTTGTTTTGTTTTGTTTTTCTGTCTGTCTGTCTGTATTTTTTTTTTTTTTTTTTTCGCCTTGTGAGCGCCTCTCTGTCTGCTCCGTGTGGTGAGGGTGAAAACAGGGGAGACAAACACACAAAAATAAATAAATAAATAAACGGTGGGAATAAAAGAAAATTGGGGGGAGGGACGCAAAGACGTGAAGGGAAAACAGCCAAAATAGGCCTGTAAGTGTGCGAGCCCCCCTATCTAACCTAGCCATCTATCTATTCGTTTATCTGTATCTATATATATATACGCACCCTATTTCTCCCTTCGTGGTAGATGTCGAGCAACTACACGCTGGCGAGTCAATGTCAACTTAGGAGGGATGAAATGCATGAGCTTCTCGTCCTTGCCGCCGCGGCCGCATCAACGTTAGACACCGCCAGTGAAAATGGTGTGGGACCGAAGGAATGCAGCAAACTGGCACTCTGGCGTATGCTGCTCAGTGAGGCACATGTACGAACGCTGATGGTGCACGCATTGGTGCGTGTGTCGGTCCCAAAGAGCAAACAACAGCTGCTTATTCATGGGAACAAATACATGAAGGCAAGCAGTTCGGCGAAGGGTTCCACAGAGGGCCAGCAACATAATTACCGGGTGGGAAAAGTTGTGGCGCTCATACCACGCCCTCGGGGGTCGTCGGATGTCACGAAGACAACAAGTGACGCCCCACCGGCAGGTTCACTTCTTTCGGACTGGCTGCTGGGTGTTGACTTTGGCGAGGCAACCGAGTTGCTGGGAGCCAAGTACGTCTCCAATGAACCCTTTTCACCCGAGGAACATGCCGTATTTCTGCGCTCCTGCCTCTCGACACACACGGACACAACAAAGGCATCAGCGCCTATGACGGCTTCAGAGGCGGATGTAGTTGTCCGCAACCTGCATGACATTCGTAAGTATGTCACCGCAGTGGTGGAAGAACGAAGTGGCAAAGCAGCGGCTGCCGTGTCAGGTGTTGGGGGAATTAAACGCCCTCGCGATGACGCGGCTGCGGCACTGGGAAAAGAAGAAGGTGGCAACCGTCACAAGAAGGAAGACGACGAGGATGAGGAGGAGACTCTCACTCGAGCGCAGCTACTGGCGGAACGCGCGCGGCATCGCGAGGAGCGACACCGGTGGGAGGCGCTCCTTGACGAACAGCAGCGACATTTGAGTGGCCTGCGCCAGTTGCTGAATAGCAAGAATGGGGAGATTCAACGAGTGCTGCATACCCAGCGGCAGGCGGAGGCGGCGCACAGGGCTGAGATGGAGCAATGGAAGGTAAAGATGGAGGAACAGGGGCAGACGATCCGGCGAAGCGAGCGGATGCTTGCTGACGAGCGTGAGGTGCAAAAGGAAAACCGCGAGAAGACGGAGAAGTTAGTTGCGCAGCTCAAGAAACTCGCGGAACAAACTCGGAGGTTCAAGGAGGTGTCAGACACGGTGGCGGATTGGCTGCGTCTGGGCACAAAACAACCAGAGGAGGTACTGGTGGCTCTGAAGAGAAAACTGGCAGAATCGCCGAATTGATGGAAGGCCTCATCTTCTTCCCTTTGTTCTTTGTTATATATATATATATATATATATATTTGTACTGATGGGGTGGTACTGGTTGTGGTGTTGATTATTTGGTTTTTTGTCACAGTGTATTTGTATGTGTGTATGTGTGTTTGTGTGTGTGTGGGCAAGTGGACTTGTTGTTGTTGTTCCCAGCAACACGGACGACATCCTCTTTGTTTTATTGTTGGTTTTCTTCTCTCTGCCGCGTGTGGGCGTGTGCGTCGGCTGTTGTGCACATGAGTCATCCGTTGAAAAAGTTGTGCAGGGGCAAAGGTCTCATTTTAGCTGCTGCTGCGGCTGCATGGCGGATCGAGCCGTCGTTATTTTTCTTTTTGCGCAAGAGAAGTTGCTGTTCCGCTACCCAATCTGCAACCCTTTTACCCTCGATGTCAACAGCCAAAACACAACAGTCCCCGGCACTCATACGAAGACGCACGGAAAATCCTCTGCCGTCGCTGTGGACACAACCACCAACAAAACCATCACTGCCACAGCCGCTTCACATGCAAAAACAACAAAAACCGAAGCGTCACAGCAGCAGAAACAACAAAAACAACAGACTTCTACTGCTGCTCCAGCAGGTGTGGGCGTGCGGCACAAACCCCGTACCACGAAGCGATTGCACCCAACCCCAACAACGACAACAGCCGACTCCAAACAGCTCTCAGACAACGACGGTGATGGCGCGGTAAAATCTTCAATCACAGCCCCAACGGCCTTGTTTTTGACGGACAAACCACCGCGTGCCGGGCGTAGGAGTAGCAACAACAAGAAGGGTATTAGTAGCCGTAGTAGTAGTAGCAGTGCAAGCGGAGCAAAGGAAGATGATGGTACGTGTGTCGGAGTGCAAACACCGGTTCTCGTCCACCTTCTGCGTGCGAGATTCTCGAGTTGCACGACGATTCAGTTTGCCGGGGGGACGTTTCTCATTTACCCGCTGCTTCCGAGCAACGTCAACTCTCGTCGTCTTGAGGCATCGGAGGCAATGCGTTCCCACAACTTTGCTGCGGACGATATCCTTGTTGACATGGCTCATAATGACGGCGACGACGAAAACAACGAGGAGGACGAGGGAGGGAAAGAGGAGGATGAAGAGGAAGAGGGAAAACGAAGGAAAGTGCAGGCCAATGATCCGTCAGTCTCCTTGTCTCAGGGTGTTGTGCTGGTTGTTGCCATGAGCCAACCTGACCGCGAAGACGGTGCCATTGCAAATCTTTTGCAGATATTTATGAATATTCTTGTTCGAGAAGAGCTGCGCTCGAAATACGTCACGGACCAGGTGTTGCGGATGGAACATCGGATACATGCATGGGAAATGGGAAGTGACGGTGACGGCAAAGACGCTGGTGCCGTCAAGCATGATGCATCACCTTGCCATGGTCTTCGCGGGGGAAAACGCCTATCCACATCGAATATGTTTGCGGCGCTGTTGAAGGATGCAGAGTTATCGCTCTGTAAAGAGATTTCTCTTCTTGCGCAGCATATAACCGCCGCCAAAATTAACGGCAAGAAAGATGATGGTACTGTGGTCCCAGCATTTTCCCCAGCTACTCACCCACCCCATACCCAACGAGGTGGTGTCGGAAACACCGGCAGCAACAAGCAGAAGAATATTAGTAATATTGGTAATAGCATCAGCAGTGCTGGTGGGAGTAATAATAGCAGTGGGAATGTTTCCAGTGCGGCCTCAAACCAGGGTGGGGTGCCGGAGCTTTTAGTCCGTGGATTATTCAGTGTACCCGTGGCATCTATTTTGGGGCACCCCAGGCCTGTACCGTACCATGCGTCAGCCTACGTGAGGCAAAATCCGAACTACATTATGACACTAGAAGATCCATGTTTTGTTGAACGTTTGGCAAAACCGTACATTGAGGCTGTTGGCTGGCGTGCGTCACAGTTGCTGCCTCTGAGTACCATACACACGGTCCTAGGGACTCTCCCCCTTCCCTGGCGCGTCGGTGGGTTGTACCGTGCTCTGGAGCTGAGTTTGACAGGGGCCATACATCAGCGTCAAGGGATGAAGCAGCAACAGCAACTGAGCTTATCAGCTGGGAGCAATAGCAATTTTCGCTTAGGGTGGGTAAGAACGGAAGAAAGTTTTACAATGGAGGGCAGTAATGCCTTCTCACTCGAGGATCAAAACTTTAGATTGGACTGCGATGCTCTTATTGTAGAGGCGGTGGAGTTCCTTCGCTTGAGTGGGGTGCTGGCGATAGATGCTGAGATATCAGTCGTATTCACACATAGTGATCTTCTTCCCGAGGCAGGTATTGCACGCTGGTCAGGTCAGAAGAAGTGCAGAGCCGATGCATCATGTCCATTGCCTGCTATGAAGATTCCACCGACAACAACAAATATGCCCTCCCATCAGGATTATTCGCTTCTGAAACCAAAACCCCCGCTGCCAGTGGCCCCCGCGTCCATGATAGGATTGCTGGTGTTTGAGGCAATGCGGTCGTCAGGCATCACCGCTCCAGGCAGCAGTGGTGATTTGAAATCCCCTTTATTTAGTAGCGATGATTTTGCGGAAGCGTCTGTGTCAGCGCAAACCCTTACGATGATGACATCAACCTCTTCATCCCCTCCCGTGTTTCCTTCGAATAACATGGGTGGAAGTGATATTCCCCAGTTGGAAGTGTATTGTGCCTGGGGAAATGCGTGTACCATATGCGAGGAGTTAGCCTCCACACCGTATGCTTGGCGGGTCGGCAACTCGCCTGTTCGTTTGTCTTTTCCGTTTCTCGCTCCTGCCGTTGCGGATGCCGCAGCCCGGCGCGGCCGGCAGGGCGTCCGCCTGATTGACCCCGAGTGCTGTAGGTTGATGGCGGATCAACGACCGTGGTTCACACGTCCCAGCAAGTTTGCAACGCCGGCGGCTCTGGCCGATGGTTCGCCGGTGCAAGTGTACCGTCACCTTACACGAGGATACGGTGAGGGAGCAGGGCAAAAAGTGAAGGGCGCCATGGAGGACAATGACGGTCGGTCGCTTGTTTGTTGCGCGGCAGAGTTGGGAGGATACACGAAGCAGAACATACCGACAAACAATGAAAAGTTCACGGCCATCACGCCTGGCGGCATACCGGCCATGGCGCGAGAATGGTTGGCTAAAAATTGCAGCGCTATCGGGAGCCGACTTGCGGAGGCGATGAAGCAGAGACAGGCCTTGGAGGAAAATGCCAAGAAACTGACGGAGCAACGCCGCGCGGCTGTGGCTGCGGCTGCTGGCGGAGAAACGACAGCTGTTTTTACAAGTGCAAGTGGCAGCAATAGTAGAGCGCAGTATTCCCTATCGGCAACTCAACGCTACCACAAGCGGGTTTCTTGCTCACCGAAGTCTGTGCCTGGAGTCACAGGGGTAGTTCTCCCGCTCTCTCCAATTTCCCTTACCCCCTCTCATGAATCGTCCTCATCGTTTCGCCATCACCGTCTTGCTGGAGATGGTCACGTTTGCGCCGTCACACGTCTGATCAGTACTGAGCGTGTTGTTCCATTTGAGGCGCTCATGCAGTTTGTATTTCACCACGCCGTTGCGCTACTGTGGGGGAAGCCGGGTATTGGTGTGGAAACGTTGTTGTATTTGCTGGAGTGTAATCTTCGTCGACTACGGCCTTTTTTGGTACACTACGCGTACATTCAGCAACTGACGAACGCCACTGGTATTTCAAGTGATACCGCGTCGTGCTCATCAGCACAGCTGGTGCGGTCTGTCTCTACACATTCTGGTTTGAATTCTTTCAACGCCTTCCAGGCCCATCCGTCTTCCCTTTCAAACAGTAACATCCGAGACAGGGAAAAGGGGAAGAAAAAGAGTAAAAAGGAGGAGGAGGCCCTATCGGATCTAGAACAGCAATTGCTGGATTCATACGCTGTATTCACAGAACTTTCGCTTATGGATTTGTTGAAGAAGTTAAATGGGATGACAGTTGAGGTGGTACCAACGCGTCTGCTGCTACACACCGTTGTGAATGCCTTTGCAGATGTACTGCTCATAGGGAGAGGTCATAATGCTGGGAGTAGCAGAAGTAGCAGAAGCAGTAGTAGTAGTAGTATTGATGACGATGATGATGATGCTGTTGGATAACGTGGTTGATGTCTCTACCCTCTTGTGTGATGGATCCTGGTCTTGAAATGCTTCATTTATTTTTTATTTTTATTTTACCTTTTTCTTTGTAACATATTTTTGTTTACAAATGGTTGCTGTGTCCCTTGATGCCCAACACCTCTTATTTGATTTATTTATTTATTATGCTTACTGCGAATTCTCTTTCTTTCTATTTCTTCTGTTTGTCTCTCTAGTGCGGGTGTTTTAGGTCTTGTTCTGCCTGCCCGTAGGCTCTGCCTTTTCCTTTTTTTTTCTTTTCTTTTTTTTTTTTTTTTTTTTTTTTTCAGCCGGGGCCTTTTGGGAAAAGGGGAAAAAACAGAAGGAAAAAAGAAGGCGGGAGAGGAAGACGGAGTGGAAAACAAGAGCGGAGGGGTTGGGGGGGAAAAACAGAAAAACAAAAAAAAAAGGGGGAGGAGGAGGAGGAGGAGGAGGGTCAAGACCGTGAAGGCGTGAAGAAAGAGTGCACGGCGTCCTGCACGGTCCTTCAGGCACTCACTCGACCCTTCTTTTTTTCTTCTTTTTTTTTCCTCTTTTTTTTTTTTTTTAAAGGATCCCTCCGCTTCCTTCACCTCCTTCTCCCAATTCCTTCACCACCACAACCCCACGAGGTAACAGGCGGAAAAGAAGTAGAGCCTTCTTCTTTGTTTCGTTACATTAAAATATATATTTATATATTTATATATATATAAAGAAGGTAGAAAGAAAAAAAAATAATAATAATAATTTTTTTTTTTTTTCTTTGTTAAAAAGGCCCAATACACGAAAAAGAAGGGAAGGGAGTAGGAGAAGCAGAAAAGGCGCATTATTATTATTATTTAAAAGTGACAGTCACAACAAGGGTAGTAGAGAGGGGGGAAAGGGGAAGGGGGGGGCGGGTGAGTTTTGTGGTGTTAGTAGTGTTGGTACGACGTAAATAAACCAACAAGAATGGAGCACGTTAGGGGGGAGACGGTAGTTGCCGGTCTCTGTATTGGGATGTGGATAGTGGCTACCGCCGTCTGCTTATCTCGCACCCCTTTTTTGCTGGAAGATCGTCATCATCCCCTTGCGTCACCGTTAGTAACGGTCAAGGTTACCATTCTTATTTTGCTGGCTTTTTGGGCTTTGTGTTACGCAGGGTTAGGAGAATTTGATTTGCTCTTTTCGGATGCACCCTGGCGTATTGTACCGGCCTGTATTTTTCACCTGATTGTAGTACAATTTCTGCGGCCAATGGCCGTGATGCTTTTCTGCATTGTTATTTCTACACCAGCAACATCTTCACAGGGTTTGGTTCGTGTCAATTCAAAACAAGCAGTCTCATCACACAAACGACGTTCAGATCGCGTAGCGACAATGCAAGTGGATGCGGAAAGAAAGTTCCATGCGCCATACCTGCACCGAGAGGAGTTGGGCGATGTTGACTATCGGGACGCCTACTCGGAAGCAGAACAAGACGATTCAGAAGGGCATATGCCGGAAAAAAGTAGCGTGGGACGAGGTTTTGCAAATACGACCAATTCATTTTCTTTGTCTATACTCAATCCAATTAAACTGGACCTTGACTACGGTATCAAAAACACAACCCCCTCTACGAATTGCAACAGTATTCACTTGTCGCAGCGCAGTCCGACTATCCACAAGCTAGGGGCATTGAGTAACTTTGTCAAATCTGACAGCATACGGCCTTCGCCAGGGGATTGGGAACCGTGTAAGGTGGAATGTCAGCTGGATGGATATCTACAAGGGGAAAGTAGTGGTAGCGAAAATGTAAAACCTGAGCCAGTTCCTTTAGGGCAGGCACCCGATGAAAATGAAGGTCAAGGTGTTCAAATTGGTTTGGACAGCGGCAATATTTATTTTGATTGTAAACGGCGTTGTTATCGTGCCACTGTTTATATTGGCTACTGGCTGATTGGCATTCCCCCGCCTGGAGATCGTGTAGACTCGGAGGGAAATGCCATGGAAGTGTGGTCTCGTCTTTTATTGTGGCGCGTCGCACTACGCGTTCGGTCTATTCTTCCCGTGTGGTTTTTCTCTGTTTCGCTTAGCTGCGTATTTGTATCGTTTTTGTTAACGGAAGAGGTGCGTGGTTGTCTGGAACGCACTTCAGAGACGGCTGTGTGTAGAACCCCTGGTATGGACTCCATCTCCCCGCCACGGTTGTATCTTCCACGCTCTATCAGCATCATTGGACTCGTGGACAACGCACTTTTACTCGTCCTGTGGGTGGTGTGTGGTGTGGAATGCCTTAGCCACATTGGCAATCTTATAACAAAGCAGAGATTTGTACGAACATACATTGTGGGTGTCTTACTGCTTGTACTACATACGATATATGACTCTGTGGAGCTGTTTGATGAACTTCGGTACAATGGACTGGTGGCTGTGGTGTTGATCTCTTTAAGGAATGTGTGCGATGCCGTTTTGGTCATGCTGCTTGCTTTGCGTTTGGGTAGCGGAAATAAGCAGATGCCGCGGTGGTACAGTTTCCTTGCGTCGTGGTGGCAAGGTGCCTCTGGGAACTTGTCTGAGAACATGCAAGGGAAGTAACCGATGAGAGAAGAAGGAAGAAAAAAAGGGCCACAGCAGCAGCAGGAGGAGGAAGAAGAAGAAACAGAATTATTATTATTATTATTATTATTATTATATAATAATGAAGGAGGAGAAGTGTGTGAAGAAAGAAGGATAGAAAGGAAGACAGACAGACAGAGAGAGAGAGAGAGAGAGAGGTTCGGAAGAAAAGAACGGGTTTTGTTGTTGTTGTTGTTGTTTGTTTGTTTGTTTTTTGTTTTGTTTTTTTTTGTTTTGTTTTTGTTTTTTTTTTTTTTGTGTGTGTGTGCGCTTACGATGTATGATGTACGGATGGTGGCAGGCCAAGCCGACGCGGATGGTGTGAAGGAAGAAAAGAAACGGATCGTTGTGAAAACACAGATATATACATATATACATATATATATATATATACATGTACATGTATATGTATGTGCGTGTGTGAAGGGGGGAGGAGGGAGAGAAGGAGAGAATGAAAGAAAGCCAAACAAAATCAACTTATGTGTGGGGTTTTTTGTTGTTTTTGTTGTCCATTTTAATTTATTATTATTAAAGTCAGTGTTTAGAGTGTTGTGAAGTGATGATTGTTCCAAGTGGAAGCTGAAGGATGCGCTTATCGTCTTATTTCTCTATCTATCCGCGTCTATGTTTGCGTATATATATATATGTATACATACGGAAGGATGGCTGATCTGTGCATTGTTGCTGGTATTAAATAAAAATTTGCGTCAACCAAAAAAAAAAAAAAGAAGAATATATATATTTATATATTTATATATTTATATTTATATTTATATATTTATATATTTATATATTTATAATTGTTTATTTACATGCTGGGCTACGATAATGAGCGTATTTTATTCTATTTTGTTTTTTATTATTATTATGATGGTGACGTTGGTTGGTTGGTTGGTTGTTTTTCTTCTCCTTTTTCCTCTGTGCGTAGGCTTCTATTGACCGCTTTCCTTTTTTTTTTTTTTTTTTTTTTTTTTTTGCGTGTGTGTGTGTGTGTGTGTCTTTTTGTCTGTGGGAAAGAAAAGGAATAAAACCAGACACCCACAACATATGTGTACATCTCTTTTATTTATCTTCTTCTTTATTTTGTTTATGTGTACATAAAATATATATTATATAATATAATATATAAAATATATGTACGTACGTACTTACATATGTACGTATATATATTATTCCATGTATGGTTTTGGTTACCGCGTTGTGTTACTGCTAGCGTATTTACTCCTGGCCATTTATGCATGTAGAGATTGAGTAGGAAAGGGAGAGAGAAGTCTGAGCGGTCGCAGGTCCAATTTGTTGTTGTTGTTGTTTTCTTTTCTTATTTATTTATTTTCATTTGGAAGTGTGCGACTTGTGTGCGTGACTGGCGGTGTGGGGTGTTTTGGGTGCACGGGATGCGGGCCCGGGATCCGCCGCACCGCAGCGTTGCCTCACTCTTTACGGGAATAAAACCGAAGTGAAAAGAGAGACGGTGGGAGAGGGAGAGAGACGGCCACCCACCGGGACGTGTGTTCCTCGCTGCTGGTTTGTGCCTGCCTGCCTGCTCTCCGTGTTATATTGTAACGACCCACGCCCCCTTTTTGTCCGTGTGTATGTGTACTGCCCTGTTGTTGTTGTTGTTGTTCTTTTGTGTGTGTGTGTGTGATTGAGTGAGTGGGTGGGTGAGAGCTTTGCGTTTTTTTTTCTGGCCTGCAATGCTGGCGAGATGTTGTTGTTGTTTTTGTTTTTTTCTTTTGTTATTCCCTTCCCACAGGGGGGGGGGGGGGGGGGGGATTTTTGAGTGATGGTCGTATGTGCGGGCCGTTGATATTAACAAGTGGTGGATGCCATCACATCACTGTTTTTCACTCTCTCTTTCTCTCCCTCTCTATTTCTTTCTTTCTCTCTCTCTCTCTTTTTTTTTTTTTTTTTTTTTTTTTTTTTTTCCGTGTGTGTATGTGGGTGGGGAGGGGAAGGTGTGGACGATGGGTTTATACTCCCATGTATCCCACGCCCGCACGTACATATAAATATAAATATATATGCCTGTGTGAGTTCAGAGAGGGGAAGGGGTCTGTACAGACTCACACACACACACACACACAGTTAACACCGACATAAGTGTACCTCGTAATTTACATGTCTTTCCTTTTTTGTGTGTGTGTGTTTTTTCCACCCCCCTCACCCTCCTATTATTCACTTTTGTCTGCCTTCCTTCTGCACACATACATATATATATATATATATATATATATGTTGTTACTTCTTTCTCCCTTCTTTCTCTTGGATTTCTGGTACGAGGTGTCGAGAAGGAAGGAAGTGCCAGCAACAACAACAACAAGAAGAAAAAAGAAGGGGTCTTTTACATCACATTCTTAGAGGGCCGTTTCCTGTTTTTGGTAGAGTACGGAAGGGGAGGTTTTTGAGAAATCCGAATAACAGTCGCCGAGTCCAGTAAGAGGTGCCAACAAGAAAAGAGAAGCAAATATAGGCAGCATCAGCCACGTTTAGAATACATCTTGGAGGCCGCTAGTTTTAGAGTTTATAGCGGCCATAATTTATTGGTTTATTTTATCTTATTTACGGTTGCGTTGACTCGCAGGCCCTTCCCCTCATTTTCCTTCCACCTCTTCCGCTTTAACGGGTATTTTATTGGTATTTGGCAGCGGTACTGACAAGGCACAAATTAGATCTTCTCCCGTGACCATCAATTTATTATTACTATTATTACTATTGTTGCTGTTGGTTCTCCATGGACACTCTGGCGGGGAACTTAGGTGCGGCTCGTACTGGAATCCAGCAGTATACAGTCGGCCAGGCAAATGTGGCGTCTGGCAACGGCGGCAAGGCACTCAACAGTGCCCGCTCCACCATGACAACAAGCCAATCCACAAACAGTGCCCGTCGCTCAGGCAGTAAGCGGGACCGCGAAACCGCCACCTCCACAGACATCACAAGGACGAAGTCTCAATATGGGGAGGTCACGAAGAAACAGGCCACGGCTACCACCACCACCAACAACACAACAACAACAACAACGGCGACCGCTGGTGGGGCCAACCGAATAGTAGAAGTACTGCCTCTACCAAAGAAGAAGAAGGTTACGTACGCTCTTCCCAACCAAAGCCGGGAGGAGGGCCACTTTTACGTGGTTCTTGGGGAGGACATTGATGTCTCGACGCAGCGCTTCAAGATACTCTCGATGCTGGGCGAGGGCACCTTCGGCAAGGTGGTGGAGGCGTGGGATCGCAAGCGCAAGGAGTACTGCGCGGTCAAAATTGTGCGCAACGTGCCCAAGTACACACGTGACGCGAAGATTGAGATTCAGTTCATGGAGAAGGTGCGCCAGGCGGATGCCGACGACCGCTTCTCGCTGATGAAGATTCAGCGCTACTTCCAGAACGAGACGGGCCACATGTGCATTGTGATGCCAAAGTACGGTCCGTGCCTGCTGGACTGGATCATGAAGCACGGCCCCCTCAGCCACCGCCACCTAGCGCAGATCATCTTCCAGGTGGGCACGGCGCTGGACTACTTCCACACGGAGCTGCGTCTGATGCACACCGACCTGAAGCCGGAAAACATGCTGCTGGAAACCAGCGAAACGGTGATAGACCCCGTCACGCGCAAGGCGACGCCGCCCGACCCGTGCCGCATCCGCATCTGCGACCTCGGCGGGTGCTGCGACGAGCGCCACAGCCGCACGGCGATCGTGTCGACGCGCCACTACCGCAGCCCCGAGGTGGTGCTGGGCCTCGGGTGGATGTACTCGACGGACATGTGGTCGATGGGCTGCATCATCTACGAGCTCTACACCGGCAAGCTGCTGTACGACACGCACGACAACCTCGAGCACCTGCACCTGATGGAGAAGACGCTTGGCCGCCTGCCGCAGGAATGGGCAGGGCGCTGCGGCACGGAGGAGGCGCGCCAGCTGTACAACTCCGTCGCGCAGCTGCGTCCCTGCACGGACCCGAAGCACCTTGCCCGCATCGCCCGGGCACGACCGGTGCGTGAGGTTATTTCGGACAAGCTGCTGTGCGACCTTATCTATGGCCTACTGCATTACGACCGCCAGAAGCGGCTGACTGCGCGGCAAATGACGACGCATCAGTACGTGCTGAAGTACTACCCGGAATGCCGCCAGCACCCCAACTACCCCGACAACCGCCCAACCCTCCGCCCCACCCCGCTTATGTGAGTTGTGACGTGGACTTTGTGTCGTGATCACATATTTATTCTGCGTAGATAGCTTGAGGGTGGAAGAGGAGGCATTGGTGTAATAGAGTCTCTCTCCCTCTGTGTGTGTGTGTGTGTGTGTGTTTGTGTATGATTTTTTTGGTTTTTTGGGGGGAGTGATTTATTCCGCGTTTTTTTACGGAAATTTAGAAAACTAAGAGAAGAAAAAAAGGAAAGGAACTGACATGTTCTTTTACGCCCCTTTTTTTTTTTTTTTTTTTTTTTTTTTGACATTGCGTCATTAAACTGCATAGATTTTTGCAAGGGATCACTTCCCTTTTCTTTTTTCTTTCGGTTCTTATAGCATGGGTGTGTGTGTGTGTGTGTGTATGTGTCTATCAGCCATCACGTATGCGTGTGACATTTCATCCCGCCTCTCCCGCCCATTCACACAGACGTGTTATTTGATGAGAACTATTGGCACCTGTTGTTGGTTTTTGTTTGGTGGTGGTGGTGGCATGCCGTTACACAATACGCAGAAGTGTATGTATTGTATCTACGTCATTACCGTAATACATGTGTGTTAACGTGTGTGTGTCCTTTTTTTTTGTTTGTTTTAATATTTATATTTGATTTGATTGGACATGCCTGTATTGACTCCATTAACCTGTAGCATCCGCAGTAGCGTTCCAGAGGAGGAGGAGGAGGAGGAGAAAAGAAAAAGAACAAGAAACAAATAAATTGCTGCAATGCAATGAGGAGTTTGTCTTTCTCTGAAGGGAAAAGACATGAAAGAAAGAAAGAAGGAAAGAAACAAGTGTGGAATGAGGGGATAGCTTCCATTAGAGGGATGCACACACACACACACACACACATACATGCACATACATGCACATATATATATACGCAGAGGGGAACTGATGGCCGTGTCTCTCCTGGAGCATCATGCTGTTATCCCCTCTCTCTTTTTTTTTTTTTTTCTTCTTTTTGTTTTGGTGGTGGTTGGCCGGGTTTTTTCACTTTGCCTCGTTCATCTTCCGCCCCCCCCCCCACGTCCACGCATTTTCCCTACCCGCTGCTTGGGCCACCTGTTGAATGTGCCGTGAGGGGAGGGGGGAAGGGAGGGAAAGAGAGGGAAAGTGTGTGTTTTGCCTGTTTGTTGAGCAGCCGCCATTTATTTATGTGTTGTTGATCGGTTGTTGTTGTTTTTTTGTTTTTTTTTTTTTTTTTTTCTCCTCTACCCACCCACACCCTATTATTTTATTTTATTTTATTTTATTAGACGCTTTAGAGATTTGTGTGTGTTTTATCATCAATTGACGTTTTTTTGTATTTGTACTGCCGTCACCAGACTTTTTTCTCCCTCCCTCTCCCTTTCCCTTTCTTTTTCTTTTTCTTTTTTCCTCCTTTTGGATTTTCCTTTTCTTTCCTTCCCTCTTCATTGTTGTTGTTGCGTTGGGTGAGTGTTGTTAATCCAATCCACTACGGTAAATGAATGCGTGCCTGTCTGTGTAGGCATTCGTGTAATATTTATTTACATGTGTGTGCATACATGTGTGTTTTGGTTGTACGCCACGCTGCCGCGTAGAGAAGAGAGAGAGAGAGAGAGAGAGAGAGGGAGGGAGATTGGAAGAAGTGAGCATGCAGCGACGATGATTACTCTTATGGGAAGAGAGGGAGGCTTCTCTGTCCATCGGTACGTGTGTGTAATGCATACATAAATGCATATATATATATACATACATGTCATTTGTGTGTGTGTGTGTGTGTTGGTTGCAGGCAGGCATGAGGTGCGGTGGTCACAACACCGAGACATTCTGCTTGGCCTGTTGGGAGAGAGAGAGAGAGAGACGAGAGAAACGAAGATGTAAATAAAATAAAATAGAAAAAGACACACACACACACACACACGCATTACATTGCATACATGACGTATGTTATTACTTGTTGATTCATTAGAAAATAGAGCAAAGTAATGGAAAAGAGGAAAGACGCACACAAACAAAATAAAAAAAAAAAAAAACCGAAAAGCGAAGAGAAGAAAATAATAAATAAATAAAAAAAAGAAGAAGAAAGGGAGAAGAGGGTGTAGATGGGGTCCCTGTGGACACACAACTGTATATATACATATATACATATATATATATACATGCACATGCATGCAAACAATGAGAGGGAAAAAAAAAAAAAAAAAAGAGAGAGAGAGAGAGAGGGTGAAAAGAGGGAGGGGGTTTATTGCATGCGTTATTGATTTTTGTTCTTCTCATTTTATTTTTTTCTCTTTGTGTGTGTGTGTGTGGCTGTTGGGTGTATTTTGGATGTTAAACATTCATCTCATGTCTCCTTTTTGAAGAATTTTGCAATGACTCCTTCTTTATTCTCTTCTCTTCTCTTCTCTCACATATATGTATGTATGTGTGTGTGTATTTATGTATGCGTACATCGCTGTCTCTATTGGGCCGTTCACTGCGAAGTGCCTGACACACAAACACAAACACAGAAGAAGAAGAAGAAAAAAAAAAAAAAACGAGATTAACGAACTTTTAATTAATTAGGGGAATAAAGTTTTTTTTTGTGTGTGTTTTTGTTTTTGATTTTGTAAGAAAAAGAAGAAGAAGGGAAACAAAAAAATCAAAAACAAAAGGGGAGGGAAAGGCGGGGTAAATTCAACACGAGCGGCAAGAACTAAAAGCAAATAGTGAAGGTAGTGAAGCACCCGCCCACAGTTACATACATACACAGAGAGAGAGAGAGAGGAGGCACGTAGGAGTAGAGAGCGTAGTGTGCCGGAAAGTCCGTAGGAGAACCCCACACCTGAAGAAAAAGAAGAAAAAACATTTTTTTTATTTCTTTTTTTTTTTTTTTTTTAGCGCACGGAGCTGCAAATAACAATCGTAACAACATTGTTATTATTATTATTATTATTATTGGGTTGATTTTAGCTGTCTGTTTTGTTTGTTTGTTTTTATTATTATTATTATCGTCCCTTCACGGTTGGTTTTTTAATGGCATCCTTTGCCACACGCTCCGCTGTCTTGTCATCTGCGCAGTGCCTTCTTCCTGCCACGAACATGAACGACAGGTCGTACTACAACTTTGCCGCCAGGGGAAAACAGAAGCCAAAGCCACCAGTCAACACCCTTTCGTCGTCATCGCCCAAGAAACCAACGCAGGAGAACACCCTTCAATCACGCGAGGAGGAACAGTTTTTTTCACGTCGCTCAGGCAGTAAGCGGGACCGCGACACCGCCATCTCCACAGACATCACAAGGACGAAGTCTCAAAATAAGGCGGCCGCTCGGAAATCGACCACAACAACACCAACAACGAACGCAGCAGCGGCAGTTGGAGGAACGGCGAAGCAGACAAAGGTGAAGGTGACGTACGTTCTTCCCAACCAAAGCCGGGAGGAAGGCCACTTTTACGTGGTTCTTGGGGAGGACATTGATGTGTCGACGCAGCGCTTCAAGATACTCTCGATGCTGGGCGAGGGCACCTTCGGCAAGGTGGTGGAGGCGTGGGATCGCAAGCGCAAGGAGTACTGCGCGGTCAAAATTGTGCGCAACGTGCCCAAGTACACACGTGACGCGAAGATTGAGATTCAGTTCATGGAGAAGGTGCGCCAGGCGGATGCCGACGACCGCTTCTCGCTGATGAAGATTCAGCGCTACTTCCAGAACGAGACGGGCCACATGTGCATTGTGATGCCAAAGTACGGTCCGTGCCTGCTGGACTGGATCATGAAGCACGGCCCCCTCAGCCACCGCCACCTAGCGCAGATCATCTTCCAGGCAGGCACGGCGCTGGACTACTTCCACACGGAGCTGCGTCTGATGCACACCGACCTGAAGCCGGAAAACATGCTGCTGGAAACCAGCGAAACGGTGATAGACCCCGTCACGCGCAAGGCGACGCCGCCCGACCCGTGCCGCATCCGCATCTGCGACCTCGGCGGGTGCTGCGACGAGCGCCACAGCCGCACGGCGATCGTGTCGACGCGCCACTACCGCAGCCCCGAGGTGGTGTTGGGCCTCGGGTGGATGTACTCGACGGACATGTGGTCGATGGGCTGCATCATCTACGAGCTCTGCACCGGCAAGCTGCTGTACGACACGCACGACAACCTCGAGCACCTGCACCTGATGGAGAAGACGCTTGGCCGTCTGCCGCAGGAATGGGCAGGGCGCTGCGGCACGGAGGAGGCGCGCCAGCTGTACAACTCCGTCGCGCAGCTGCGTCCCTGCACGGACCCGAAGCACCTTGCCCGCATCGCCCGGGCACGACCGGTGCGTGAGGTTATTTCGGACAAGCTGCTGTGCGACCTTATCTATGGCCTACTGCATTACGACCGCCAGAAGCGGCTGACTGCGCGGCAAATGACGACGCATCAGTACGTGCTGAAGTACTACCCGGAATGCCGCCAGCACCCCAACTACCCCGACAACCGCCCAAGCCTCCGCCCCACCCCGCTTATGTGAGTTGTGAGGCTAATACTGTTGCGAAGAGCGAGAAAAACGTGGTAGGGAGGGTATAGCTGATGGGTGAACAAGGTGGTGTCATTCCTGTTTGAGGGATCTCCACGTGCGTGGTGATGGAAAGATGGACTTTTTCCTGTGTGAAGCCATTCCGTATTGTTCACACACACGAACACATCTTTGTGTCTTCGTGTGTGCGTGTGTGTGTTTTTGTAGTTTTTCTAGAAATACCGAAATTTTTTGTACGTTCAGACACATATATACATATACATATATATATATTTATTTGTTTATTTATTTATTTATTTAGACATTGTGGAGATGGCATGTGAAACAGGTGTTTAGAGAGGCTGCTGCGTGAAGGGAGATAGGTGCACAGATGGTTGGCAATGTCTCCTTTTTTTTTGTTTGTTTGTTTGTTGGTTGGTTGGTTGGTTTGCTTTATTGTTGTTTTTTTTGTTGTTTGGTTTTCTTTTCTTTTCCCCTCTACCCTTCATATTATATATAATATAATATATATATATATATATTATATATTACGTGTGTATTTGTGTGTGCGCGTGTTCTTTTTTTTCTTTTGTAAGATGGAGACATTTCCGGGACATTTAAAGCCGCAGAAGGGAGCTGTGTGTGTGTGTGTGTAGGCGGGAGGGGGGGAGGGGGGAAAAAAAGAAATGAAATGAAAAGAGAGAGAAAAAAAAAAAAAAAGGGAGGCTTGAATAAGCAACCAAGCAGACAATAAGAGACGGCGTGCCAGGCACTTCTGCTGGCTGCCTTGCTGTACGTCATGGTCGGTGTTGTGGTTTTTAGTTTCGGGTGCCGTTTGTTGTTGTTGTTGTTTTTGTGTGTGTGTGTCTGTGCAAGGGAGAAAAACAGACAGACAGACAGAGAGAGAGAGAAGTATTTTTTTTTTTTTTTATGGGCGATGTGCGCGTGTAATGTGTGGTGTGTGTGGTGCCTTTTTTTTGTTGCCACAATACGACCGTCTCACCACCACCAGCAGGAGAAGCAGGACGAATAATTCAAAACTTTACTCCCAGCCATTCATTCATTTAGACACACACACACACACACAAATAGAAGCAGGAGGAGGAGAAGTTTTTTTTTTTGTTTTGTTTTGTTTTTTGTTGTTGTTTTTGTTTTTGTTTGTGTGTGACCGCAAGAATAGCGCCAGAACAATAAGAATAAAATGTATTCTTATTGTTGATTTTTTCTTTTTTCCTTTTTTTTTTCTGTGCGTGTGCGTGTTTGTTAATTATTATTATTATTATTTCGAAGCAAACTTGTGCGTGTGACCCCAAAGAGGCTCTGATAGATGAGATGTCGAGTGGGTTGTTGTTTTCTTTTCTTTTTTTTCCTTTTCTGTTTTCAGCTCTTCTCCTTCTCTCCCTCATTTGTCAACCACACACACACTCACACCTCACTTCTTTATTAATGACATGTGCGTTGGATTTGTTTGTGTTTTTTTTTGTGTGTTTGTGTGTGTTTGGTGCGTTATCTTTGGAAGGCGGTGCAAGTGCAGTTTTTGTGTTTTGTTTTGTTTTGTTTTTTTGTTAATTGTTTCATCCGCATGGATGGAAGTCTGAGCGGTCGCAGGTCCAATTTGTTGTTGTTTTCTTTTCTTATTTATTTATTTTCATTTGGAAGTGTGCGACTTGTGTGCGTGACTGGCGGTGTGGGGTGTTTTGGGTGCACGGGATGCGGGCCCGGGATCCGCCGCACCGCAGCGTCGCCTCACTCTTTACAGGAATAAAACCGAAGTGAAAAGAGAGAGACAGAGACAGAGGGGGAGGGAGAGGGAGAGAGACGGCCACCCACCGGGACGTGTGTTCCTCGCTGCTGGTTTGTGTTGTAATGACGAGGACGGAGGCGAGGGGAGGGGGGGGGACTCGTTGTTGCTTTTTTATTCCTTTTGTGTTTGTTTGTTTGTTTGTTTGTTTGTATTTTTTTTTCTTCCATTGTGATTTTATATTTACAAACACACATAAATATAAATAAATATAAATAAATATGTATTTATTTTTATATTTATTATTTCTTCCCCCCCACTCTGCTTGTCTTTTTGACACGTGCAAAAAAAAAAAAAAAAATATTTTGCCGTGTTGCCACCACTCAGACACAGTGGGGTTTGTTTGTTTGTTTGTTTTTTTGTTTTTTGTTTTTTTGTTTTTTTTGTGAACACGACAAATGAGAGATAAAAATTAGGGAGGGCGGCGCATGTGAGGTGTAAACTCCCTCGTGGCTTTTGTTCCCAAGTATAAACAAAGAAAGGGGGAAAAAAGGGAAAAAGAGGAAGCAACAGCAACAGCGGCAATAGCTGAAACTTTGGCAGAGTGAGTGAGAGGATGGGGAAATCTTGTCTGTCGTTGTGCCACGGACTGGTTGGTTGGTTGGGAGTAGGAGGAGGAAGAGGGGCTAATGACGCGTTAAACCGCGTTTTTTGTTTGTTTGTTTGTTTGGTGTTTTTATTTTCTTTTCTTTTTTCTTCTCTTCTTTCTTTTTTTCTTTTCTTTTCTTTTAATAATTATTTGTTGTGCTTCTTTTTTTCCAAATTCTCGTGCACATATCCTTTTTTGGGTGGACGGAAGGATCGCGTACAAAAAGAAGAAGAGAAAAGAAAAAAGGGGAGGGGAGGGGGTTTTGTGAGTGGATGTGTGAGGGAGGGTGAGTAAAAAAAGGGGGAGAAGGGGGTGGACTGCACAAGAGGAACGACAAGGAAGAGAATAGGAACAAAACCAAAAGGAAAAGAAAAGAAAAAAAAAAAGAAGAAGAAGAAGAAAACAAGACAATAAAAAATTAAATCACATGCCAAAACCTCTGCAAGAACTGCTTGAAACAAGGCGGGCAATAGAGATTATCCCAGGAGTGCTGTACTTTGCCTCAATGGGGGAGAAATTACTGCCGATTGGGGAGTCTGTCGTCTTTACGGGTCCGTTGCGGCCGGCGTCCGCGCGGTCAGTGAACATCCCGAAGGAGGATCACATTGAGGCTTCTGCCGCTAGCGCCGCACTGGCGGCATCGACCGTTGATTCGTTGGAGGATCGGCCCCCATCGCAAGGGGAGGGACGAGAGTCAAAAACCACCTCACGACGACGAACGCCTTCGCCGATTATAAATGTTTCTCATGTGCGTTCAAATGCAGCTCAAGCCGTGATTTTACGCAAGCTGATTCTCCTTGGCGACAACGGGGACGAAAGTTTTGGCGGTGAAGTTGAGCATGGGGCATTCTACTTCTCCGTGAATGAGAGTCCGTTGTTTCAGTATTACCCCTTTTTTGCCGACTTTGGGCCGCTTGGACTGGACGCCGTGACACGTCTGTCGCGGTGCTTGATGGGACTTCTGGAACACTGCGTTGCGTACGGTTGGGGGACTGACAGCAATGGCAGGGAAATCTTTGGCCCACGCGGGCGGCTAGAGAAAATCACAGAGGGACACTCTGAGGCGGAGGCGACGATGTCCTTATTGCATCCCAACATCCCTCTTGTGTTCTGCAGCGGGCTCAGTAGTCACGATCGCGCCAATGCGGTGTGTTTACTCGCTTGCTTTTGTGTGGCCACACTTGGGTGGTCGGCATCCGCGACCTGGCAGGCGTTTCATTCTACATATCCTCCTCTTCTTCCCTTTCGCGATGCGGGTAACGCTGCCTCGGCGTTTTCGCTGCCGATTTTTGACGTCATCTCGGGTTTAGAGAAGGCCGTGACGTTGGGGTGGTACAACGTCCGTACATTTGACATTGCGGAGTACGAGCGATTGCGCCGCCACGACTGCAGTTGGGTTGTGCCGAATACCCTTCTTGCCCTTTCGTCCCCAAATAGCCACGTGCCTGGGCGCTCCGCCGAGGTGTATGTCAAACTCTTTCACCAACTGAAGGTGACGCATTTGGTTCGACTGAACGAGTCGCTCTACAGGCGGGAGATATTCCTTGCGAATGGTGTTCAGCACTTTGAATTGGAGTTCCCTGACGGCAGCGCCCCAAATGATGACATCATCAAACGGTTTTTTAAAATTGTTGAGCCCATCGTGTTACCGTCAAGTCGCGCAACAAATAAAGGGGAAGAAAAAGGGAGGCCGCCACTGCTGCAGCTGCATCAGCATCAGAGTGGAAGCCCACGGTGGGGAGAACAGCGGGTCAAGAAGGTTAAAAGCGGTGGAGGTGCGGTGGCTTTGCACTGTCGCGCCGGTTTGGGGCGAACGGGGACTTTGATATGCGTATATATGATGCGGCACTTTGGAATGACCGCACGGGAGAGTATTGGGTGGATTCGGTTGTGCCGCCCAGGAAGTGTCATTGGTGTGCAACAAGAATTTCTAGAGAGAATAGAACGACGGTTTTCCCACATGGCAAATGCGGTTGAAATATTCCGCGCTGAAAGAAGCATACGAGTCATTGGCTCTCGTTCCATGGATCCCAGTAGTAATTACACGTGCCAGATCCGCGCTCGTCGACATGTTTCCTCCGCACCAGGGTGGCGTCGACAAGGCCCGGCAGAAGGGGAAGGGGTCAAAATGGAGGAGAGAGAAGGGACGATGGTGTGCGATATGGCCACGACCCTTCCAGGACCGTTGTGGAATTGGCATTCCAACTGCCCCTCCTCCGATATTCTCGCGCCGGAGAAGATGGACCCTTTAGTGGCGTTCCCGCTGGAGGCTAAGATGCCCAACCAGTCAAGAGGCGCGTGGATATCCTCCGAGGAAAGAGCACCACCCCCATTGCCATTTTCACCCTCATCCATTTCGACACCGTCACGTATGGTCCACATGAGGCAGCAAAACCGTGAAAACAGCACGGAGGAGCAGACGTTCGATGGCGAGCATGCGAAGAAACGAGATTATACGATCCATGCAGCAACCACGTCCTTTCCCTCGTTGCCGCCATCGGCATTGCCTTCAGCCTCGTCAAGACCGATAAGTTTAACGCCCACCACGGACGCGTGTTTCTCCACGCCCCAAATGCGGGCCTTTACTCCTTCTTCACGGATTCGAAAGGAAAGACATGGAAACTTACGGGATATGCCCACTAGCGTCGAAAACAACGACGACAACAAGTACAAGTACAAAGAAAACAATAACTTAACCGTGAAAGAAGCACAACTATCATGTTGTTTAAACGATTCCAGTAACTTGCAAAGGGACGGCTTTATATTAGCGGCTGCTTCAGTGGACAGCAACGCCACACCGTTTTTACATGTCTCCGCTTCCTCTGTGCCTCCAGTTGGAATCACAACGCTGTTGAAGGGACCGCAGCCACGAAATAAGCGCACCGTCATGCTCACAAAACAGTTGGAATTGGCAGCAGCAGCAGCGGCCGTGTTCGCAGATCCCGGCTGGGGGGCGGCATTGGTACGGTTAGAACCATGAAGTGGCGGGTGAATGGAACACACACCCTACTTGGATCATGTATGAATTTCTGAAAAAGGGCGAAGAATTGTCTTGGACTTTATAAGTTCTACAGTGTCTTTTTTTCTTTTTTTTTTTTTTGTGTGTGTGTTTTGTTTTGTTTTGTTTGTTGTTTTTTGACTTCTCTTCCTCTTCCCTTCTTGGGGGGAGCCGGCACAAGGTCGGGCGGGATGAAACACTCTCAATGGACCGGCATCTGGTCACTTTCTCTATTATTATTATTATTATTATTATTATTTTCTCTCCTTTTCTGCTTATTCTATGGGCGCATATTTATATATAAATATATAAAAATATTTATTTATTTGTTTACTTGAATTTGTTTCATGTGTTCTGTCTTTTTTTTTTTCTCTCCGGTGTATCTTTTTTTTTTCTTCTTTATTGTTCTTCTTTATTGTTCTTGTTTCTTCCTTCTGCTATCGCCTGCATATTTACTCACATGCCTGTTAGAAGGAGAGAGAACATAAAAAAAAAAGGGGGAAAAGAAGCGGCAAATCCATCACGTGGTGCCAGGAAGACAGAAGGGGTTGGGTGGTGGAGAAATTAGAAGGTGCGGCAAAGTCACACCGTTTCTTCTTTTTGTTTTTTTGTTTGTTTTTTTCCTTTCCAACAGGCCGAACAGATATCTCTCTCTCTCTCTCTCTTGCAGTGTAGAGGCGAGGCAGCAGTTGTTGCGGTTGTTGTTCATATATAAATATTGTGGGAGGAGTGACGGAAGGAATCCACGCGAAAAGGAAAAAAAGAGAAAAAAAAATAAAAATAAAAAAAAGAGGGGAGGAGGGTTTTTTTGTTTTTTTTTTTTTTTTTGTAACCTTTTACAAGGCGCACGTAAGCACATACCCTCTTGTTGACATCATTTTTCTCCATTGCTGCATCGCAACAAGTGGTGGAAGAAGAATTCTTAAAAAAAAAAAAAAAAAAAAAAAAAAAGGGAAAGAAAGAAAGAAGGAAGGAAATATATATATATATATTAGAAATTTTAAAAAAAAATAAAAAAATAAAAAAGAATTTTTACATCCTTTCAAGAAAGGGGCAGGAACATGCTCTCGGAAGAGGATCAACTGTTGTTTGTGGCGGCGAAGGAGGCGCAGTTAACACGCAATGAGGCGGTGCATATAATCATGTCGGACGTTTCTCACTCTGTCTTCTACGGGGCATTTATCCGTGTTCTCTTGGAACTGCAAGACCACCGTGAGGATTACATCGTAGCCCGCGTTGGGGCGATTGCAACGGGTGAAGTCTACGGGGGCTTTTCAAACAATGCGAACATTAGAACAGACAATTATCTGGTGCTGCAGCTCCCACCGCACCTTGCGAAGATCAATGGAACACAGTACCAGTTAAACAGCATCAGCAACTCCCCCATGACGGAAGGGGAGTTTTCTCGCTGGTTAGAAGTGGCAAGGTCGGGGGCACATGCGTTGTCATCGTTGTACGCTCTGGAGGGTGTTGCGCCTGTTGCGTTACCGGTTCCAACGCGAGAGGAGCTCGCCGCCGTTGCCTGGCGATTACGTGGAGTGATTGGCAACTTGGCCCGGCATGGACATGGGGCGCACCGTCAGCGGCGGTGCAGCCAAGTGCAGCCGTCGCAGGCACAAGAACAGGGCCCAGCGACTCCCCCTCCAGACAACTTGTTGCAGGCGCTTTCTGTTTGTCCGAGTAGAAACGCACCCCCATCGGAGGGGAACTTCTCGGCACCAAGTCTCCACAGTGCGTGTGCGGCTGATAATGCATACAACCATGACGGTGTGTCTAACTTTGCTCGGCAAATCACCACGGCTTCATTGGGCCCCGCCAACAGTAATATTAGTCAACAACAACAACAACAACAACAACAGCACCCATATAATCCCCTTTATCTGCAGCAGGCAGGTAACATCAATGGGAGTGTTGAAGGCAGCGGCCCTAGTGAAAAACCGCCTCTCTTTCATGGTGCACTATCACCAATACCAGTATCGACTAGTCCCCCCACTGCTATTGAAATTTCTGTGGCGGAGAGGGAGCTTGAGTTGCCGACACGCCGACAGATTCGGCAAGACATCATTAATAAAATGAATCAGAACGGCGTACTTTTTCCGACGAACATCAATGAGCTCAAGGTTTCCCAGCTGCGGCTTGCAGAGCGTGATATGATTGAGTATCTTGAGCAAGTGCGCGAAGCTATCTCTAGTAAACAGGAGAACTGTGTTGTGTGCATGGATCACGTGCCAACAGTTATTTCACTGCCGTGTCGTCACAAGGTGCTCTGCAGACTTTGTGCGCCCTCCGTGAGCACATGTCCCGTGTGTCGAAGCCAGCTGTTTGAGCTCTTTGAGCCAAAGGAGATCTAGAAGGGAAAGGCAACGGTGAAAAAAGAACGACCGAGAGAAGAAATGAAGGAGGTAAAAAGTCATATTTGTTGTTGTTGTTTTTTGCGTGTGTTTTCTTTTTGAATCAATTTGATGAACCCGCATTGCGGGAACAAATCCCCTTCAGACCTCATGGTATTACAACTGTGTGCCCCAGCAATACGCGGCTGGCTTTGGGCGCTGGTCGTTGCCGCCAGCTCCGTGCCAACAATCCCACGTGGGGAACATTGCTGGCGCCTGGCTTCTCCCCCTCCAGATAATAAGGGGACAATTGAACCCCAGCAACTACGCTGAGGCGGCCGGTGGCATTGCTGGGGGAACGGTCTTCAGTTGGGCTTTTCATTTTGCCATTGAGGACCCCGGGTTGTGCGTCCCCCGGTCCGCCCACACGACCGGGGTGTGGAGATGCCTGGCTGCGGTTTCCCTGTCCGGCAGGCCTGGCAATTGACCTCGACACGCGTGATGCCGAGTTCCGCATGTATTTTACGCCGCGGTGCCCGGGTCAGGCAATTCACCTCCGCAAAAATGCCACTGGCATTGTGGGGCGCATAAATATGCGTTGGCAGCACAGCAGCGACCACATCGCGGTGCCGTACAGGTTGAGATCCGAAGTGCCGCAGTGCGGAATGATTGTCTTTTGGCTTCCCGAAGAATCGCACCCGCGTTCTTTGGTACAGGACTCTGGCAGCACGGTGAGGCATTCAACTATGAAATCAATAGGAGTGTGAGAAGTCATACAAACCAGAGGAAGAAGGAAGGAAAATGAAGGAAGAGTGTGCGTTGGAATTGTCTTTCCCGTCGGTCCGTTTTTCTCTGACTTCTTTTGTTTGTTTGTTTGTTTTTCTATGAACTGCCTCTTTGGGGTGCGTGTTCATTTTTATTATTATTATTTATTTATTTGTTATTGTTGTTGTTGTGGCGTTGCTGCATTGAAGCGGCGTGCATGTAATCAAAAAGAAAAGAAGGGCTGAAGAAGAAAGAGAAACGTGGTGGAGGGGAGACGGAGAGTCGGGGAGAATTCTTTTCTCTCTCTTGTTTTGTTTTGATTTTTCATTATTATTATTTCTTTCCCCGAGTAGACACCAACGCACAGACAGAGACAGAAGGAGTGCGAATGAGGAGAGAAGAGGGAAAGAGGGAGGGGAGGGGAGGGCAGAAATGTGACATGACGTACGTGGAGAAAAGGGCAGGAGAAGTGGTGGATAAAAATAAAAATAAATAAACAAAAGAGAAGAAAACATTTTCTTTAAATGATATGACCAGTCATAAGCAAAACAACCAGAAAAAAAGGAGTGTTACATAATATATAATATATAATATATATATATGTATACGTATGTATACGTATGTATATATGTATACGTATGTATGTATGTGTGTTTGCCTGTTTTTTTGTTTTTTTTGTTTTTCATGTGTGTGTGTGTGTGTATTGAAGCCGCCAGGGCATTTCTGTTGGTGCAGTAGTTTCCTTATTGCTATTATTATTATTATTATTATTTATTGCATGCGTTGACACATGCACAGTTGGATACTTACATATAATTCTTTTTTTTTTTTTTTCGTGTGTGTGCGTGGGTGTTGTTTTTCTTTTATATATATATATATATATATATCTGCAATGCATGTAATGTACAGAATGTGACTGTATGTGTGTGGTTTAAGGTGGGGAGGCCCTTTTTTGTTGTTGTTGCTGTTGTTTTTATTGCTATTGGTGAATCATTGCTACATGTTACACGTTGTGGTGACTAGAAATTGTATTCCCCCTTTTTTAATATTATATATAATACATTATATATATAATATATACCAGTAATACTACTAATAATAATGCTGCTGCTGCTTTGGGAGTGAGCATAAAGAAAAAATAAAAAAAGGGAAGAGCGGGGTGTTTTTTTTTTTTGTGTGTGTGTGTTTCTGTGGGTGTGTGTTTGCTTGGGAGTGGGGCACTCCCCTCTTCATCCTCCTTTTTTTTACCGAAGCAAAGAGGAAGGGAATGGGCGAGAGGAAAAAAAAAAATTAATAATAATAATAATAATTGGTTTTGTTGTTGTTGTTGTTGTTTTTTTTTTACTCACCAACCCACACGCCAGTTGTTTGTTTGTTTGTTTTTTTATAAATAAATAAATATTTTTTTTTTTATTTTACCCCCGCCCTCGCCTCTCCCATCCCTTTTGTTGTTTCCTTGATCAGGCCGGGAGAGGGCTCGCAGCACCGGACCATTTTTGGCGCCACAGACATTCTTCTATACGCATCACCGCAATGACACTTATGGTGGTGCTCTTTGGTGTTCAATGAACGGTGGGTGGTGAAATGCCTGTTTTATGCGGCGCGGTGATTGGAGGAGAAAAGAGGGGTGCGAGGCAAATAAAAAGAAAAGAAAAAAGAAACACATAGAAGGAGAGAAACGGGTTAAGCAAACAGACGGGAAGTGGTAGCTTTCATTGTGTCAACCCCCTGCCTTTTGTCGTCACAGGAGCTCTTCGAATTGGCAATGCCACCGGCCGCCTCAGCGTAGTTGCTGAGGTTCAATTGTCCCCTTATTATCTGGAGGGGGAGAAGCCAGGCGCCAGCAATGTTCCCCACGTGGGATTGTTGGCACGGAGCTGGCGGCAACGACCAGCGCCCAAAGCCAGCCGCGTATTGCTGGGGCACACAGTTGTAATACCGTGAGGTCTGAAGGGGATTTGTTCCCGCAATGCGGGTTCATCAAATTGATTCAAAAAGAAAAAACACGCAAAAAAAAACAAAAAACAGGAAGTACAATGCCAGCAGTAACGGCTGGTGTGTTTGCATGTTTTCCCTTATCAATTTTGTTCTATGACTTTCCATCTGTATGTACGTATCTATTTATTTATGTGCATTTACCACGGAAATGTATGGTCTGTCATGGGTGTCCTTTTTTTTTTTTTTTTTTTGGTTTATTCGTGGTAAGGGGTGTTATCTTCAACTGCCCAAATCCGCTATCAAGCGCGAGTGGATTAGGCGGGGAAAAGGGAGGAGGAAGGTCACCAACAAGAAGACAGAGAAGAAAGATATATATATATATATATATTAGAGAAGGGCAGAATTCGATAAGGCCTGCTGTCGACCGTTGCGGCGACTCAATGATGCATAGAAATATTCATGGTGGAACTACTAGTGCTACTATTGCTAATACTGATAGTGCTCTGTTGAGCCCTCCTCCCCACACTAACGTACCACCACTACCAGCCGGGATGGATCCAACGTATTATGCATTGAGTCTTCTGCGTCGCCGTCGTCTGGAGGAGTGCATCGCCGTCTCGACGCAATATCTCGCTGTCTTCAATGAAAAGATGAGACTGACATCGTCCATGCCGCAGAAACAGGCAGATGGTGTGGATGAGCCGTTGTGGTTCATACAGACACGAGCTCTTATTACGCAGGACTGGTTTGATGAACTTGACGTGGATAATGACGGCGTGGATGAAGTGCTACTGGATGGGGAACAAAACATATCCTCCACTGCACATCGTCCGGGTACATCCCTGCAGCGGAAGGACACCCCAACAGGGACAACAATCCCCACAGGCATGGCGCAGCGACAGGGCACGGCACGCCCCATCAGCAGTCGTTACGGCTACGTGCGGCCGGGGACACAAAGCAGAAACCGTCCAGGCACAATGTCTATCCGACCCATCACATCACGCATGATGCGCATTGGCACAGCGTCGTTGCAGGCTGTCCCTGGTGGCCCTCATATAGACGTGCGGAATTTAAATCTTGAGAAGTATGGTCGTGCGAATCCGATTGTGGCGAGGATTCTGTGCGACTTTTTGCTCCACGTGGAGCACCGGCCGAGAATGGTGCTGGAACTTGGGGCCATCGCACTGGAGCAGCAGCCGAAGGATTGGTGGTGGATGTCACGTATGGGTCAGGCGTACTATCGTCTGGGTCTTTTACGCGAGGCGGAACGTATGTTTAAGGGGGCGCTCACAATTCAGGAAAATGTCGCAGATGTCATGCGACTCGCGAAGGTGTTTACGAAGATGGATCAACCCCTCAAAGCACTGGATCTGCTTTCCGAAGCCTCGAAGAAAAATCCCATGGATCATCACCTCCTCCTTCACATGGCACGCCTGTACGATCAGCTGCAGGATGCGGAGAAGTCGTGCCAGTTATACCGCCGTGTGTTGCAGTTGGATAGTAGCAACATGGAGTCCATTGCCTGCATTGCGGCGTATATGTTTTACGAAAAAAAGCAACCGGAGATTGCGTTGCGTTTGTACCGTCGTCTTTTGCAAATGGGCGTGCAGACAACCGAGCTCTGGAACAATTTAGGTCTTTGTTGCTTCTACAGCTCCCAGTACGATATCGCCCTCAGTTGTCTGCAGCGAGCCGTAGCCATCTCGACGGAGGACGAGACGTTGGCAGATGTGTGGTATAACATTGGGCATATTGGAATTGGCACCGGCGACTTGGGCCTTGCGCACCGCGCATTTAAAGTTGCCCTGGGCGCTAACCCCCGTCACGCCGAAGCGCTCAACAATCTTGCGGTGCTGAATTTAAATATAGGTCAAGTGGACCAGGCCATGAATGATCTTGCCATGGCCATTGAAGTATCGCCAGAACAGCATGAACCGCTTTACAACTTCGCCCTCCTTGCGTTTAAAGCGGGGAATTTTGAGAAGGCGTATAAACTGCTGACGCAGGCACTGGAAGCATGTCCGGATCACCCTGAGAGTGCCTTACTCCAAGCAACACTACGAAAATCGTTAGCGACGTTGTGACGGCGGATGATAACTGGTTGTTGAAATGAGAAGATGTGCAGAACCGTTGGGGCCTCTCCTTCCCTTTTATTTAGAAACCATGAAGGGGGAGGGGAAAATGGGAAAGGTGCCCACCCATTGCGGTAGTCTTTTTGTTTGCGTTTGGAGGCTGTTTTTTTGTTTGTTCGTTTGTTTTTTGTTTTCTTTTTTGCATGTGTGCGTGTGTGTGTATGGTGCTTTGCCTGAATTCCCTTTGTCCTCACTTGGAGAAAGGAGTTGAGAGGCGAGTGAAGGGAAAAAGGAATTTTCAGGAGAAGAAAAAAATAAAAATAAAAAGTAGAAGAAGACCAGTGCGATGTATCACGGTTCGGAGGAGGAATTACGCGCTGCGGAAATGGCAGGTCGCGTGTATGACAATTTGTGCACGAGCACACCACCGGAGCTGCACGGGATTCGTCAACTACACACAAGCCACATTGGCGGTGCCTCACTTGACGGAGAGAACGAGTCCACATACGGGAGCCATAACACCTCAACCGCCCAGCAGTCACAGAAAAGACGCGTGGGTGGAATGCACCCGCAGCACGCTGGTGTGAATGCCGTGGTGGAGATTGCGCGTCGGGAATCCGTGCTGCGTCAGTTATACAACGACAAACTGCGTAGTAGTCTCAGCGCTATTTTTAGTGCTCTCATGAATGAGTTGCCGCGGGATAACATCTTTCTGCAGCTTTTGAGTGACCCATCGACAGAGCAGTACTGTCGTGTACGTGTGGGTGAGGTGGTGGAGAGTTTTCTCTTCTCCGTTCAGGCGCACCAGTACCATAACCTTGCCTCCGAGCTTGCCAAACGTGAGGTGGAGGTCTTGACGCTCTCCGGGCAGTTGGAGGAGGCGCAAAAGGCGCAATGGAATGCGTCGCCTCCCCTTACTTCTTGCAAGACCACACAAACAGACGATCGTATCGACGCCGGCATGAATACCGAGCATCATTCCCGTCTGAAGCGGGGTGAGGGAGTGGGGGGAAAAGAGGAGGAAGAAGAGGAGGAGGCGGCAGCACGCGCGGCACAGGATGAACTGATTGCGCTTCTTGAGGACGTGACTCGTGAGCATGAACTTGCCAAATGTCGTGAGTGCCTGTCCGCACCCATGTCGCTGCTTGAGACAGTACATGCCGAAGGGAACTACCGTGACAAGTACGAGTACCTCTCCGATGTTGTTGGCCATCTTTTTCGCTCTGTTCAGGGGCTTGTGATGTATGCGGAAGGCTCACTCAACAGCCTGGAGTCTCTGCGGCATGGCCTCTGTGGTGTTTGGGGACGTCACGGTAATGAGAGCGATGCCGGCGGACAAAAAACAGTAAACCCGCCCTTGCCAAACCCAACACTCGCGACAGGGCCTTTTCCCTCATCCCTCCCATCCTCCACCGTTTCTGCAGCCGCCAATTCACCCATGCGGCAACCACAAGAACAACAACGATTGGCGATCTTTGAGGAAGAGCGAACCCGACTGGAGATGCTGGCAGCACAATTAAAATATGCACAGCGTCATTGCTGTGAGGTCGTTGAAGGCCTTGGAAAGGGAAAAGAGGAGCTGCAGCGACAGTGCACTGCCCATCAGCAGCAATTGGAACATCTCCAACCAGGTATCTCTCAGAAACAATACGCAAGAGTGGAGTAGAGCTCTGAAAGCCAATGAAAAGGCATTAGTGCAACTCCGGGAAGATCTGCAGCAGTCCTTTGCAACAGAACGTGCTCAAGCACGGGAGCGAGAGAGGGAATTAGAGCAGCGATGTGCCCATCAGTCTTCCGAAGTGCGGCAGGTGACTGAAATGTTAGCGTTGGCGCGAGAACAACTACAAATGGAGGTGGAGCGGCGAAATCAGGCAGAGCAACGGGTGCAAGAAGCGGAAGAAGCTGCCGCAGAGGCACAGAGGCACTGCGGGGTTGCTGTTTCAGATCTTCACCGTGACGTTGAGGCCGAGAAGGATGCAATGGAGGCAAAACTGCAGCATCTACAACGGGAGCTCATTGCACGCCGCGCGGAGGCTGTGTGTGTGCGTCAAGAGAGTATTGCTCTAGATGCCAACGTCACAAAGATGGAATTTCTGCTCGAACATGGCTATGAGCGCGCTGCAGCGGAGCAGCATTATACACTGTTGCTTACAAGAGAGGCGGCAGCACGCGCGGCACAGGATGAACTGATTGCGCTTCTTGAGGACGTGACTCGTGAGCATGAACTTGCCAAATGTCGTGAGTGCCTGTCCGCACCCATGTCGCTGCTTGAGACAGTACATGCCGAAGGGAACTACCGTGACAAGTACGAGTACCTCTCCGATGTTGTTGGCCATCTTTTTCGCTCTGTTCAGGGGCTTGTGATGTATGCGGAAGGCTCACTCAACAGCCTGGAGTCTCTGCGGCATGGCCTCTGTGGTGTTTGGGGACGTCACGGTAATGAGAGCGATGCCGGCGGACAAAAAACAGTAAACCCGCCCTTGCCAAACCCAACACTCGCGACAGGGCCTTTTCCCTCATCCCTCCCATCCTCCACCGTTTCTGCAGCCGCCAATTCACCCATGCGGCAACCACAAGAACAACAACGATTGGCGATCTTTGAGGAAGAGCGAACCCGACTGGAGATGCTGGCAGCACAATTAAAATATGCACAGCGTCATTGCTGTGAGGTCGTTGAAGGCCTTGGAAAGGGAAAAGAGGAGCTGCAGCGACAGTGCACTGCCCATCAGCAGCAATTGGAACATCTCCAACAGGTATCTCTCAGAAACAATACGCAAGAGTTGAGTAGAGCTCTGAAAGCCAATGAAAAGGCATTAGTGCAACTCCGGGAAGATCTGCAGCAGTCCTTTGCAACAGAACGTGCTCAAGCACGGGAGCGAGAGAGGGAATTAGAGCAGCGATGTGTCCATCAGTCTTCCGAAGTGCGGCAGGTGACTGAAATGTTAGCGTTGGCGCGAGAACAACTACAAATGGAGGTGGAGCGGCGAAATCAGGCAGAGCAACGGGTGCAAGAAGCGGAAGAAGCTGCCGCAGAGGCACAGAGGCACTGCGGGGTTGCTGTTTCAGATCTTCACCGTGACGTTGAGGCCGAGAAGGATGCAATGGAGGCAAAACTGCAACATCTACAACGGGAGCTCATTGCACGCCGCGCGGAGGCTGTGTGTGTGCGTCAAGAGAGTATTGCTCTAGATGCCAACGTCACAAAGATGGAATTTCTGCTCGAACATGGCTATGAGCGCGCTGCAGCGGAGCAGCATTATACACTGTTGCTCACAAGAGAGGCGGCCCGGCACGCGCAGATTCAAATTGCTACTGAGCAGAGGGCGCTGCGAGAACGTGAGGCAACTGCACAGCAGTGTTACGAGGACCTTTGTTCTCTGCTGGAGTGCATGCGCGAAGATGAGTTCAAGGCGGAGGCGCAGCAACGCGAGGAGGAGGCTGACACTGAGGCACGTCGACGCATTGTTTCCGTTGAAACGCATACCGGCATTATTCCTAAAAAAAAGAAGAATGACGAGTGTGGCACCGTTGAAGAAGTAGATGATGGTAATGATGATGAGGCCGGCGGAAAGACGCAGGTGTTACTTCACCGTTACGGCACGCCAACGACCCTTACGGGCGTTGTGACATGTCTTCAAAATGCCTACGAGGCGGTGCGGCGTCATCAGCGATACATGCAGAGCACCGTTGACGTTGCTAAGGAGCGTGTGCGGCAGTTGCAACAGGAGGTTGCCACTTTGCGCCCGCGACTGGAGCAGCTGATGGCGGAGTACGAGAAGCAGCAGGTGAATTTTAAGCGGATTTGGAATGAGCAAACGATGTGGGAGCGGCAAGAGACCCTGAAGGGACTGCTTGCAAAGCAAGAGGCCCTTTTAGCGACGGTGAATGTAGAGCGCGAGGCACTGCAGGTGCGGTGGTCAACACTCAGCGAGGAATATCGGGCTCTCGAGCGACGTAACTCGCAGCTGCATGAGCGATGTGCAGTGAAGGAGGCGGAGAACGCACGACTGCTGGGATTTTTGAGGGCCAAGCAGATAACATCTCCATCCTCTTTCTCACCATCATCGTCAGCACCGCAGCAGCCGACATCAACATCATCACGATCGCCAGGTGTTGTGTGTGAATCACCAGCGGAGGCAACGACGAACGCGAAGGAAACCGCGGTGGGAAACTCACCGGAAACACGGCGGACAGAAACTTCCACAGTGCCTAGACACCCTGTGTCACGGGGGTCGTCGAGTGTCGCCGGTCTTAGCGGACAGGCGCGTACCTCATGCAGCAGCTTTCTCGATGAGGAAGCCGCTGTCAGTAATAGTGCTGTTGGAGTGGTGCTGCCTCTAGGACAGCACCCACATGATCGCGGTGTGTGGCGCACGGCATGCCGTCTTGGACGAAGTGCTCGTACGACTGCAGCTGCCACCGCAACGACGGCTGAGGAGGAACCATGTAAACCGAACTGATGGGAATAGAATAGATGGCAATGTGCGATGTCAGTGAGAAATGGCAATAATGATGCATATTATGATAGTATTATACATAGAGAGAGAGAGAGAGAGGGAGGGAAGCAGCGTGAGAGTGATGGCGTGTGTTGATGCGTGGATGGGGCGCGGTCATTGTACTGTTTGACTGTTCAGCCTTCTTCCCTTCTTTCCTCAACACACACACACGCACGCGCACCCAAATTTATACATTTAGACGTGCGGGAACTAAACCTTATGCTAACGAGCGTGAGAGTAAATGAGGGGGGCGAGATGCGACCAGTGGGCTCGGGGTCCCCAACAAGAATTGCGGAAAAATGTGTTGTTGTTCTTTTTTGCGGGGGGTTATGGATTTTTATTTAAATTCTCTCCTTTCCTTTTTCTTTTTTTTGTGCGGGTTTCCTTTCCAATGTAAAGTATAGAAAGAGGGAAGAGGGGAAGAAAAGGATGAGGAGGGACATTCCTTCCGTCTCCACGTCTCGTGCTGAGCCACAGAAGCAGCAGGGAGGGCATGCCACTATGACGTTAGAGAGCACCCGGGCTTACCTGGATCATACATGTGTTCCGCTGCTTATGGAGGCGATGGCTGCCGTCTCGCGGGTGCGTCCCGATGACCCGATTGATTTCATTGCCCATTATTTGTTGAAGCACAACCCGAATCGCCGTGGCACGAACACACAACATCTGGACAACGATCCACGTGGAATCTGGCGTAACTGATTACCCTCTATTAGTATTATTATTATTATTCCCTTTTTGTGTGTGTTCTATATCGTTGTGGCTTTTTTGTTTTTTATTTGTTTGTTTTTTTCTTTTGCTGGTAATGTGTGTTAGTTTGTAATGATGATATCTGTTATTTTTCTCAGTCTATGGCATCACATGCCTACACCATGTGGCTCTCCTCTTTTCTCACCGTGGAATATTGTATATATATATTTATTTATTTATCCCTTCTTAAATACATGTACATAGCTGTAGATAGCGGTGTCTCTTCTTCTATTAAGAATTATTCCTTTGTCATATCTCGGAAACGTAAACAATTTTATATATATATATATCCAAGAGAATTAATATATAGAATTATTACTTGTATACTTGTAAAGATACATTTATACTTATCCGTGGGGGGGTTGCTTTGCAAGGGAGAAGGCAAGAAACGAGGGGGGGGGGAAGGAAAAGTGAAACGTTTCTTTTGATGTCATCCAAAACCGGCACGTCTGCCATTGCTGGACAGCCAAAGGCTGCCGCACTAGTGGCAACGGTCTTTCAGACGAGTCTTGATAACTTGCTTCTCGCGGCAACGCGACACCGTAGCATGATCACACTGCGTGACGCGGTGCAGTCAGCACGTATTAAAGGGTTTACTGCGGAAGATATCTTCCATACATTTGTTCTTGCCTGTGATACGCTTTATGGTAAACGACCGTATCGTCCACTTCTCATGCAGACACTTAGTGACTTGGGAAAAATGGCCTCGTTGCGTATGTTGCCCATGTCATGCAACGTTATTCATGTCATATGTCATCTTGTACAAAAGCTACTGGGTCGATGTCCGAGTGGGAATGTCAACCTCTTGCAAAGTAGTATTCGTAGTACAACAGTACGGGGAAGAAGTGGGTTTGATAGTATTGCAGGCAGCCTCCTGCTGGACGGGGCATCAACTCTTGATGCGGAGTTTCGTGAAGGGTCAACTTCCCAATACCCTGGTAGTGACTCGGCTATAGATACGCATCCACCAGACGAGGAGCTGCATATGCGCATCTTACAAACACTCATGGCATACTTGTCAGCCTGTGAATTTGGCAATGCTGCACTTGCCGATATTATGAGTATCCTCTTTCTTGTCTACACGCAGGCGACACCGGAATCCATGGTGGAGGCAACATGTGCGGCAACGATAGAAGAACGCACGCAGGCGTTGCTTCGTTGCTTACGTAGTAGTAGCGATGCCAAACAGGTGGAGGATGATGGCGCCTCTTTTACGGCGCAGATTCAGGCTGTGGCGTATGCGAAGGATTTGTGTGCCCTCTGCTCCGGGGCCACGCCGAAGTGGTTGAAGTTATCCCTGCCGCGTCATGGCTCGGTATCCGGTGGGCCATCGGATTCTATCTTTGCAGGCATATGGACACCACCACGTCGACTGCGTCTTTTGCTCTTGCGAACTCTCATCACTCATTTCACGGAGAGTGAACGGATTCATTCGATACATGAGACCAACGTCTTTTTCACGCAGTACCTGAACGAGGATGTGGTGTCACTTGTGGTGGGTTCTGGGCGGAACCAATTGCATGTTCAGCGACACCCCGAAGAAAAGAATGTTGAACAGAATGTGGGGACGATGAATCTTGTGGATCTCGTTTTGCCAGACGAGCAACCAAACAATGAGGAATTTTATCTCACGCAACAACTTGGGGTTATTACGATTTCAAAGGCACTGCCAGTTATGCGACACGCCATGCCAATACTTCTTCGACATCACGTAATGCTTGTGAAGTTATGCAGTGAAGGGGAGGATGGGGAGCTGGGGGAAAATGCACGACGCATGGCGGTTGTGCTGACTCTTTGGCAAAAGGTCATTGCAGACCATGAAATTTTGCAGCAGCTGCTTCTACTCACAGGCTCCAATGGTGTCTTGCTTCCAAATAGACCGCCAACCGTATCGTCAGCCAATATACCGTCACCAGAAAAACAAGGATTGCGGCGACCAACACGAGCATCTGAGGATGACGCGGCGGCCCTATTGCTGGACTCCCCTCCTGATCAAGGTGGTGTAATGGCAGATAGCACAAATGAAATGCATCCCTTTGCGGATCTGGTTACTGTCACAGCAGAACTTCTCTCGGATATCATTGTTGCATCGGGTGGAATGCTTAATCTTGATCACGTCAGGGCGAACGATAATAGGAGTCATCCCGGCGCTTCTGCTTCTGCTTCTGCTGCTGCTGTTGGTGGTGGTGGTGGGATTGCTGCCGCTGGTGTTATGGGTGGCGGGAGTCACTGGAGCGCCATTTCAATGGCTTTTTCCCGTCCGCTGCAGTTTTCGAGTACACCGAAGGCAACTCCGAACCAAGAGGACGGTGAATCTTCCCCACCGGAACGGGCATTGACAACTATCATGGCGCAACGACATCCAGCGACAGGGCAGGCGGCGGACATTCTTAGCTTCCTCACAATAACCTCGCAGAGCTTTGCACGGGTGGTAGAGGCATCGAGAGTGGGAAGCTCCCCCACGACAACTTGTAGTGGTCCCACCACCGTTAGCGCACGGGAGGAGTTGACAGCCCTCTTCATCTCGCTACACTCTCCGCTTCTTCGCTGCTTTGCCCTCGCGGCCCAACACCTTCAAGGGGATGATGTGATCCATATGGTCTTAAAGGGCGTCACACATCTTGTGCAGACATCCTGCATTCTCGCATTGCCTGTTCAGCGTGAGAGCTACCTGCAGATTTTTGTCTCACGCCTCTACATGAAGCGGGATAAGCAGTTATTGGAAGGAGAACTGGTGGGGACGCGTTCGAAAAATAGAGTTGCGGATGACTCTGCATTACCCGCCAAGGTCACAGGGGCAGTTTTGGGCGTGGGACATGGTAGAAATTTGCCGGATAAAGTCAAACCACAAATGAAACATGCTACCGCTTTGCGTCGGTCGTTACAATCTTTGCAAGAGAAACTGTACGTCTTGAACTGTGTGATCTCCGTTGCAAACTGCATGGGAGCCTCTCTTGAAGAAGGTTGGCGGCCTGTAGCCTCGTGTCTGATCTTGACAGAACCACTCCTAAAGGATTATCATCGTCTAATGGAGCAGCAACAAAAGCAACCGCATTATGGGGCTGTGGACGAAATAACGCTTCAAGATGCTTTGCGAAATGCCGATCGTGTTCGTGATGCGTTGCAACTCCTCTTTATTAACAATGCGTTGTTACCAGATAGTGTGGCTTTGGAGGACCTTTTGAAAAGCATTGTCATGGAGACTTGTAATTGTGCGCCGTCGAGTTATTTGTTATCCATACGCTTGGTTAGTGAATGCTGCTCACTGGCGCTCATGACAGTTGCCGCAGGTCGAACAGATGTGTCTTTTGCACAGCTGCGGCGGCTGTGGGGTACTGTAAAACCGCTTTACTTGCATGTCTTTGACCCTGTAAACATGGTGAAGCTTGTCCGAGTTTGTCTTCACTCGGAGCGCATGATGGAGATGGTGGCGGGAATATTTGAGCAACTCGTGGAAGACATAGCGGTCGTGACGGCGCAGTTCTGCCAGCGTCTCAATAAAAGCTTTAGTGACATGAGGGCCAAAGAACAAAAACAACGAGGAGAAGAGAAGGATGCAACGTTGACGTTTCATTTTGCGGCTGGGCCGTACGCCACGGCAGCTCTTGTGGCGCGTCTTTCGTATTTGTGTTCATCGCCCACGCGGATTCAACAGGGCACAACTTCGACGAAATGTCTTGTACACGACAATGGCGATGTGTCGAAAGACGATGTTGAGACGGAACGAAGACAACTTCTTGCCTCGCCAACGGAATTACTTGCGGTGATTTATGGGTATCTGCAGCAACCCCGACAGCGTCATGAGAAGATGCAGCAAGAAGATGTGGAGGAGGATGTGGCAAAGAACGATAAGGAGGCGGTTGAGACTGTGACGCGTGGAGCCTCTTTGATGGTGTTGAAGGAAGTGCTGAAACTTGTTCAGGGATTTGGTGAGGAGCTACGTGGGGCGGCGTGGGAGCATTTGTTGCATCTGCTTCGACACACCGCCGCGCCGTCTGGGGCGAAACGACATCCCCATCCCACTACAGCTCCTTTGACGAGTGTGAAGCAGAGCATTGGCATCGCCTTCCGTGCGCTGGAGACGATTCAACACTCATGCATCACAAGCCTGGATGACGAGGGCCTGCGGCAACTTATTCGCTGCGGCGGTGCCTTCATGACGCAGCAGTTCCCCGGTTTGGAGCATCGCCTTAATATTAACCTCAGTGCTGTCCAGCTGCTGTGGTCCATCGCCGACTATGTCGTTTCCCGAGAGAAGGGTGATAACAAGAATGATGATATTCTTTGGTGTACATTGTTGATGCAGCTTTACGACGGCTGTCTTGACGTGCGTCCAGAGGTGCGGCAGAGTGCACTTAAGACACTATTTTCACTTCTGCAAACATACGGTGGACGCCTCTCGGCAGAGTGTTGGAAATGTGTATTTATCGCCGTATTAACGCCATTGATGGAGGCCACTGTGCAGGCAGCCAATACGTGTGTGGTGAATTCAGACACTTTATCAATGCCGGATAAATTGCGGTTCCGCCGCCGCTCTTCCGTGACGCAGCAGTTGAGGCGCGGCTCCTCCGACTCGGGCTTCACATCGTTTAGTGATTCCGCACAAACTCTGTATGGGGGATATGCCAATGAAGAGGAGCAGCATATTGCCATGCTCCTGGCACACCTCGGTGAGCAGCCTGCCCTGTTTGAAAGTATGCGTGTGACGATAATGGACGCGGTGTGTCGTGTGTTTGTTTCACACTATCAGGCGATATGTACCGTTCTCTTTGTGAACTGCAGTGATGCACAGCAACGCACGGATAGGGAGATGCTGCTGCGAGAGACCATTTCTCTTTTTATTGGATTGTGCGAGACGTCCCAATTGGTGGCACGAACGACGAGTGGTGAGAGCTCCGCCCTCTCCGCAGTACGTGCGTTGCATGTGTTGATGACCGCACCAGGCATGACGTTGTTAACCGAGAACGAGTTGGAGTCGGCGTGGCGTGCGATTGAACAACTTCTGCGCCGCGATGGTGACGGGGCAAATACGATGCGGAAACAGTGCACCACGGCTGTGGTGTCGACAATTGTAACATCACTGGGAGATGTGGTGGCTATGAGGATTGCCGAAAGGGAACAACAAAAGCAACAGAAACAGCAGCAACAGCGTCATCAAACAGATGCATTGGTACCGGCGACAAATGTCAAGGCCCCTACGTCTTCCACCTTCTTTGAGCAGCTGTGTCACGCCTTTTCCTCAACCCCATCCGGACTGAGGGGTGGTAATGGTGGTAGCACCGGCGGAAGGGCACGTCATGACTACTTTCCGGATTACATCCACATTGTGCAGGAAAGTCTCTGCTCATTTGCTGTCGCAGACTCCTATTTCTTCCCTAGCAGAGTGCAGACGGCGGTCATTGGAGTTTGGAAAACACTCTGGCCAATGCTCAATGAGCATGAACGGGGCGCCATTATAAAAATCGCGCTGCAGCAATTCCCAACTCGTCACAGCATCATGTCTTTTATCACGCAAGGAACAAATTCTCGCGGCAGAAAAAATAGAGAAGGGGTAGAGGAAAAAATAACTCTCACTGTGACAATGGCAGAGCCATCGCCATGTCAAAAGGAGGAAAAAGAAGAGCGCCAAATCTCATTGTCCGACTCTTTGCCTCCTGGGGCCCATCCAAGTTTTCTCTTGGCGCTTATGGACTTTTTTCGCTTTGTTGCCACTGAGAGTGAGGGGGAGGCTGTGGCGGAAAACCAGCAACAGAAATATGTTATGTTTAATGCGGCACCTGCATTGATACGGGCGGCCGGCGTGTTGTTGCTGCTTGAGTATGCCTCGCCGGCGTTGCTTGAGGCACCAGGTTCGGGCTTGCTTTTTCGCATCCCTGCCGACTTCTTTGACAGGGCGGAACGATGTCTCACCTTTTTTCTTGTTGATACTCTCTGGGGTGGGAAATCAACCCCCTTGTGTAAGGCGCCATCTTCAACACCACCAACGGTGATGTATGGCTTTTCTGCTTCCTTGGCAACGAGTCGTCGAGAGGGTCTCTTGGCGTTTGCTTTTTTGTTCTCCTCGCTTGTGTCAATTGCCAGCAATCAGCTTGGTGCCTTTACGAAAAATGGATTACACGATGTTTCCACACGTGACGAGACGCCTGAGCACCTGCGGTGTGCGTCGCAGCGTCTTGAAAGTCTGGTTGTGTTGATAGGCGAACTCATTCCAAATGTCATTCGCCGATCCGGGGATTTGGCCTCCACCACGGAGTTGCTCTCCGTACTTGTGCCCTCCTCGTCACTTGAGTCGCCGCTTTTAGCCGCTGTTGCGAAACGCAGTTTGGACGTTCTGCGCCGCTGGTCGGTGTCTTCTTCACCGTCATCACCGCTCCTGTCGCCGTCATCTGAGGAATCTGCTGAGGCAAGGGGAAAAGTCACCGCGGTGGGGGCGGAGGGGTCATCATCATCGCGACAGAAGGATGACGACACGGAAGGGCCCCAGATGACCGCTGCGGCCGATGCCGTAGCATTATCAGTAGAAGGCTCTGACTTATCTCTTGATGGTGAGGAGTTGAGTAACAGGCTGAAGAGCGTGGCACGGGCATCAATGGGCGCCCGCAACCTGGCGGTCCTTCAAAGGTTTCTTTCCAACACCGCCAATGAGGAGACGCGGCAGATGATGAAGACCACCTTACAGACCATTGTGCTTCTGTATCCACCCAACCTCGAGAATCAGAAGCCGCCGTCAGGGTGGCGCTCCTCTGGGGTTATGCCTGCCGCTATTGAGGGTAATGGTGCATCAGACGAAGTCAAGAATAATAGGAAGAAAGAAAACGACACAGGTGAGGCACGGGAGGTGCTGCAAGGTATCCTGGTGGAACTAGCCCGCCTTGTCGAGCACACTGGTGATGATGCGGAGCTCCGCTCCATGCTCTCAAGAGCCATGTTGGGCATTTGTGCGTCCCTAGGCTTTGTTCCTTCAGCGTGAACGCAATACTGTTTGTTTGCCATGTGCATGGGTCTGCGAGGAGGAAGAAAAGGAGGCAAAGTAAAAAAATGAATTAGGGAAGGGCATGAACTGTTCTAACTGTGCATTTTTTATTTTATTCTTTGTTTTGTTGCTTAAATATATATATATATATATATATTTGTTGTTGCTGTGATTGTTGTGATTCCTTGCGGGCTCCGTGGTTCGTTTTTCTTGTATGTGTGCGTGTGTGTGATGTAGAGCTGGTGTTGCGTGCCGAGTACGAACGCCGATGCTTCTATTTACTCACTGCGGGGAACCCCTCTCTTTCTTTCTCTCTCTGTCATATGCATGTCTTTCTACATGTATGGATAGATGGATGTGTGTTTGCATGGATACATATACATGTGTCTTGTGTTGTGACTCATTAATATTATTTTTACCGTTGGCTGTTTTGTGTATTTTATACCAGCAGGAAGGTCCCCTCCTATACTTTGCACGGAGGCTCACACAAGCACATACGAGAGGGAGAGAGAAAGGGAGATAGATAGATAGATAAATAGATAGATAGAGACACGTATTATTGAACCGCCGTTGGCTTGTGAGGGGAAACGTACAGAAGGAGAAAAGGTAAAATAAATAAATAAAAGGGGAGGGGGAGAGGGATGTCGAGTAATGTCAAGCAGCTTAACGCGCTGCGCAAGGAGGAACTTGTGCAACGGGTTCTTGAATTGGAGGAGGAGAATTTGTGTATGCGTCAAGAGATGGAGCAGCTCCGTCGGCGTTCAACCGTTACCAGACACTACGACACAAACTCTCTTCCGTCCCTGCAGCGGTATTCAGATGAACCGCAGCCTACTGTCAGTCCCACAGGGATAGGAAGGCCCTCTTCAAAAGTGAAGAAGGGAAACACGTACACGGTATCTTTCTCTGTCATGTTGATTGAAAACGGTACGGCCATCTCCGTCCCGCTCTCCTCTGTTATTGATAAAAGTTACATGCGACCCGACCTTCGCGATGCCGATACGCCCGTTGTGGCTTCGTCGTTGATGCGCGATGATTACGATACGGAATCGTTTGCACGTCACTCGATGGACAGCCTGTGCGTAGACCGTTCACTCAGCGCGAGTGCCGATGAACCGCTTGGTAGAAGTAGTGAGTTACATGGGGTTTCTCTGGCGTGTGCCACGACCTCTGTTGCTGGGGGCTGGGTGTGTAATGGCAGTGGTGGTAGACCATCGGTCTTACTTGAATTTATTCCCACGGATGATGCTAATGAGCCTGTACCACAGGACCCTGCGTCGATTCAGTCGGCCCTGGTGTCATCACAGCCGCGGGAACAACAAGAACGATGTCAACAGGGACAAGATGGACGTCATTGGAGTGTTCGTCATGATATTCGTCAACTGAGTTTAGGACGAGTATTAAATAAACGCTCCATTTCGTTAGATCCCGATGCGCTCGTGTCACACCACACGCTTCGCACGTTCCATAAGCAATTACTGGATGGCTGTGGGGTCTTATCCCCTCTCTCCTCCTACGGCAATGCCATTTACCACTACATAGTGAAGACGTTTGCGGTTCGCAATGGCTGTCGTCATAGCCCCTCCGATATTGAGGGTTTTGGCCGCACATTATGTAGCCTCTGTGGGGAGGTGAAGGCCGTCCTACAGAGGGAACCACGACATGGAAGTGTTGTTTCCCCATGTTATGTCTTTGGTGACCTACATGGTAACTTTTTGGATCTATTCTACTTTCTCGATAATCTTATTTCGTTTCAGGATCTGCGTTACACCCCGCACCGCTTTCTTTTTCTTGGTGACTACGTGGATCGCGGGGAGTTTAGTGTAGAGGTGCTGGCGTACCTCTTCGCCATGAAAGTGCTGGCACCAGAGAAGGTGCTGCTTCTGCGTGGCAATCACGAGGACACACTCGTCAGTGGGGACATCTCCGGATATGGCGACAACAGCTTTCGAGCGCAATGTCAAAACCTTTTTGGCCACGCTCTTGGTGAGGAACTGTGGCACCGTGCAAGTGAGACATTTGCCTATCTCCCACTCACTGCGAACATTGATGGGCGCATCTTCTGCACCCATGGCGGAATCCCACGCTACCGCGGTGGTGTAGATGACAGAATGCATATATTAAGCCGGAGCGATTTTCCTGCATTTGAGTCTTTCTTTCAAGTTTCCGAAGAGGATACGGCATACATGCGTATGTGTCGGCAGATGGCCATGGACACATGTTGGGCCGATCCCGCTGAGGATGAGAGCACACTTGACAAGTGGGGTTTTGGTGCCAATCCGCGCGGTTCTGGCGTTATTCTCTTTGGCTCCGTTGCCGTGGATCATTTTCTTTTAAATCATAACTTTGAATACATCTTCCGTGCCCACCAAGAGAAGTCAGATGGGCTGAAACTCAGTAAGAGTGCCCGGGTCTTTACAATATTTAGCACCAGCGCGTATGTTGGGCACGAAAACGGTGCCGGTGTTGTACTTGTGGCGGATGGGAAGATTCGACTGATTATTAAAAGCGCCGATGACACCGCTCGTACACCAGTAGTAGTGGAGGAAGAAGACAAGGACGAAGAAGAAGAAGAAAAAGAGGAGGAGAGGGAGAAGAAAAAGAATGAAAAAATGCGAAAATCATCACATCTGGCGAGATAATCTTAGCAGCATCCGTGAGTTAGAGAAGAAGAAGGAGAAGGAGGAAAACGGCAATTGAAGCAAAATTTTACATGCACAGCATTGTGTGTAGCGTGGGTGGGTAGAATAGATGAATCACGGTGAGGTGGTGTAAGTTATTCCAATGCAAAAAGTACATGGACATTTACAACATACATGGCGGTCGTGGTAGCGGCGCAGAGCATGTGTGGTGGTGATGGTGGAAAGGGAAAGAGAGAGAGAGAGAGAGAAGCGGAGTGTGCGTAGGAACGAATTAAAACTAAAGAGGGGGAAAAAAAAAGATGCAAATTGAAGGAATAGAAGTTAAGAGGCATGATGAATTTGCAAAGGCTTCAAGAAAGATAAAAAGAAGGAGGGAGAAAAGGGTGAGAGGAAGCATGTCCCTTTCCCTCTGTGTGTGTTTTTTTATGGGCTTCGGTGTCTGTCTTCTTTTTTCCTTTCCTTCTTTCTTTCTTTCTTTCTTTCTTTTTGTGGAACCTCGATTTTTCGTTGTGTCGTTGTTGTTTCTTTTTTTTTTTTTTTTTTTTACGGCTCACTTTGCTTTGGTGTTTGCGGATTTGTTTGTTTGCTTTATTGTTTTTTTTTTTGTTTTTTGGTTTTGTGGTTAACAGGAGGCGTGTAGGTTCCTCCTTCTCATATTTTTTTTTTTTTTCTGTTTTTGATTCCTATTGCAAAAGGGGGAGGGGAAGAGCGTAGGATGCCTTTACGGCCGTCTAATGGATGCCTCCTTGTGACTGTGACTCATTGCCAGCGGAGAAAGAAGGAAGAATACATGCATGCAGAATAAACGAGTAGAGCCATGTTTCCATACACACATATTTATATATAAGCGTACATTGCGGCCGGTCCGATAATGTTGATTGACGGTTGTTTTATATCATCTTATTTTACCCCTGCGAAAGGAACTTCATTTTTCATTGCTGTCGTTGTTGTCTTTGTTGTTGTTGTTTTTCTTTTGTTTCTTTCCTCTTGTGTGTGTGTGTGTGTGTGTGTTGCTACAGCCTCCTAGCAATCCGTCAGGCGTCAGTGAGGCCCTCACGCACACACACACACAGATACATATATTTGGGGTACAGGGAACGAAAAAAAAAAAAAAAAGGGGGGGGTTAGGGGGAGGAGAAGAGAGAGAAAAAAGAGAGCAGCGACCCGACAGAAACAATTACTGTCTCCATTACACGCGTGAGGTTGACAAAAGGAGGAAAGAACACCGGAAAGAAAAGTGGGCTTTTGACAAGATGAGGGTGAGTGAGGATAAGAGGCTACGTGGCCAATCGCTGGTGCCGGGGCAGCGGAATGTGCATCTGGAGCCTGGTCTCACCGTGTCATCCCTTTTCGATACTCATTCCGGTCATAAGGAGAAGGTGGTGCGGGTGTTTGACGAAAAAGGGTGTTTGACAACACGTGAGGTTGGGGTAAAGCGCTTCCAGTTTGCACGACTCTCTATCTTTTACACGATACGCTCATTAACGTGGCCTGTTCTCTGTACGTACTTACTTCTGCTTTATATTGCCATCCTGTTTGCGTTTGCTATGGTTTACTTTATCTGGGGAAACGTGTGTGGGGCGTGGGAGGACGCAAAGTGGGTAACTGCACTTTACTTTACCATTGTGAGCTTGGCAGCGAATGGTGGCTACTTTGGTGAGCCGACGGATACCATGTTGCAACCTGACCACACCTGCTTCACTGGTCGTACTGTCCTAGTGATGCTACTGTCGTATACAAATATCATATTTGTCGGGATTGTGGCGGCACTTGTTGTGGGAAAGGCGGAGTACGGCGGTAGGCTTAGTCAGCGCATTGTGTTCAGTGACTTCTGCTCCCTGACATCTGTTCCAGGACGCCGGGACCGCTGCTGGCGACTCACCTTCCGCATGGCGAACAGCGATAAACAGAAACCGATTGCCCATGGACGACTTCGTCTGTTTATCGTCACTGCAGAGTCACTCAAGGACCGCCGAATGAGCCGTGGGGAGATGAGGAGACAGAGCCTCGCAGAGTTGCCGGAGGAGCAGCGGAGCAGCAAAGGCGGAGGAAAGAGTTGGCGTCAACGACTGCCGCACGAGATGTCAATTGTCAGTATGGAGCAAGAAGAAGGGGGAATTCAGTTGTTACGTGCGAGTGCCTCCTCCTTGATGGAAGACCTGTCGCCGGCGGATACTTCTTTGGCAGTAACGCAGGGGCAGCTGAGCCCAAAGTCCCCACGTGGGAGGCAAAGAAGGGGGAAACGACGTCGTCACGAGGAGCAAAAACCGCCAGGGACGAAGTGTGAATTAGCGACGGGAGGAGGGAAAGAAGGCGACGAGGATCATGCCGCGCAGACGAAAAAGACGTGCATAGGGTCGGCGTCGACATGCGGCAGCACAATCGCTGTGGAAATTTCCGAGCAGGGCCGTGGGATCAGCGATCCTTCACCCTTCGCCGAGGCAGGGATCGAGGCTGCACAACACCAACGACACCAGGGGCGCCTGCCGCTGAAACACCCTGCGATTCCTCAGCCCTCTAGCTCTTTTGCGGCTGCTGCTGGTGTTTTTGCTGCCGGAGGAAACCATGAAGATGAAGATGGTTTTGAACGGGTAAGCATCCACGTGGAGGAGTTGCGCTGGACGAGCAGCAATGAACAGTACTTGGAGGCACGTCAAGGTCAACTCTCCCTGTGGTTTCCAGTGAGTATCACGCATTTCATTGACCGCCGAAGCCCGCTTTTCCGCTACGTGGACCAGGAGAAGATGGACCCAGCAATGCTTCTGTCACAGTCACTTTCCTCTGCGTCACCCACGTTGAAGACCACCGGTGAAAAAGGAAATACAATAGGTTTCTTGCGCTCTTTTCAGATTGTGGCGACGTTTGACGCGACGGAAATGGAAAGTGGAGCCACAATCGTGGCAAAACGCACGTACACACTAAATGACATTATCACACATTATCGTTTCTCCAATAAAATGGTGCAAATGCGACATGGTAGCAATGAGGTGTTGATAGACTACCATTACTTCAATGAGATGATTCCCGTTTCAGGGATGGAGCCCACCTACACCAGCACCTCCGAGAGTGGTACAACACTTTAAAACGCGGAAGCAATGTAAAATACATGATTGCCTCTGTTTCGTTTTTCTTGTGTGTTTGTTTATTTGTTTTTGTTTTTTCTTTTGAATGCTTGTACGTATGTGTGTGTGTGTGTGGGAAGGAGGGAGGGAGATGGAAAGAGAACGGGGAAGCTTTTTTTTTTTTTTTTGTTGTTGTTGGCTTCCCTTTTGATTTTTGTTTCTACTGCTACTGCTGCTGGTGGTGGTGGTGGTTTAAACGGTTGGTCTCCGATGAATCGAGGGGAAAAATTAATTTATTAGTGGGTTTTTATTTTGAAGGGCAAATTTAGGCATGGAGAAGTACAGAAAGTACGGCGATGCCGCGACGGGTATCAACCCCTTTGTGCTCATGCGGACGCCTACGACATTTTCTGTGGTCGTTGCTGCGGTACTTTTTCCGCTGCGCCTTGCGGGGGCGTTGTTATTTTTGCTGGCACTCGTTGTGCTGGATCTGGCGGCATATTTCTTTTTCCTTATTCCTGGTATGTCGTGTGTGTCGTGGTGCCTGCTTGCGCCATGCCAGCGGGAGCTTTTGCGGTGCCTGCTCTTTGCTCTTGGCAACATTGGCATCACGCGGGCGTCGCCGAGGGCGACGGCGGTGGCGAACGCAGCAGGCGGCGATGCAACTCCGGTGGCAGGGGACGTGGTGGTTGTGAACATGCAGTCCGTGTGGGATATGTGCGTGCTTGAGGTGGCAGGGCGGTTGCCGTTGTGCGTGGTTGCTTTCTACATCGGCGGAGCTGCCGGGGCGAACTCGGGAGGGGATGCAAACAAGAAGAAAACGGACCATGACAGTCGTCACGACACGCTCCTTGTGATGGAACCCTCTCCGTTCCAACGTTGGCGTGTGTGGTGGCATATTTACCACACAGGGTCGTTGGAGTTTCTTCGTGCCGCAGCAGGTGGCGATTGTGGTGATGACAAGAGCAATACTGAGCCGGTCCTTCACCTTGCCGCGCTGCAGCAGCGATGTGAGCGCATTGGTGTGCCGATTGTGCTCTTTGCGGAGGGCAGCTGCACCAACGGCAAAGGGATGCTGCGCACATCCCCGCTTTGGGTCCGCACCACCCCGAGGCGAGTGTTCGTCTGTGCAGTGGATTATGACACCACGGCGGTGCACACGGTGTTACGTCCCCATCGACTTTTGTCGTTTATTTTTTTAATGAGTGCATCACTGCATGGCAGCCGCGATCCGGCGTGGTACAGCCCGCCGTTCCCCACAGCTACGGTAAGGATGGTTACGTTGCTGGAGAGCTCTCTGAGCAGCAACAGCATACTTGCTACTAAAACTACTGCCGGTGACGGCGCTGCTGTCATGTGGGAGGAGGCAAAGGTGCGACAGGCGTTGTGTGCCGCATCCAAGTCGAGGCGTGTGTTGGCGGTTGGGCTTCATGAGAAGTGCGGCTACGCGGAGGCGTGCGTCGGCGTGAAAGCAGGGAGCGTCTTCAATTGACTGGCGAGCACATGTGTTCCACAGACTTGCACCCAGTCACAGGCACACATACAAAAAAAAAAAAAAAGGATGGGAATGAAGAGCAAGAAAACTTGGAACAAGGGAAAAAAAAGCTTTTTGAGGAAAATGAGGGGTATATGTCGTGTTGATTTCATTTAAAAGAATATATATATATATATATATAAGTCTTTTTGCAATTTAGTTTTTTTGTTTGTTTGTTTGTTTGTTTTACTATTTTGTCCTGTACATTTGTCTTTTTGTAATTTTATTTCTTGTTTTTTTGTTTGTTTGTTTGTCTTTCCTTCTTTTTTTTTTTTTTTTTCTTTTTAATTTCTAAGGGCCTTTGCGTTTGTGGACGGCGACGGCACATGTCCCAGCCACACAATGGATACGAGCAGTTGCCATGGTGGAAGCGGATTGCGCTTGATGATGCGTACCGGCGGCGTATTAGGAAGCTCGCGACGCAGCGTTACCGGGAGGAGTTGCACCTGCTGCAGGAATTTCCACGCGAAATTGCGCCCGCCGCCTGGGATGACGGCAGACCCATCCCCCAATCATCGCAGCACATTTGCGTGGAGGATGGGACGCGTGCGTGGGCCACAAAACACCCAGAGAGTATAGTGAAGGTGTCGGGCTTCCAAAAACTGCAAACTGCCGCCGTCGCCACCGTTATTTCAGGCCCCAGAGCGGAAGAAGACGAGGCATTTATTCTTGAAGAGGTACGGCGGTTGTACAATGAAGAGAAGGCGTCGGAGCGTCTTTATGGGTTGTCTTATTTCTGGAATCGTCAACTTCCACCAAACGGTTTTATTCGTGTGTGGCCCAGCCCTCTATCTGCCATGTGGCCCTCTTTACTCATTTCAGAGCCTTTCACACCCATGTACAAGACACTTTCCGCCCCAGGGAGTAGTGCCGAGTTGCCACCAGGGATGAACCCCACGTGTATGACAGACCCGCTTTGTGTGCATGTTTTCCGCAGAAATGGAGAGTACCTTGGGGCTTGGCGTCAATCTCTATTTCTTATTCGTTACAAAATTATTTGCTGGGCGTTACATGAAGAGGAACGTCGGCGCACATGCGGTGCCGTGGGTCGTCCCGTTCTTGCATCCGATAAGGCATTCCCAGATGCCGCTACTACGCAAATGTTAAAAAATGTTCCGGAATTTCAGTTGCCTCTTT